TACAATAGTTTTGTTGGTTATCAATTTATTTCATTACTATCAGATCAGTTTGGTGAAAACATCCCTCTTTTTAATCCAAGCTTCAAAGAAGGTGAAACAAAATTACTGAATGTCACAGTTCAAAACCTCTTTTATATATACATTGCGTCCCAGAAAAAACGAAACCGAGAATTATCAATATTTAAAAAAAAATTAAAGATATTGAGAATTTAGATATCAAATTAGGTGCAGATATAGATAATACTGAGCTTCTTGACAAAAAATAATGAAAAAAAATGATGAAACCCAAGGTTTTATTGTTCGTTCTCTAATCCAATGGACTGAAGAAGAGTTCCAGATATTTTTGTAATTTATAAAACAGAGTAGAAGAAAAGAAGAGTATATTTAGATTAGAGAATGATAGTAATGACATTATTGTAAATCAACAAACGATTTTGGGAGAAATTCATTCATTTTATCAAGCCCTGTATAAGAGAAGATGCAATGATAATAATTTGGATGGTATAATGGTTAATTTCTTAGATTCCATTGAACTTCCTCAATTAAATGAAGTTCATAAAGATTTTCTTGAAAAACACATTACTAAGCAAAAATTGTTGGAGACACTTAATTCAATGAGTCATAACAAATCACCATCACTGGACAGTTTACCTGTGGAATTTTATATAGTTTTTTGGAAAGACCTTTCTGATATGCTTTTAAACTTGTGTAAATTTTCTTTTCTGCAGGATGGACTAATGTCTACCTCTCAAAAGAATGGAGTTATTACTTAGATTCCTGAAAAAGATAAAGATACTTCCTATCTACCAAAATTTAGACCTATTTCCTTATTAACAGTAGACTACAAGATTTTAGCCAAAACTTTAGCAAACCGTTTGAAAAAATGTCTGTCATACTTGACCAATCTTTTTTTTTAAAGGGTAGGAATATTGGAAACAATTTCTGGTTGATAACAGATTTAAATTGAATCTTATACAGACTCAAAGAAAATTCCAGGTGCAATTGTTCTGCTTGACATTCAGACAGCTTTTGACAGTGTTTCTCATCAGTTCCTTCTTGGTGTATTACAGCATTTAATTTCAGTAATAAATTCAATAACTGGATATAAATGTTTTATTCTGGTCAAAAAAGTTATGTATATAATTATGGAAATTTGATAAATTCTATTAACATGAGAAAATGATATTTTTCAAGGAAGTCCCATATCTTCATACTTGTTTTTATTAGTTATTGAAACTATGGCTCTTACTATTAAACAAAACTTTCAAAGCGAAGGAGTACCAGTTGAAAATAATATATATCTTTATAAATGTAATGCTTCCTGGGAGAAATTTAAATTGTTTAAACAAATTGCTGGCTAACACCCAGTAAATAAAGATTGATTGATTGATCTGTAATTAAAAAACAAGTCAGAAAAAATCTTGGAACTAGTGGGATTTGAACCTGCATCTACTGGGTGTAAGCCAACAATTTGTTTAAACAATTGAAAATATAATAATAATGTAATAATAGTGTAAACTATAGAGCCCACACACCGTCCAGGGACGCTCATGCCTCTAGCAATACATAACAATATCTTTGTTAGCAGATGATTCCACAGTATCTTTTATTGATGGCTCAGTTACCTCCTTTAGATGATTGTTTGACACTATTGGTAATTTTTCTGATAGCTCTGGTTGTAAGCTCAATATATCTAATTCAGAAGCAATATGGATTGGTTCTAAGAAAGGCTCTTATGCATTTCCTTTTCTGTTAACGGTTAAAAGTGGAATAACTCTACTTTAAAAACTTTAGGTGTCCATTTTTCTTTGAATTTAAATCAACTATATGAACTTAATCATAGGACCAAACTCAAATCCATTAAAAAGACTTTAAAGTGCTGGCTGGTAGAATCTTATCCCTCGTTGGGAAGTTCTGTGTTGTAAAGACCCTATTGTTGCCACTACTCCTTTTTTTCTTCCTTCTGTCTTATGTGTTAAAATACCACAGAGTTTTTTCAAACGATTAAATACTTTGTTGTTTAGATGTATATAGAGTGGTGGAAATGGTAGGGCCAAAAGACAATACATGTGTAATGAATTTTCTTTGGGTGGTTTACGAATGATTGACCCCTACTTTCGTCTGTTTCACAAAAAATGTCATGGGTTAAAATGCTCCTTCATGATAATTATGACAGTTGGTGGAAGTCTATTAAATTTCTGTTTGTAACAATTTTAGTGATAGTAAGGATATTCTATGGAACACACATGCATCTGAATATGTTCTTAACAGATTAATCTCAAGTCAATTGGCCAAGTCTCTCCGAACATGTTATATATTTAGGGGAAAAAATTTGGAAGCTGAATTTGATTCACCCTTTTCCCAATTGGTTCTTGTCAGTTTATTTGGTTGAATAGAAACGTTTGCTCAAAATGAAAGCAACATTTCATATATCAGGATAGCTAGGTTAGACAGAGGTAACTATTTATTAGTGATTTACTCAACCCTCCTCACCCTGGTAATAAACTATTTGAGGAGCTTATTCTTGATTATGATATTAGTGCACAGGACAGGAGGAAATGCAACTTTTGAATGTGAAAAATAAACAAAATGAGAGGTTAGTCTCACTTAACCCCACATGAAATTATTGAAGAAATTAGAACCACAGTCCACACTTTTGAAAACTCAGAAAATTCCAAAATATGCATACAGTGTCATGTTAAAACCAGGTGTTCCATACAAACAAATGATATTTAGGAATGATTTTCACAACTCTGATGAGGTCAAATGTGAAAAAAAATCATGTAAATAATTTTAAATCCACCATAAGTACATGTATGCACTCTTTCTATTTAAATTTATTTCTTAAAGCACTAGGTTTCAATGATATTTTGTATAAAATCAAAAGAAAGGACTCCCCCAACTGTTCCCTTTGTAACAATTAATGCCCCTGAAACCTATATACCGGTACATCTTTTTATTGAATTTCCTATTGTAAAACACATTTGGGATGAAAATATGAAAGTTATTTTTCAGGAAACCAAAAAGCCTGATGTACAAAATGTTTCAACATTTGAAAAGATGTTTAGTTATAATGTCGATAAATTCCTAATATATTTGTTTCTTTGACCTAAATATTATACTTACATGTATGTTTGCAAATTCAAAAATAAACCACCAACCTTTTACGGTTATAAAGCATGTACATGTATTGCCGTTAACAAAGATATTGAATATCGTATTGCTAAGAAAAATGACAAACTTCCAATTCATTTTCGGAAATGGAGATTTAAGTTATGAGTACAGTTATTAATTTCTGAAACTACTTTTTTTTTTAAATACTTTCTTTTTCTCCCTCTCTGGAAGAAAAGGAAATTTAATTGTTATGATCTGTAATCCTGTCTGTATATCTACAAAAGCAAAATTATTATGATGATTGCTTTTTTAATCTTTCAAATTCTACATACTTGATACTTAAATGCAAAAATGTTTATCCCTCTACTAAATTAGACACTTGTTTTTTTTCTAATTACAGAGGATAGATATGTGGAAGAGAAAAAGTGACTGCTTTTATTACATGTAGATAGTTACGAAGCACTGTTTTCGTTGTATGCTGTTGTATTGCTGCATTTTGTTTGTTTTTTGTTTGATTGACTTGATTTATGTTTGATATCTTATCAACAAATTATGAAAACCCAATAAAAGTGGCTAAAGGCAAGTAATTGCTGCCTTAATATGAGCTGGTTGCCCTGAATTGGGGAAGGGAAGGGAGTGGGAGGTTTTGCATCCCCCAGCTTAGGGAAGTCATCTAATTCCAGAATATCATTGTCCTCTGATTTCCTGCCTGTTTCACATCTTTACTGCAGGTTTAATTAATGGCTGTCAAACAGGTCTTGTATTAATTATGCTCATTATCAAGCTAGGTATACATTAGTAAACTCTGTTTCTGTTGGTCCTTTGGAACTCCATCAAACTTGAAAGAAATTTCATTCAGATGGAGGACAGGAAGTACATTTTGTTTAAGTGAGCAAAGGAAGCAGGTTGAGACAATTTTACACTTTACCGTTTGAAAATGTATTCTTTAACTGTTGTTGTTGGTAAATCACACATGATGTGGGTACATCATAATCAATTTTCTGACAATTTTTCCAAAGCTAATAACAGAGCATGATGCTTAAGTTTTAAGCTCATATCATGTTGTCCTGTTCTTTGGACCTAAATGTAAATATAACCAAATATAATCAAAATAACATTGGCAGACACATTTTACAACTGACTAAAGATTACAATTCTGTGTGAGTGAATCAAGTGAGTTGTGATAATTTTCACACATTCACAACTGGAAAATGGTATTTCTTCTACCATTTTTGTTTGTAAATTATACCTTTTGTTGGTATGTGTGTTGCATTCTGTCAGTTTGTTGTACCAATAACGTCAGTTTGGTTTACCAATGTTACCAATGACTATGGAAAACGCCATAAAAACCAACAACAACAAATAAGTTTTATCCAAAAGCATTATTAAGGAGGCATGTGTCGCCCTGTCCCCTGGCTACATTAGTGCGAGTAAGGGCATGGCCATCAGCTTGATAAAACCTCAATAACATACTGTACACATGTAAATACCTATGATGTGCCCATACTGGGTGTTTGTAGATTTAGTTGAGAAGTGGAGTTGGGTCTAGAGTCTAATTTAGATGTATCTTATGAATTTCAGAATTATTTAGTCACAGAAAACATTCCAATATATCTAATTTGTATTTGTTATAGTATGTTGATTTTCTATTTTAATAATTAAAACTACCATTTTTAATCAACTTTAGTTCCAACTTTATTTTGCTGAGCTTGCTGAACTTGCTGAGCGCTATTAAAGTTTGGAGTCATACCAGTAATGCTCAATAATCACTACATGACATAATTGGTTTCAATTTTAAAAGAAAAATTTGATGTTTCTGCTAAAACTAAGGTAATGTAAATTTAAGGCATCTCTTGAATGTACAAGTTTTGGTCATTGTCTCTTAGCAGATGAATGAGATGAGAATTACGAATGGAGGTGCTCCCAGTGATTCCAGAGCTGTTCTTCCAAGAGAGTGTCAACTAGCACTGTAAGTTTGCCAATTTTTTTTACACAAATGAAAGTCCTTTTCTATTTTTAATTTGTATTGTAAGTTAGGAATCTGGCTTTTTGTTTGTATCTGTAACATCTCAGTCTTTACCCCAGCCTGAAAAAGCTGTAGACTTCCTTGTTGTTTAGGTTGAACAAGTTTTGTTTTTCTGACATCGCTTACAGTTCTGTCAATAAGGATAATGATTTTTAAAATAGGGAAGTACCTGTATGTAACACCAGTCATGAAAGTGGATGTCCATCTTGTTATTATGTTGGTTTTAAAAAAAGCAAGAAACAAAATAGTGAAATCTAAAGGGAACTCTATATAAAAGCTAAGACATTTAAGACATGTTAAAGTTTTCAAGTTGATGAGTTAAACACAATACTTTGTAATTATATGTTTTCTCTTGAGAGAAGCCTTCCCATTAATTATCACAACACAACCATCCTTAATTGATCAAAGGAATAGATCTATTTTGAAGAAAGATCAACATAATCAAGAGTTAGTAGGCACTCCCTGGTTCAATAGGACACAGGTGCTAGAAAATGATTTTTTGGAAAACAAGTAGAAATTGATGACTATTTCTCTACCCCAAAAATTGTAGACTTTAAAATATTTTGCAGATATCCAACTTCTGATTAATTGAGCATACTTTCAAATTTCATAACTGCTTGTATTTTACACTTCCCTTTTTCTTCAGTTTTCACTGATTGCTTTCTGATGTTTTAATGATGTTCATTATTATAATACTCGTGGGCGAGACTCATTTAAATTTTGGCCAGGAAACAACTATATTTTTTAAATCTGTAAGAAACAATTTTTCTGTTATTTGGAACCCTATTCCTCCTGACATATCCTTAAGCACGTCTTTACTATATGTCAATGATTCTACCATTTTTACTTTGTATGTCACATATGTTTTGAATATATCTTTCGAACATCGTTTGTAATTTTAAATGTTTGTTTTAAAAAAATGGTCGAACCAATCAATGAAATGAAATGATATTCTTGTAACAATAATTACATTGTACAACATGACCTATAAATTGTTTTCAAACTTATGATTTTCTAATGTTTACTTCCATTTGTATTACCTGCCATGAACGATGCCCCTGTCATTTTTGTTTATGTCCTACATATAGGAGCCTGGATGTAAGGATGTTCCTTCTGGATCAAGAAGCGATTTGATTGTGGTAAGTTTCTGGCTAGTGTATTGATATGTAAATACCCCTCATAAAAAGTTCTGCAAGTCAGGTTTGAGCACTGATATTCCTCATTTTCATTTACTGCTCTAATTTACTTATGTTTACGAAGGGAATCCCCCCCCCCCCTGCAATGATGCCTATTTTTAATGATGTTTTCTCATGGAATAAACAGCAATCCTAAATATATCCAAAAGCAAAATGTTTTATACAACACTGTTATTGTCAACGGTGAATTCTTCTTTACTTTTGAAGATGGATTGTGTTTTTAATGATGTTCAGGTAGTTAATGCCAATAATGTTTGTAAGATGAAATGCATTTGTAATCAGCTGATTGAGAAATTGTCATTGTGTTTGAGTATCATACATTTGTTGCATTTTGTTTGAGTACATCATACATTTGTTGCAAGTCTGTCAGTTTACAGCTTTTAGTCCTGCATATAATTACTTTGCAAGGCCTCAACATCTTTCAAACAAATGTAGAATGCGTTCCTGACAATTACAATGCATTTTGCAACATTTCACTTTTAATTTTGCCTTAGACTCATGTTTATTGCACATTCCATGATTACATACGGATAATCATTACAAATGGGGCATCATTATGAAGGGGAATAAACACCATTTAAATTCACACCAAATTCAAGGATATTGTTATACGAGAGACATCATCAGTCAAACTTGATTTATGAACATTGATTTGTATGTGACTCTTAAAACTTAAAATAGTAATCCTGAGAGTAGGTCTTTGTAACTCTTTCAAACATTTTATGTACCTTAAATCTTCACGTCCTTTCACTTTATTCCTATTGATTTTGTTTGTCTTTTAAAGCATATCAGCTTCTTTTTGTTATTGCTTTTGCAAATTAAAATATGTTGCAGGTGCAGTCAAGCCTTCGAGCTTGTAATTTTGAATGTTTGTTTTAAAAAAATGGTTGAACCAATCAATGAAATGAAATGAAATTCTTTAACTAAGAATTACATTGTACAGCGTTACCTATAAATTGTTTTCAAACTTATGATTTTCTAATGTTTACTTCCATTTGTATTACCTGCCATGAACGATGCCCCTGTCATTTTTGTTTATGTCCTACAAATAGGAGCCTGGATGTAAGGATGTTCCTTCTGGATCAAGAAGCGATTTGATTGTGGTAAGTTTCTGGCTAGTGTATTGATATGTAAATACCCCTCATAAAAAGTTCTGCAAGTCAGGTTTGAGCACCGATATTCCTCATTTTCATTTACTGCTCTAATTTACTTACAGTAGGCCCCTATGTTTACGAAGGGAATCCCCCCCCCCCCCTGCAATGATGCCTATTATTAATGATGTTTTCTCATGGAATATACAGCAATCCTAAATATGTCCAAAAGCAAAATGTTTAATACAACACTGTTATTGTCAACAGTGAATTCTTCTTTACTTTTGAAGATGGATTGTGTTTTTAATGATGTTCAGGCAGTTAATGCCAATAATGTCCCATTCTCATCAATATAGCTGTTTTGAATGATGTAAAAAGGGCCATTTATTCTTTAAGGGCAATCTTTTGGTTTTTTGCTTTTGCAAATTAAAATATGTTGCAAGTGCAGCCAAGCATCGAGCTCGGACTATATAAGTGTGGATGGGGGACCTTTTTGTTTGGTGTACAAATGAGCCCCCCCCCCCCCCATCCACACCTACTTCCAGGCCCATTGTTATGCAGCCTCTGGTTGCCTGATGTGAACTCTCAAAATGCTCTCTCTTTTATTTCAAAAGCTTTGAAGCTCACTTATGTAATTTTCATAAACCTAGTTGTCCACAGTTTTTGACATTATCATGGTGATTTTGTTTCACAAATTGTGATTGCAATTTATCTTCACATTCATCAATGAGTGTGATTAGTTAATGTCAAAGAACTATTTGTAGTTGGAAGGCCTGTAAGACATAATTAGATATGATGGATTGTTTTAGGATATATTGTGGAGGGTATCACAGGTGTACTGATAATTGATAAAGTTAAGTTCCCATCATTACTTATTCAAATAAGAATCAGTGATATTCTCAGTCTCTCAAAGTGGGAGATAGAAATCTTGTGTTGACTTCCCAGTACTCTTTTGCTCTTCATATAAGAACATCATGAACTTGTCTAATACAATCACTTGCCAATGTTAGTCAGGGAAATTGGCTTCCCTATCAGATATATTCAGAATTTCCAAAAAAACTTTAGATTTTATAAGGCACTCACTGTTTTCTTAAAAACCAAATAGCTAAATGGCTCTTTGAGAGCCTGAAACTTTTCAAAGATAAAGTATTAGAAATCAGTTGCCAATTTTTCTTGTAGTATGGACCTAGATTGACCTCCCATAGCTTGATGAAAAATTGTCAACTTTGCTTTATGTGCATGAGGTATCCCTGAACAGCAAATTGTTTACAGAATTTTGTAACAAAATTGACATACCATTTTTGGTTGGAGCTGAAAAAAATATGTAGCTACAAACAATATGATTATTTTCTATTGATGATTAATGAGCATAATTGGATCTTAAAGAGAAGGTTCATTGATTTTAAAAACTAACTTTATTGTCATTATTGCAAAGGTGAAACTTTGATTGGACAAGGTTATCAAAATTCAAAGCTTGGAAACATTCAAAGTAACGATTATTATCAGTTACAAAACGCTTAAATAAAGTGATCCATTGCTTGTAAACAAAATAAGATGCCATTGTATTTTCAGCTGCAACACTGTGGTAGTTCGGCGTTTCAAAAGGGAACATATGCTGTCCATGCTATCATTCAGGGTTTTTTCAATTTGAAAGTGTGGTTTCTTTGATTGATCATTAACCCCTATCCTGTGTATTTACAAATAAAAGAATTTAGAATCGGTTTCATACCCCTTTTTGAATGGTGTCAAATGCCATCACATTTATATTCACTAAACTCATTATAATTTGAGAAATAATAGCATTGCAATTATGTTCATTCTTTGTGGGATGTCGTCTGCTTGGGCAGGGATGGTTCATAATGTGACATCATTAAAACATCGTTATTTTTCTGGCGAATCTCTCGTATATCCCAGATGCAATGGAGGTGGTTTTATATGTATTTTTATAAATCACCCGATATGCAGTCGACCTCAAACTTGTACGATGGCCATCTGTTAGCTTACCAGTTTCTAGTGAAGCGTTATTTGCCATATATTTGTGATTTTCTTTGAACAGGGACTTTAAAGAAAGTTAACAGTAATCTGAATCATCTCCTGTATTTTGATGGAACAGTACAATTGAAAATGTTGCTTCAGATGTTACATTTTCTGTAAACAATGTAGATCCCCAATTAACTCACTAGAAAAATAAATTAATGAGATTGTATATAGTTTGAATAAGCTTATTAGTTACTCCAAGTGATTCTATGAAAATGAAATGAAATCAAATTATAGTAGTGCATATTAGAAATAAAGTCAAAAATTGAAAAAGTTGTCTCAACGTCCGAAATTTTTTTCATTAGAGGTAGCAGAAGATATGAACTGCAGGAACTATCTATCATAACATTTTTGAACATCTCAAGGCAGCTAACCACCAAAACAAAGAAATTTTGCAATGCATCATTACAATATTTTTTATAGTTAAAACCAATTTTCTGTTAACAGTTTACTTTTAATGTCTAAATCAAGAAATATCATTTTAATGATGATAATCCATATTTTAGGATATCTGGAGTTCATAAATGTTTATTAAATGAGTTATCATAAGTCCTTACACAAGTCAAAACACAAATCAGGTCTTTCTTATCCAATCATTTTTGGGTAAGCACAAGAAGGCTGTTTCGGACATTACACAATTTCATTGTTAACACCATTTTTGATCATATCTGCAAGTTACGATTTCACAATGAACACTCCTGTTAAGGAAACTATTTTGATAAATTTATATAGGTTTGAATATAAAGATATTAAGAAATATGATGCTAAAAAAGTAAATCAAATTTTCTGTAAAATATCTCAACTTTTTGCGAAATTGATTTATAAAACATACAATATTGAAGCCACACTTTGTGATGCAAGGCATTGCTTGCTGCTTTAAACAGTAAATCCATAATTGTACTTTATCTGAAAAAATCTCAACAAAAGGGACTCGTAAAAATTATTCAGCCATTTTAACAGCACTTTCTGGTATGCTGTTAGCACGTTTCGGACGTTACACTAGACTGTTAACACTTAACAGACATTTTCATACTTTAACTACAGTAGTTTAAATGAGGGGCAAATATAGATGTAAGATTTCAATTTTTCAACCTCTCCTCTTGATATTTTTATTGTTGTGTGTTTGCAAATCATCAGGTTTTCATTTTCATAGAGCGTGTTCCAAATGATGTCATATAACCAAAGAATGTAGATGGTCAATTTAAACTATTTGGTAGATAACAAAAAGCTCAAAATCACCCACTTAAACAATACCCAGTGTACATGGCATGGATATGCTACAGATATATAAGTGTGATAAAATCAAGCAAATTATGATCAAGTAAATGTTGTTTACAAAACCCCTATATAATGTTACAGTGGGATATGTAAAGCAAGATTAGTGAGTTGTATAACATTGTAAGAATAATGGTTGGCAAGATGTCTTTTAGTTTACTCATAGTTCCTATTGTTCTAGACACTTTGCATAGAACTTCATAGACGTGTGCTTTCCACTTTATCTTTATCAATATTAAGAACTTTGTTAAATTTGTATGTTTAATCAAATTCCCATTCATATATATTTTTACTTCACTAGCACACATCTTTGGAAAGTAAAACAACATAACATTTGCAGTTTATTTGCGCTTATCCACTCACTAACTTTTAGGAGTTCATTGTTCAGATTTTGGGTCAGGCATTCGACATCTTTATGCTTATAAAATATATTGGTATCGTCCGTGAACAGTATAAAATTCAAAATGGGAGAGACTGAATGTAAATAATTTAAATGAATTTAAGAGAGCAGGGGGCCTATAATTGACCCCTGCAGAATTCCACAGGAAACTGACTGTAAACTTGAAGTTTTAGAATCGAAAACAGTGAATTGTTTTCTATCATTTAGATAACTGCAAAATAAATTTGAGGGTAACTCCACGAATTCCATAACAATAAAGTTTTGAAAGGAAGAATATCATGGTTGATTGAATCAAAAGCCAGCTTAAAATCTAAAAATATATTACAATATCTTTTAAAAAAGCACCAAGTACATGTAACTAATCTATGTAGAAAGGATTACTACTGCCATTATTCAATACTTAAATTTGCATTCACAGTGCCTGTTCAAAGAAAATCACATATATCTGTAAGTCCGTATATATATATATATGGCAAATTATGTATCACTAGAAACTGGTAAGCTAACAGATGGCCATCGTACAAGTTTGAGGTCAACTCCATATCGGGTGATTTATAAAATTTTCCTCTTGAAATGCCGAACATACCACCGTGGATGCTGCTGAAAATAAAATGGCGTCTTATTTTTGTTACATGGATTCCTTAATTTTTAAATCGCTGCATTTTTTATCAAAATAATACCATGCACGAGGTTTAGAGTGAGGCAATATAGATTACATTTAGCCTGAGGGTAGTGAAGTGAGAGAAATAACTGAAGAGAAGATGACAAAACAGGCAATGAAAATGTTTGAGATGTCATGGGACAGCGTCTGCTTGAGCAAATCATATTCAAAATGTGACGTCACACATCTCAAGTGTTCAGAGAGCTCTTCAGGTGCTATGCCGGGGCTGTATTTAAGCGCTTTGTAATTGATAATAATCCTTACTTCAAATGTTTCCAAGCATTGAATTTTGATAACCTTGTCCAATTAAAGTTTCACCTAGCTTTGCAATAAAGTTAGTTTTGAAAATCAATGAACCTTCTCTTAAATGATAACAATTTATCAAGAAATGTTATGAAATAGGCTTGCACTCTACAAGACACACTCATTGGTTGCATACATGTACAAATACAATTGATTAGCACAAGGGCTTACAGTATGTATTCATAAAACAATAATCAGTTCTAGTATCCATTTCCTATTAGAGAAACTTGTAAAACACATGTTCATGTGGCTGTAATTCTGCCAAATTTCCAAATTACAAGAAAAGGGATTACCAATTTGTGGGGGCAATAAGGTGAAGCCTCTTCAAAATGAATTTATTCATACATTTTTCCTTTCATTTCATTACCCTCACATGTACTAATGACAAATACCTTTCAAACGCTTGACCCTTCCAACAAGATTTACATACATGTACATGTATAAAAGAAAACGGCATTAATACCTTATTCAATGATCCTAAACATATATATTGTATCTTCCTCAAATGTATTTTGTACATTTATAAGGTACATGCAGTGTGAAATATACATGTAAATGGGCTTTAATACTGCTTGTCCTTTTTCTCTTGCTTATTTAACCATTGTTTATTGTCAAACAGAGAAATTGGAAAGATCAAGAAGAAAATAAATGTTTTTATGAATCTATAATGTATTATATTTCACATTTCACAGATAACTAGAATGATTGATTTATGCTCTGAATATCTTGGTATCCAAATACATGTTGGAGCAATGTGCAATCTAAAATACATGTTTAACCTAAACTGTTTGTCACTTATGATATCGGCACAGCAAGAGTAAAGATCAATCAACCAACCAATCAATCCATCCATCCATCCATCGGTCATCAAGTAAATAGATAAATACATATTAAGATTAAGAGCGTTATTGTTACTAACTAGTATTAAAACCTGAAACATACAAAATACATGTAAAATGTCCAATTCTCAGGATGAACAATGCATTAGGATTCCCTTTTTCTAAAACTTAAAATGGCTGGGAAACTTTTTACATTTTGTTGTTGTTGTAATTGTTAATGTTTTGCTTGTTCATACATATGTTTCAGTGATATTCTTGAATGACACATTGTACATGTAGTTTATAGCAAAGAACAAAGCAAGCTGATTAAACATCTATAGTGTAGAGTTTGTAGAAATTGATGATCTGATTGAAATGTTAACATTGTGTAACATCCAAAATAAACCATAGAATACATTGTACCCTGTCTTTCATAACATGCAAAAGAGAGTTATGTTTGTAAGTGAATTTTCTAAGGAGTTTTGATGACTACAATTGCTATTAGCTTCATATTTTACTCTGTTAGATCACATAAGCATTTTTAACTACACGTACTTGCAATGAACAGTACACCTTTCATAATTGAGTAGTCAATACAGACAAACTTAGTATATGTCCTAAACTAATTAAAACTGCACAATGTGTAATTTATTTTTTCCATAAATGTTAAAGAAGTATTTTTCTGCAAGCAATTAATGTAACTTAGGTCAATAATTCCTAACAAAAGCAATTGAGGCAAGTTATGATGTGAACGGTGGTGTGACATATGGAAATTATTAGGCAATGCACTGGTTCCCAATTTGTTTGTATGTATTTACCTTATATCATCAGTCATTAACATTGAATGAGTTTGACCCAAGAAAAAAGCATTTTACCTATCGAAATAACAACTTTAATGAATTTCAAGGTAGTGATAGGCTTTGAATTGATCTTATGATAACTTTATTCTTCTCTGTAAGACAGAATGCTTACCCTTAACTGATCACACTAAAATAAGAAGCAACAAAATAGAATGTTATGAATTTAATGCAATTATACTGATTTCATGTTTTCCCTCTTCGTTTACAGCTTACTGTTGTACAAAGTTGGCAACCGAGTATTGGGGAAGCAGTTGTGGTAAGCTTGAAAGAATTATCTTGATACGTTATTAAATGAGAAGAAAAAAATCCCTATTGTTCCCTATGCAAATTTATCCAGTCATTATAGCTAATATATGACAGGACACCCTACAGTTAATTTTAAAAAGAAAAAAATGTTTCCATGACAATATAGTTCCCTTCCCACTGTCCTAAAAGTTTTTTATCTTTTGATTTCTATATTATTTGAGCATGAGAAATTAGTGAAATTTATTTCTTGAAAACTCATTTCTTTTAACCTTAATAGAAGAAACCATCAGCTATAGATATTTTCTAAGGAATTTCTTGAAAAGGTATTGAAATATTTATTTGGGCAGACTTTTGCAACTTATCTTTTTGGGGGAATATGTATTTCTTGCAGGATGTTTGGATATCAAGAAAATTATGAAATTGTCACAATTTAATATAATTGAGCACAACAAAGTCACATGTAAGTAAATCACACTTGGGAGTGTGATTAAAATGGATTTATCATAAGTTTAGATTTAAAATGTAGTAATGTACCTAAACTTGTAAACATTTGTCAGTACTTATAGACCAGCTAGTAGAAACCAAACACTGTACATCCTTAACTGTCCAATAAACATTCTGCCCTGCTTTGTCAAAAGGAAGCAAAGACATATTATACCTAGTGGGCTCTTCTTCCGGGCCAAATTTTATGCATGAACACTCGTCCTGCTTAGAGATATGTTAGGCAAGACATGCTATTGCATTGGGGTCAGTGTAAATGACAGATGCATTTTGCTCTTTTACTCTTTTACATGAAATGTCACTGTTGTCACTTGTTCCTTTTGCCAAATTAGGGCAGCATTTTGTAAACAAGTTTAATCTTATGTGACAAAAGCTCTCAAAACTCACCTTAGTATAGATACTGGGGGAACCTGAAATACATGTAGGGCTGTTTTCTATAAAGTACACTGTATATCCACAATAAAGTGTGTTTAAATGAGACGTGGATTGTAACTTTCTTGTAGATGATAAATAGTCCAAACCAATATTCAAATGATTAATAATTTTGCTTTCCAAGAAAATTTAAGCATAATTTTTCTTTTTGTTATACACATTTCCTATAAAACATTTGTAATGGGCAATTGTCTGTCTTTTCCATCCTACTTACAAATATTGTAGAGGAATTTTTTTGTACAGTGTGTAAGATTTATTTGAATGAAATGTTAGGTACTCTGTGGGATAAAATGTAAACAAAAATTCTGTTACGCCAAACTTAGAAGAAAAAAATACTTGCCATGTAAACAAATGTCACTGCTAGTAGATACATGCATATGTATGTAGGTACTTTAAAGGCATTGTTTAACAATGTTAAATCTGAGATGCACGGCCCTACATGTTATCAGTGTCTGTGATATGGTGTAATATTGAAGCCCTAAAAGAATCACGCTTCAAAATCATCACTTGTTTTCCCCAATAGACTGTAGTGTCAAAATTTGTAATTCCAATCATAAACATCTTGATAATCAGACAAGCGATCGGCTTGTAAAAGCCTTGGGGTTCCTTACTGACCTAAAGGTTTATAATTATCATTGCAGCATGAGCTAATTCCAGGATTTTGTTTCAGAATCTGAGACAAAGTTACCGGATCCCTTTAAGTATTGGAAAGAAACAAAAATCTATTTTTTGAGGAGTAAGAAATGATATTTTCCACATTTCTTTCAGCACACAACGTGTCCTTCAGCGTAGACTCCTCTAACCAGATGGAGAGCAGACAATGATCAAGCTCATTTTACAGGCTGCCCTTTCAAATGCGTCCAAGATGAAGAAAAGGCCATTTCGAGCATTGGTAAGCATAATAATTGTCATATACTACAGCTAAATTATGTGAAGTATTAGATGCATAGATAATGATAATAATAAACTGTATTTGTATAGATCATATCACTTTTCAGTCCCTATGCACTTTAGTAAAAGTGAATTTTCAGTCTGTTTTTAAACTGGTCTACTATGACTGCCTCCTATACAATATCAGGGGTGTGTTTCCCAAAGAGTTAAGTTTGACTTTAAAGATACTGTGTCCCTTTTGCAACCAACATCAAATTATGTAGAACATTGCAGGAATCATGAATATGGCATGTATGTCCTATATGTGAAATTTAAACGTTAGCAAAGTCCTAGTATTCAAATTATGTAAGGAAACCCGTTTACTTTATAGACTTCACTGTCGGACAACATTGAGTGACTGACTGACTTCTTTTTTCTTTGGTAATAACATAGTACATAAATGAGCTGTAACATGCAGCATTTGTCTACATCAATAACCCACTTCTTATAATGGCCAAAATTAAACTGATCTGGTCTATGTGCAGCACAAATTATAAGACCATTCGGTACAAGGGTCTGAAAATCAGACAATTTACTTCAGTGATTGCAATCTCTAATGTCGATTTGACAACTAATCGTCGTTGTTTTCCCACAAGGCATTTTCAAGCCCTTTACTTTTGACAGAAGTTATAAATTAGTAATATCTTCCAAATGCCATTGGAATTTAATCTTTTCATTTATTTGGCCTGCAAATGGGACATTTACCTTTAAAGTGGCACTTAAAGTCCTAGTTGCTTAATCTACCAATGAGATTTTGCGTTTAATAACGTATGCAAATTGGCCCTTACGTATGACTTTAAGTCAAACTTAACTCTTTGTAGAACACCCTTCAAGTCCATTTCATAGTTAGCTGTTGCTACTTGGAATGAGGTCAAACTCGCCATTATATGAAAAAAATAATACATATAATTGAATCATAGAAGTACATTTTTTATATGGTGCATGAATTGAAATTAACATATAATTCATTTTCTATTCCTTATAGACCAATGCTGTGTATGACCCGATGTCTAGGAAAGGACCCCTAGGATGCTCAGCGAAGGCTTTCTACAAAAAATTAATCATGTAACACTAAGGAATCTGTCACTTGTCAACAAAATAAAATGGCATTGTATTTTCATCTGTTCGCCTGTTCAATGCAGGGACCTATTTGCCTTCTATGCAAGGGGGGGGGGGGGGGTTATGTATAACCTGTATTCCCTGGTCCGGGCAAGAAAGTAATACTGTTCGCCTGTTCAATGCACGGAGTAGTGTCGCCTTTTTTATGGCCGGGGGGGGGGGGGGGGGGGGGGGGGGGGGGGGGGTGTGTACAAAAGTCTTGTCTGTTGGTGGCCACGATGCAGAGAGTACTTAGAGTTGGACATGGTAGCTCCATGCTCCAATGTATGCATATGCAGATACTTGTATAAATGGATCGAAAAATTAATACCTGGGTCCTTCCTAGGGGTGGATTGTAGCCAGGGCTCAAATAATTTTTTGTCCACGGGGGCTCTTCCAAAAAAAAAAGAGCCCCGTGAGCCTTCTCACGGGGGCTCTTTTAGTGCTGACGGGGGCTCTTATTTTAATACAATTTTCCATTGAATTGGTACCCATGAAACTCCTAAATTCCTTGGTATTTTATCATTATCATATTTAAGTCGGCATTTTCCCTCTTAGAAATTTACTTGTTACATAGAGCTGTTATTGGCTTTTATCCCCGTGATGACATTATTTCTTCCCGTTCTGCACATAATGTTCACCTCATTATTCGGAGCAACCTTATTTACATTCTTTCTTTAATTTTAGTCTTTACCATATCCTTCCAAAACACAGGGGCGGATTTAGCTTTTTGCTAAGGTTGGGGGGGCGGAGGTAACCCAAATACGATGTGGAACATCGTCCACGAGCCGCGCAGCGGCGAGGCGATTTTTGTTTGTTGTTGCTATTTTGAACCCGTAAGTGATGTTTTCCTGGCATCTACTAACATGCGAAGCATCGTCACGAGCCGCAAAGCGGCGAGGCGACTTTTTTGTGCTGTTTTGAACCCCCGTTATCCTGGCATCTACTGACATCTACTAATACTGTGTAGGTCTGGACACATGATAGCATTTTTCTATGCACATAACATTTTCACTTGGTAGCCAAAGGGGGGAGGGGGGGGGGTTAAACCCCCTAAACCGCCTAGATCCGCCCCTGCAACATCTTTGGTGATTTCCTTCTCAATAATGATTTACAGGTCGAGTTACATTACTTGCTGGTCTTTTAGAATAACCAGATTTCAGAGGATTCAAACTTTTCACAACGAAAAACTTCTCCATGTTTCAGTCCTTGCGCGATCGTCTCCAGCTCCAGCAGATATTGGGCGTCAGCGTGCACACCGGTACTACCGGCGCAGTATATCCTCTGCTGACGGCTGCACTGCGAGCTTCCGTTGTTTGTATCGGTAATACTCATAGAGATGAAAGAGCAATTAGCGCCATTTAAGTTCTATTTCATTGGTTTAAGGTTTGAAAATTGATACTCAATATTGTGTTAAAGTTATATCAGTAAAGATAATGTTTATTTTATAATTCTACGGGGGCGATTTTTAATTTTGCAATCGCCCCGTGAGCAACCTGACGGGGGCGATTATGGAGCTCACGGGGGCGAATCGCCCACCGCCCCCGTGTATTTTGAGCGCTGATTGTAGCAGTGTAACATGTAAAGTCAAAGTACGACAATGGTTTATCCTTGTATATATACACATTACACCATCTCGGAATCTTTGCTCAGCAGCCGACGCATGTAAACTTATCATTCCCAAATCTAGACTCTCAACAGCTGAAAAACGTTTTGCAGTAGCTGCATTAAAGACTTGGAACAACATCCCTCTTTCTATAAGGGAAATTACCTGTCTTGCCACCTTCAAAAGATCCCTCAAAACTTACCCTTTTCCCCAGTGATCTATGGGATCTACTTCACGTGAGAACATTTTGTTGTCCTCTTTTCATATATATATGTATTTGTAAGCGCTATGGTACTTATTGTTTTTAGCGCTCCTAAATATTTGATATTATTATTATATTCAGTTGGGAAAGTTTGTGTTGTAATTGTTGTTATTGTCATGATGTTGATATTCAGGGTAACAAGAAAACATCCTCTATTAAATCTCAAATAACCGCAAAAAACAGATTCTGTTTCTTTCGTTACTGTGAATGTAAATGAACATTTTTGGTAAAGCTCTGTGGGTTTTTTCGGCTACAATTGTTAACCCTTGTTTTTGTTATGCTTAATATGAAAACTGTCTAAAAAGTTATGACTGTGACCGCTTTATACTGTTATATATTTTTGTTTGTCATTCAACCATTAAAAACATTACACAATGCAATATGTTTAAAACAAATATAACATCTTTTGTATATTTTTGTTCTACATATCCTAATGTCGTTTATGATGACATAAGTGTTGGTAGTGAAGATGGCTATGGTGATGGGAATGATTGTGATAATCTGATGATCGTGAAGATGATGCTCATGTTGATTGTGTGTTGAAGATGAAAATTTCACCAAACATTGCATTTGCATGGTGTACTATTATTTAGCAGAATGGTTTTTCAAGTTACAATACAAATCAAATCTCTTAATCGACATATCTCATTTTGTCGAGATATGCTGTTGATCAGATAATCTAATAGATAATGATAATTATGAGGGTGATGATGATTTTGATTGATTGATTGATTGATTGATTTAGTTTACTTAATTATTAATATGATTTCCAGGAACATAAAAATCAAACATTAACAGTGTGATACATAATGAAATATCAACAAGAACAACAACCAATAGTGGTGATAAATATTCATTTCTGTTTGCCCTCCTTATTGGTTGTTAGGCATACATATAAGATGCAAATAAAGCAGATATACCTTCAAGAACATTATGTGACAGGAACAAAACAACAAAAAAAGTCGTGATTTTTTTAAAGACTGTGTGGGGGGGGGGGGGGTGGTCATCAAAGAGGAAATAATGTAATTATGCAGATAAAGATTTTGAAATGTTTTTATCAACTATTATTGATTGGTACATTACTAACAGAAATGAACATTGGGCCTACGTTATTTGGGGCTTGATGGATCAGTGGCTGAACAGTGTTCAAATAATAATAATAATTATAATAATACTGAATTTATATAGCGTATTTTCCATATACATGTTCAAATGCGCTGTACAAATAACTCAGATTTTGGGTTGCAAACTGAATCTGTATGTTAATTGTACTTTTGTAGTGGCATAGGACGAGAAAGGGGGGGGGGGGGGCACAGGCTCCCTTCTCTGCCCCCTCTAGCTTCACTGCCGTTTTTTAAAAGGCATTATTCCTCAATTTCAAGTTCCGCTATACAGTATTTAAAAGCCATGGGTGTCCACAAGTTATTATAAAGCATAATGCTTGCTTTGAAGGAAAAAATAAATAAATAAGGGATAGAAAACTATCACCGTATGAGAAATTGTTTAAATTACATGTATTTTTTTAAATAAAAGAGATTAAAACTGTTTGTAGATGTGATTATTATCAATCTTGAATAATGAAAATTTCAATGCTATGAAAATGATACACATGTAACTAAAATGCAGCATGTAGTATTATTGACTGGTGTTATTTACACACATTATAAGAATAAAAGAATAGTTAATACAAAAAGTAGAAGGCATTACTTTAGAAAACTTTTGGTGGCAGTAGAGGGCGCTATAATTATTTTTTGGGGACTTTAAAAAATGAAAAAGTGAGAACATATTTTCTCTACTACTTTTAAGCTTTAGGAGGATGGGATGATCATTTTCATTAAATTTTGATATTCAAAATATAGGAAATCTTGATAATAGGGCATTTCCCTGTATTATTTGCATTTTACTGTCATTTTTATCTGGCACACATTTACCAAAATAGTGAACTAAACAATAGAAAACAAAGGCGAAATTTTCAAGTAACACGATTAGGGTTAGAGTTTTAGAGTCAAAATTGTTGTTTTTTAGGGTAATTTTTTTTGTTGAGGCTATATGATTGATATTTTCTATATAAATGAGCAATGACATTGAAGAAAACTGTAGAATTGACTGGTTCCTGTGAAACAACTTTACCATGTTATGGTCATATTTTCTGGAGAAAATGACTATGATGCCCAATAAATTCCATTGAGAAAAAATTATTTAAAAAAATATCGCTGTTTATATCAACATACAAACTGTTAAATTACTTTCATAAATATATTACCTAAGTACTAATACCAAAAGAGAACAATGTGTGATAAGATTAAGTGAAAAAAAAGTTTGATCTTTCAAGTAGAAGTAAAAACAATTTTTTACATTTGCTTCACTATGTTGGTCACATTAGGGGTTGTCTAGTATTATGTTAAAGAGGATACTTTTCAAATTTGGAGAGGGAATAAAAGTGGATTACTGTATCATAGTAATTATTATAAGGGAATGGATTATTCCCTCTGCAAAAATTATATTCTCTTGACTTTTCAATGTCAAATCATGGTGAAAAAACCTGTGTCACAACTTTACCATTTTGTCAACCTGGTAATGGGTAAAGTTGTTGTCATTTTCCTATTCAAAGTGCATGAAAATGTCACAGTCTCATAATTGAGTGAGCAGAAAGGGGAGGGGCTCTAAATGCAAAAAGTGGACAACAACTTTACCATGAGAGACGGAGAGAGGGAGAGAAAGTGAGAGAGAGAGAGAGAGAGAGGAGTGAGGAGGATGAGAGGGGGAGATAGAGAGAGCGAGAGAGATAGAGAGAGAAAGAGAGAGAGAGAGATACAGAGGAGGGGAGGGGGGGGGGGGGGGTAAAGAAAGATATGCGAAGCGGAGAGAGAAATCACTGCATATTGTGTATAATGCTCGTGTACTACGCATTTTGGAAGGGAGACCTAAATATCTAGTATACATAAGTATCTAAAACCCTCGAACTGAATTATGGTTACATAATTCGTATAGACTGTAGATGAAAGATACAATTGCCCCCCTAACAAAAAGAAAATGAATAAACGTGACTTGTCCCTCACTTGTTTGACCCTCTATCCATTGTCCGTGTTAGGAGTTGCCGTCAACATCATGGACATGTACAAATATTATTTTGTAATGATTTTTTGTTTAATGCATATTTCGCCAAGCTTTTTCGTGACCGCCTTGCTGTCCTTAAACTTGTATAGTACACACACACCTGTACAAATTACGTATGTACGACACATAACCATACAATCATGCCTCTTTATTCATTCCACATGCCCACAATAAATTCAAGCCATTTTCTCGTTCACATCCTCGCCACAGATGTACATAATACACACGATGACGTCATTTATTATTCATGATGTACCGGTGATGTTTTCAGTCCAAACATCTCGACCTACTTCAATCGCGTTTCTGCATGGAGAAGGTCTCAGTTTTTAGTCAAAATAGTTCCTTAAATGAGTCCCTCTGCATAGTATTTATGGCGAAACATATTTGTCTTGCTTAAAGCTCCTACTTAATTTATGATGAATCATAATGATATAATCTTTTTAGAATTATTATCATCCTATATTTTTAGTTTTATAAAGCCTGCAATCTTTGTGCGTCACATGCGTCTCCGAATAGTTTTCTAGATTTTGTTATCATTATCATTCTTCCAAAAGGGAATATTATTATTTTATTTTTATTCACCGAACATAATGCATAGATGAGGCGTGCTTATAAATTTCACGCATCTATGGAAAAAGCCTGTCTCCAATCTTTTACGTTGATTTGAGCTTTGCCATGCTTATTTAAATAAAATAGATTTCACGTATAAAATGTGTATCCTTATACATTGCAATTTAAAAATATGAAAGAGATATTGGTGAACATTTTTGAGAATTGCCAAAGAAGACAATAACAATAAAAAATGATGGGTGAAAGAAATACAGGAATAGCATTATCCATAATTTACCTGCTGATGTTTTACGTAGCGACATAATACAGTGCGTCCCAGAAAAAACGAAACCGAGAATCATCGATGTTTTATTATAACTTAATCACAATTATAATTAAAATGACACATATTTGGAAGGCTTAGATCCTCCTCTTTAATTTGATACAACTCATATGATGTATATTTCACGCATGAGTGATTAAAAGCAATTTGAAGAGAGGAAACCAAAAAATCATTTGGCGGGCGGTATCTAAATTTGAAAGGGAAAATCACATTTCTAGAACGTTCAATTTCTGCCCTTTCATATAAGACCTCAATCAGGAAAAATGAGCCAGGAATAACAAAGTTCTGTTTGTTTAAAAAAAATGCTTGCATTTTCATAATTTTATCAAACGGGTTCGTTTTACTGGCTTCTTGCCGTTGCAACGAACAGAGTTGACAAAAGACTTAACTCCGTTTCGTTGACGATCAGCCATGCACTTAAAATACGAAAGACCTGATATTATCATGATGAAAATCCATCATATTCAGGTGATGAACAACCAAACACAACCATTCGCTGCGGAATATCATATGCCTGAATTCATTTTTCAAAATACAATTATACTTGCATATCCTTTTCCTACATGTACCTATTTGTGTAACACATAAGTCTGTGATAACTTGCATGCGTTGTCTCTTCGTTCGATAGATACGTCATTCGCAAAAGAGAAAGAGAGAGAGAGAGAGAGAGAGAGAGAGAGAGAGAGAGAAGGAGAGACAGAAAGAGAGAGAGAGAGAGAGAGAGAGAGAGAGAGAGAGAGAGAGAGAGAGAGAGAGAGAGAGAGATTCGTGTATCAATTGTTCTTTTTTGTATGTGACTTTTCCCTTGTGTCCTTGTCGGCATTTGCTCGAAATTCTGATACTGATATAGAATGTTAATGAATATGGAATCGTTTTGCGATATATCTAATGATATAAATCTCAATACTACTTTATGATACATCGCAAAATGAGTAAAAAGCCCAAGTATCAATATGACTAAATTTGAGTCATCTTATCACTTGATCTTCATACTACCTTAAAACTGGGCAGAGTTGTACATATATGCTTTGGCAACGTCATGTATATAAGAAGATTGGGAAATGTTTGTCTTCTAATTAAAGTACTGATCAAGACAAAAATCTTGAATCTTGAAGAGTGAATGGCTGTCACCCTTGAATGATGGGATATTTACCCAGTTCGTACATGCCCTTTCTCCTCTCAAAACACAACTTTTAAATAATGCCCCTTTTGGTGTTCGTTTGTATCAAATGTGAACGGCTTGCCCATGCCAGAGTTGTGTGGCAAATAAGCCCTTCCTGACAAATTGGTCGTAGCCGAGCTTAATTAAAAAAAAGAAGGGATCTCGTGTTAGGGCCTGGGGATGTTTTCACAGTGGTATTGTTTCCTACAGTATATTGCGGTTATTGTTTGATATGAGAAGGAAAAACTTAGGAGTGACTGGGCATTTACGAGAGAGAACGAGAGGAAAGGGGAACATAAACACACAGGGAGAGAGAGGGAGAGAGAGGGGAGAGAGAGAGAGAGAGAGAGAGAGGGAGAGGGAGAGAGAGAGAGAGACTAGAAGAAAGGGACTGTCTCTGCATCCCCGCTCCCCCGAAAAGGGCGTCACACATCAGCTAATAGAATTTTTTTTTAGGCCGAGTGGAGGATAGTTTAGAATCTAAAAGTTAAAGTAGTTAAAAAAAAAAAATGTGGGTGAAATAAAGATATTCATGGAAGAAAAAAAACGCGGCAGGCTAGACTAGGGATGGGTTTTACCCTGGCTAGACATTAAATATACGATATTACCTGTACAAACCTTGACAAGACCCATTACACACTTCCCTTTAACCATGAATCAAGTTCTGTAATCTGTAAAAAGTGATCGCAAGTTTCTTTACGAGTATGTTAGCTTTGCCTAGCTTCTTATAAGATTTATGAGGGCACATGGGGCAAGATCCCAGACAAGATATTTTGTAATTGGATAGATGCTTGTCCTCCATGTGTCACGATGATACGATGTTATTTCCAACGCTAAATGTGGAATCATCTCTTCACCGGCTTAAATGACATGTATGTGAGTAAGGTATTGTTGGTTATCAGTAGGTAAATAATATAAAGACTATTGTACCATATTTTTAATATAATGGGAGGGGGGGGGTAAGTATATTGATACGAAAATGTTAATGCCATTATGTTAAATGATTATATTAGGAGAAACAGCTATACTTGGTTTATACTTTAGGAGAAGGGGTGGAGTTGTCACACAACAATATTTTACCATCATGTCTTATACAAGTATGCATTGCAAACATAAATTTCAGTCTGACAACTCCTGCCAACTGCTATATAACGCGTTTTTATTTTGCATTTGTGTGTGGTTTATATATCATTCTGTTTTATACTTTGTGAAGAAAGTAGTATTACGTTCTGTCATACCGATTTTGGTCAGTTATAGTGATCGGTGACAGATTGAGGTGTTTTTGTTGTTGTTATAGATTTAGATTAATTGTATAATGATTGACTATGTGTTTCATTGAGCAAAATGATTGTGATTTACAAATTGCACCAAAATGACAACGCTCTTGACTTATTTTTAAACTCTTTTTTTAACCTTTTGATTGGAATCATGTTGGAGAGGTGATGAACAAAAATATATATATAGAGAGAGAGAGAGAGAGAGAGAGAGAGAGAGAGAGAGAGAGAGAGAGATAGCATGATATAGAGAGAGGGAGGGTGGGATCGAGTGGGGTTGCAAGGGTGGATAAAATGCACGGACACAACCCCTGCTCCTAAACAAAACTAAGTGGAAGGAAGTTACACCTATATTTTCCACCAAAGTATGCATACAGTAAACTTTCGATATATCCTTCTGTACAGGAAATATAAATTCCAGACTGACCACACCTGCCTTTGACCATATCATTAATCTAATTCTTGCATTCTTCATGTCTGGTTTCCATTTCAGGTTGCTGTGCGGGGTAGCTTGAAGGACTTTGAACGGGTTTATAAGAAGGACACGTCACGTCTGCACCTGCGTGACTCCAGCAATTCAGTCCCCTTCCACCACGCCTGTGGCGCCGGCAAGCTCGAAATCATGGAGTTCATAATCGAGAAAGGAGGGGGTAAGTGACTGAGATGTAACAATACAAGGGATGAGGTGATCGAAAGGGGAGGGGTAAGTGAGTTAAACGTGGGGAACTAATGCAATGGGGGGGGGGGGGGGGGAGATAGAACAGTGTGTGAAGAAGATGGGGCAGTTCCACCGTGGTGCCGGCAAGCTCGGTATCATGGAGCTTATGCTCCAAGGGAAGGGGTATTGTGGGGGGGGGGGGGACAAATGAAAGGCTGCGGGATGGAAGGGGTTGGGCAATTAAATTTATGTGGTGCCGTGAAGGTTGATATTAGGGAGTTGATATTTGAGAAAGGAGGGGTAAGCGAACTGAAATAAGTGAAGGTATGGAAGGGGTGTATGGGATGATTCGAAAACATCTGTGAATTTGGCATGCTTAACCTAGGAGGTTGGATTAGTGTAAACTCCTTGACTCAACATTGTATGGAGTTCATACTTGAGAATGGAGAAAGAGGTCGGAGAAGAATGACAATGAATAACGGGCTACCATAAATGACAGGAGGCAGACAGTTTTAACTACACCTTGTGTCATGTTGGTACATATGGCGAAGTTTTAGGTGAAGCTGAGTTCACAGTCTGTTGATGATGAGGAAAAGAGACTAGATCGCGGGCTGTCGGTTACTACAATATCTTGTTGAACACGTGGTATTTAACTTCGAGACGTAGACGCAAATTTGGGAGGTAGTAAACTGAAATGCCCATAACAAATAACGTTAAACGAGAAAGTAATGTCACGGAATTGGGTGAATGTCTGCTCTACATTGTGGTTGTCCACGTTATAAAGTTGCGTTGCGTGAGCCCAAGCATTGAGGGTGACTAAAGGCATCATTGGGATGAGGGGGTGGGGGGGGGGGGGGCGCTGGTCTTACACTCGGGAAAGAAAGGTTAATTATCAAGGCTTAGTAGGGGCGCTATCATTTGCTATTTGTTGTCATTTCGCCCTCATTCTGTCTTCGCTTCTCTTTTCCTCCTCTTTTCCGCCATTCGAGTGTAAGGGGGGGGGGGGGGGGTAGACCAATGCCATCCGTTGCTACGTCGCTACACCACTAACTCGTGTTGTTGTGATAGAGTTGTTTAAGGGGTAATTGTCCAAGCGCCTGTGATGCTCAATTAATAAAGAAAAATCAGGGGAACGCCGCAATGGAGTGCATTTATGCTAAAGAGCACGCTTGTTTGAAATGTAAGTGAATACAGTGCTTTTTCTACATTCGCACAAATCATCAAAACATCGCATTCAATCACCCAAGCCGTGTCATACTATATGGCTCTTGAACCATACAATGCAGGTGCATTTTACCTCGAGATATTTTTGGAACTGCCTTTCAAAAATATGTAGATGAAATGGGTTTCTGTTGGAGAGGAGAGGCTGGCTGCCAAAACCTTTCCAACAAAATGAGAAATGTTAAGACCTGAGAGGTTCTCACATTCTTAAAGCGACACATGTAGGTCCTAAAATGCGAAGCGTTTGATGAAAATATCTGTGAAGTTTGTATTATGATGCATGCATAATAATTTTGTTAATGTCATCTATTCTCTTGCTATTTGACACCAAGGTAACATAATGATGATAATAAATAATCATAATAATCATAATAATAATAACAATAATACTAATAAATATGATGAGGCTAATATTAAGAAAAGCATTATACCAAACAAAATATATATCAATAACTTAAACATACAGTTGTAAAAATGAAAGTAACTTAAACATTAAGAAAGATGGAAAGAAATAAGAAAAATTACATTTCACCCATATTATGGGCATAAGGGGTATATGGATTCTTTGACAGAATATTCAAAGAAGGTTATGAGAATAACATGTACGGGAAGGCTCATAATTTACTCCATAATTCAATTCTTTAGTTCAACCATGACGAATACATTTGACTTGTTCAGATTTGGAAGCCATTGACAGCCAGGGCAACTCCGCCTTGCATTGGGCAGCCGAGAAGGGGCAGGCAGCTGCTATCGAGTTCCTTATACTCAAAGGGATCTCGCCCAACATGATGAACCATCAGTGCATGACGCCACTTCATACCGCCTGCGATCTTGACGTCGCCGACTCAGTCGATGTGAGTTGAGTTTGAGATATTTGTGAGTTGAGTTTAAGTTAAGTTAGAGTTGAGTTTCAGTAATTCATGGAGTAGAATCTCTTTCTACAAGTGAACTGAGCTTAGTTCAACTGAATTGCATTAAGTTGAGTTCATGTGAGTTGAGTTTTTTAATTTCCTTTGATTTGGATTTTACTTGAATTTGTTATGACATTTTTGGGGTTTAATTGAGCTGATTAATTGTAGCCCAATTTAAGTAGGAATCGGGTTTGGTTAAGTTTGATATGAGTCTAGTTTGGGGTTAATCTAGATTTGATTTGAGCTTCAATTGAGATGATGTGAATTCGCCCTGAACTGAGTCCCTCAACGACTATTTTTGTTCTAGCCTTCAAACCTTCTCCAAGCTACAAACTTTCAGCTCGTCAATTAGGAATCCTAATAAAATGTTGCCAGTAAAATGATAAATGAAATAGAAAATTCCATCATCCTCTTCTATAGGCATTATGCAAGCATCGATCACTGGTTGATATAGACTGTGCTGGAGAGTTGGGGCAGACACCTCTTCACTATTGCGCTGTAAGAGATAGCGCCAATGCCGCGAGGAAACTGGTAAGTAAAATGGCAACCAGACGAGTGTAATTCTTTAGAAACCGGGTGATCTTTGAAATATCACTACCTCAAAACATAATGAACTTGTATTCGAAGATTAATTTTCCTGGAACATAAATGAATTTGATACCCTCGCCCCAAGCTATGCTTTTAGTGGTATGTCCTCCAATTTATTTGTATCTTTCGGAATGAATATTCTGTACATTTTTGTCATACAATGTATTGCATCATCCGTTCATTTATTACTCAGTATATATATATCTATATTGGAAATAAATGTCTTTCAATTGAAAACAAATTGAATTGAATGAAGTAACACGTGCCTGTTTCCACATTTGGCATGCTTATTGGCCAATTATACTTCTAATTACTTGAATACTTGTTTTAATATGTGATCATTTGAGGCTGCACGAGCGTCCGTTATTGACACAATCGCAAAAACTTTCGAAAAATTGATCAAGGGCTATTCCAAAAGCCTTGTTCATCACCTTCCGAAATGTGTGATCATTGCAATTACGTATTACGTATACAATGGGGACTGCTGGGGGCAGTGAGTCGTTTTTTGAAAGTCGTATCGACCGTATTTCGTCTTCCCCCCTTTGAATAGAAATACCTAAATTGTTTAAACCACACGAAATTTTGCCCACAAACATACACAAAGTATAAAGCATCTATAAAAGTATTGTTATTAATATGTTGATGTATACATTTTCATAGACATATTTACCGTGCTTACAAGTATCTACGAATTGATTCACAATTGTTAGTCCAAATGTATCCGACAACAGAAATTTTACCCAATAAGGAATCGAATTGAAATGAATAATAACACATATAAAACGAACTTTTTGTTATTTGTTTGATTGTTTTGTATTCTCCTACAGCTTGAATTTACGTCGGCTCTTTCTCGGCCTGACCAAAATGGCGTATATCCAATCCATGCCGCGGCTACACACGCCTCGGCTAGGGTGATGGAGCTTCTCTTTGCCGGATGTAAGGACACGGAAGATGGTAGGATATATGAAATATGTTGTAGTTTTAATTTCAATCAATGTTTTAACATTTCATGTTTAATACCGTATTATATACACAATGGAGACAAGGTTACAAGTTGCCAGTAGTAGTGCATATAAATAGAGTCTTTTAAACGTTCCTTCGATTGTTTTTATTAAATTTATACTTAGCACCTTGAATATCATATTTGATTTATGACGTAAATATTTGTATATATCTCTTCTGTATTGTATTTTCCTTTTCCCTTCTACTGATTCCACCTGCTTTCTTTTTTTTTTAATATGCTGCTTATTATGTACTTTCTATAAGGGTCAACGTACAATAAGGCTAAATGTTCTTTTTTGTTGACCCCTCATTCGACATAAAATTGCTTCCTGAACTTATTTCTTTGTTAATTTTATTGTATTCTTATTATCTGTAATGTTACCCTTCTACATGTATTTACGTATTCCAAATTTCATTTTTTTCTTTATACTATGTATGTATTGTATATGGTTTTTTAAATGAAGAATGGAATTAATACCGATACTATTTAGGCTTCATGGTCTACTGGTAGTTGCCCATAGGCATTGAGCGATAGTCGCTCCTGACTCAACTAAATTCTGACAGATTTGTGCTCTGCTCAAGGGTTTATGGAGTTGTATTCAATAGTCAGACCAAGAGCTTGTATTACATCCCATCACACCTCTTAACCGACTTCACCCCGATTTCAAATCGACCAAAACTTTACCATTCGGTGTGATATATTATTTTTGTTTGGTCTTTTATCAGTCTCGTTGATGTGACTGGGGTTTTAACAGACTCCACCCCGCTTCCCAATCGGCGACCGAATCCTTTTCATTCGGTGTAAATGTAATTTTGTGTTCGCTATGTTGCTGGTCATGTCTTGGTCTTGTTGCTGCGACTGAGGTACATATTTAACATGTTTAACACAATCAGTCACGATGCTACCATAATTGAATGTGCATAACCTAATAAAAGGTACAGACGACACAATGGCTTCTAATCCGAACAAGCGGTACAATAAGGCTTTGCAAATTACCGTTTAATTTTCTTTTGTGAAGTCAATGCCATCGACAATTTTGATACATAGATTAATTTGGAATGAAGCACGCTGCTGAGATGTAAAAGAAAACTAAATTAAAAGACAATAGCATTGAGAAACAGACAATATAAAATTGAGAGAGAGAGAAAGAGAGAGAAATGATTGGATTAACAACAAAGAAGAGAAAGGTAGACATAGGAGCAGACGAGGACAGATAAAAGAGGGAAGGAGATACATAGATAGATAGAGAGAGAGAGAGAGAGAGAGAGAGAGAGAGAGGACAGGAAAAGGGGCCTAATTTATACTTCTCATGCAGCAATACTAGGACAAAGTTTCAAATATTTGACGAAATTCAAAGATGGCGTCTTTATTCCCCCCCTTCTCGTCCGCAGCCGGGCAGAACTGTTCCGACCGGTCATCGCTCCTCACGGTGGTCGACAAGGAGGGCAATTCGGCCCTTCACTCGGCCGTCAACAGCGGGGATTTCGCCGCGGTCAAGCTCTGCCTCAAGTACGGAGCGAGGATTGATATACAACAGGTACTTGTAAAGAGGTGCCTCATTAATCATGAAGATGTCTCTGATTAACCATGAAGATGCCGTGACGTTGAGTATAACCTTGGTAGAAGAATGAGCGTACACTTGAAAATGTTTCTGTTAGTAGGCTGATACGTTTTCCGGTACATCGTAGTATTCAGTATCCTTAGAACGACACTTTTTTGTTTGTTGGGGGGGGGGGATATGTTTTGGAATGTGGTAGGTGAAGCCGATGCTGATGATGATGGTGGTGGTGGTGGTGGTGGTGCTGGTGGTGGTTTTGTTGGTGGTGGTGGAGGTGGTGGTGGTGGTGGTGATGAAAATGAAGATGATGATCATAATGGTTATGAAGGTGATGATGATGATTGTGGTGGTGGTAGTTGTGGTGGTTGTGGTTTTGGTGGTGGAGGTGGTGATGAAAATAAAGATGATGATGATGAAATGCTGAAGGGATGGGAGAACACTATAGAGATCAAGGTCATGATAATGGGTAGGGGAAGAAAAGAAAAAGGAAAATGAGGGGAGGAAGGTAATCTTCAGGATGGGAAGGGTTGAAGTTTGGGAAGTATAAGACGAGGGTGATTAGGGTGAAGGATGGTAGGAAAGGAAGAGGGGAGGATGGGGAGATTCGACAAGGAAGATGACGGCAAAGTTGGAATGCAAAAGATGGACCAATGTAAAGAAGAGATCCTTTTAAAAAGCCTTTTTATTATTACTTAACCTCATACAGAGTTCTTTCAACTCAGCTTCAAATTAAAAAAAATATGGCTTTTTTCGGTCAGTTTTTGTACGCACAATCACCTAGTTACCCATATGTAACCGAGCTGGTAAAAACTCCGTGTGCAGACCGCTCTTGAAACAGTCTACGAAACCTGTTAACAAAGTCCACAGACAGACAACCCATCAAGTACAAGAAATTAATATCCCAATATGTTATACTGTTTAATCAATAGGCCGATAAGTCAACACCAGTGCACTTAGCCTCTTCTCAAGGCGCTCTGGACATGGTCCAGCTTATGTTCTCCTCTCAAGACGAAAACAGAAAGTCACTTCGACTCAAGGACGTTCAGAACCAAACACCTTTACACAAGTAAGTAATTTTTTTAAACTGTGTGAATTGTCTACTCATTTGTTATTTTCCCTTCTAAATCTAAGGGCAAGTCCACTCCAATAAAAACTTACTTTCAATAGAAGCAGAAAATCAGACAAACCAATTAAAAAAGGGTTTGAGCAAAATCGGATAACTAATTAGAAAGTGATGAATTTTTAATGACATTAACAACTTTGAAAATCACAAGACAAATCGGCAACTTATTCATGAGTCTGTGAAGTCATTGATTCACATTCCACTAATTGTTTTCTTTATATTGATAATATGCATTTCAAATATTCACCCTAAAAATCTTATTTCCTCACACCAGCATCCAGGTATATTGATAGTAACATGTTCTCGTGTGTATGCACTAATATAGAGTAATTTTGTTATTCTGTTAAATCATGAAAAACGTGAATTTGAATAAACTCAATAATTATGAAAATACAGTATTCCGAAAATAGTATCAATTTTTCAAAGTTCATAATAGATTGTGAAATGTCATGCATGCAATATGATACAAATCATATAACCTGGGCAAAGGCATGGGGAAATGATCAAGTTTGCGGGGATAAAAAGCAAAATGAATGGGATATAAATATTTAAAACAATTGATAAATAGTGAAGCAATGACGTCACAAACTGATAACTGAGCGGCAATTTGCGTAATGTGATTTTCATTGTTCCATAGTTTTTCAAACTTAAAAAAAAGTATAATTTCCTTACTAGTGATCCTATTTGTTTGCACTGTTTCTCCTGTTTTTTCTGCATCTATTGAAAGCAAGTTATTTTTAGAGTGGACTTAGCATTTAATCTTATCAGTAAATCCGTAAATACATATTACAAGAGTCTGAGTCAAATCAATTAACATGAACAAGTGTAAAAATATTATCTTGGTGTCCGTTTTCCTTTGGAATTGTCAGATACTGTAAGTATTTTTCTTTTAAAGATGATATTATGACACGATATGGACTTGTATCTCAACATTTTGCCAGTGACGTCATTATGTTTTATCGAGATTTTACGCACAATTCTTCAAGAATCTGAAGAAAATAATAACTTTCTATATCCCCGTTAAGCAAAACGATGACTTAAATTATTTCAGTGCATTAGTTTATTACAGAATATCACCTGCTATACAAAAAAAGATTTCGTCGTGGCAAAACGACTTCACATATATATTCTGACACCATTAGTTAATTCGTGTATATAGCAATATTGGTTGTTTGAATGGGCCAGAATGAACTGGGACTGAAACAAATACATATGAATATTAAATGGTCACGTCTCACACAAATTTTGACCAGTTAATTAAATGTGGCTTTAATTGCAACGAAGGCGCTGACATGAAATTCAGGGTAAATACTTTTATGTTATTGACAAATATTGACCGAGTTAATGAACAGAGGGAAGGTTGATGGTTGTCAGATTTATCTTTTCAGTGGAGTCATCGTTAATTAATGGACTGAGATTAAAGCAAATAGACAGTTTTAGAATTTAAGTGTCGACGACACAATTAGTAATTTGGACCAGGGTTAATTTAATTCATGTTGACACGGAGGGATAATGCAAGAGTGCAGGGGGGAAGGACGAGTGAGGATTGTGTGTGGAGAGAGAGAGAGAGAGAGAGAGAGAGAGAGAGAGAGAGAGAGAGAGAGGGAGAGAGGGAGGGGGAGAAAGTGTGGACAAAATAAAGAGTGCAAGAAAGAGAGATAGGGAGATAGATATAGGAGAGGGAGGGCGAGAAATAGAGAGAGAGAGAGAGAGAGAGAGAGAGGCTGAGAGAGAGAGAATGAGAGAGAGAGAGAGAGAGAGAGAGAGAGAGAGAGGGAGGGGGAGAGAGTGTGGACAAAATAAAGAGTGCAAGAAAGAGAGATAGGGAGAGGGAGAGAGAGATAGGAGAGGGAGGGAGAGAGAAAGAGAGAGATATATAATGAGAGAGAGAGAGAGAGAAAGAGAGAGAAAGAGAGAGATGGGAGGGGTGGGGGCGGGGTAGCAGGGAAGAAGATTAGGAGGTTTGTATATTCAGAATGTCTGAATATAGAGAATAAATTAATGCCAAGTCATTGCAAAGCATGTGACAGAGGCTGGAAGACATAAATAAAATACAAACCTTAATACATTTGTAGCAAAGTTGACATCATCCCTTAAAATAACAATGTTTCTTTTCCTTCTCTCATCCAGAGCCGCCATGTTTGATCATGCTGAAGTGGTCACATACCTAATAAATGAGGTAAGACAAATTGCTAACGTTGCTAATTGATCAATTTCCTGTTGCAAGAACCATTAGAAGGTTAATTGTTGTATCCCTGGTGTTTTTCTCACTCGATATACTTGAATGAAAAAAGCGTATATGTACGTGTGTGGATTGTGTGTGTTTGTGGATTTTTAAATACAATATTAAAGTTTAAAAACGATTTATTATTGTATTCATCTTACCTCTATTCGCTGCAAGATGAGACTTACACCTTATACTCTTTGCAGTATATTGTACCCGCCAGTTTACCAAGAACAGGTCTGCAATACTATAAACTCGTAGCAGAGCTATGATACGACAGTGTACATAGTCTACATCCCTACACACACCTGACAAAGAAAGCAAATTTCAAAGACTTGTCAACGCACTCTCCGTTCATTTCCTCCGCGAGGCAGATTATTCATGTTCGAAAGAAACATAGTCCGGAGGCGAAGAAATTCCCCCACACAGCTCCGCTTATAGGATTACAACTGTCTACCAGGTTTTGAGCTGATTTTCCTTCTTGCCACAGTCGACGGGCGATTCAATTGGATTTTCATTTTACCATTTTGCATAATCGGGATTACCGATATGTTAGCCTTAGGAAACGCTACACGATGGGCGTCTGTAGCGAGCCGTGAATCTCATTCCACTTTCGGGGAATCTTATAGCCATACATAGTCCTTCCCCTACAATATGTAATAACGGCACAAACGTAGTCGTTGCCCGCCATCTGCTTGCTCTTGCGTGTATCCTTTTTACGAAGGAACATGTATATTAATTTTGAGAGTTGTATGTGTATGGTAATGTCTAGTCTGTCTCTATTTATTTATTTATTTATTTATTTCACTTCTTTATTCAGGGTAGTCTGTTCAGTATACAAAAATAAAAACCTGGTCTTCCACAGAGCCCTGATTATAAAAACAGCACATTAAAAAATTACATAAATTACAATTAGAACTGTACAATATCGGATTATTAAACATTTGACACAATATATGCATGGTTTAGATAATAATAAAAATCAACTACAAAATAAATTAAAAAAACCAAACATGGCCATACATTAACTGAATATAAGATTACACAAAAGAAAAACAATTCATTAATGATAATTATAGGCATTATATGGTAATGGAGTCAAGTAACATGACAAAACTGAATCATCATAGATAATGATAAAATCAACTATGAAAATAAGTTAAACAAAAGCATGGGAATACATTAACTGAATATAATATTACACAAAAGAACAACAATTCATTAATGATAATTATAAGCATTGTATGATAATGGAGTCAAATAACATGGCAAAAACTGAATAGATAATGATAAAATCAACTATGAAAAATAAATTAAACATTATATGATAATGGAGTAAAGTAACATTTCAAAAACTGAATAGATAATGATAAAATCAACTATGAAAATAAATTAAACCAAAACATAGGAATACATTAACTGAATATAATTTTGCACAATAGAACAACAGTTTAGAATTAATGATAATTATAAGCATTGTAAAATGGAGTCAAGTAAAAAATGAAAATGAAGTCAAGATAAAAATCAACTATGCAGAAGAACACCTTATCATGTGAGATTTTCTTTTAGAGCTCTCTTAAAGACTGCTAGGCTCTGTGCTTCTTTAAGTTCAAGTGGAAGATCATTCCAAATTTCACTCCCTGAATAAATGAATGACTTCCTGTAAAATTCTGTTTTACATTTTGGCAATCGCAACATTTTCTTATCTGTGTTGCGAGTTATTCGTTTTGAAACATCGTCGACGAGTATAAATCTGTCATAAACGATTCCGGGTGTTATTCTATTTACACATTTATACATTAAACAGCACATTGTTTTCCAGAACAATTTATCAAGAGTTGGCCAGCATAGTCACTGTAATACATCAAGGGACGGTATATCCCATGACTTATTTGATACTATGTAGGCAGCTCTTTTGTGTAATTTGTTTAAGGTATTGAAATTCCCGACACTTCTGCGCGACCATACATTACAACAGTAAAGAACATGGGGTATAATGTACCCCCAATATATATCAGATAATTGTTTAGTAGAAAAATATGTTTTTAATCTTCTTATTACACCTAGTTTTTGTTTCACCTTCAAAGACACCTTTTCAGTATGTAACTTAAAGTCAAGGCTAGAGTCTATGGTTACACCTAAACACCTAGATTCATCAACACATTCAACAGATTTACCCTTTAATGTAACATGCAACTTTAGATTTGAAAATCGATGTAATTTTTGCCTTGAGCCTATTAGCATGACTTTGGTCTTCTCTGGATTGGGGATCAACTTGTTTCTGTCAACCCATTCATTTACTTCTTGCATTACATTGTTAAGCTGGATTTCTATATCTGTTGGATTGTTTCCATAGACGGATATTGTCGTGTCATCTGCGTACATATAAACATTCCCTTTACTTATATGCGTGGGAAGATCGTTTATCATGACTGTAAACAGGAGGGGCCCAAGGATTGAACCCTGAGCCACTCCTGTGTTGACATTCATGATGTTTGACTTTTTATTTTGCATTGAAACATATTGTTTTCTGTCATTAAGATAGGACCTAAACCAAGTGAGACATTTATCAGAACAACCGTATTTAGCTAATTTACTTTACGTAAGTCTATGAGTGCTAATCCATTCACGTACCCTTTATCAACATTCATTGCTAATTCATCGACCATACAGATTAGGGCGGTCTCACATGAATGATTAGGTCGAAAACCGAACTGTTTGGGGTTAAGTAGTCGTGTTTCTGACAGATATTCAAGGAGATTCTTAGTCACTGCCTTTTCTATTATTTTGGATAAGACAGGGAGAATGGCTATCGGCCTATAATTACATACTTGAAATTTATCTCCACTCTTAAAGATGGGTTGTATTCTTGCTATTTTCCATGCAGCAGGAACTACACCCGTTGTCAGTGACAGATTGTATAAATACGTCAGAGTATCTATGACAATGTTAATGTTACAAACATGTTTCAAAATCTTGACACTTAGTCCATCATTCCCTATAGCCTTGGTTATCGGGAAACCCTTAATTTCTTTCTTTACAAACTCGCTATCAATGACTGGCAGATCAAACAGTCCTGTGGGTTCCGACCGATTATCTTCGGCTGTACTGCATTTTGTGGTTATCAGTTCATCACCTGATGCTCCGAAATTGTCTGTTAAACTTTTCACAGCACTACTAAAATAATTACTGAAAATATTTGCTATTTCTTCTGAATCAGTTATTTCATTTCCCGAGACTTGTAACGTTATCTTTTCAGACACGTTTGCATTTGTTAAACTCTTTAATGTTTTCCATAGGGCACCAGGATTACCCTTATTCTCTTGCAGAAGAGAGTCAACATAAGTCTTCTTTTGTTGATTAACCATCCTATTGACTAAATTTCTGTAATGTTTGTATCTATTCCACATTAAATCACTTTTGGTTTGTAGAGCTTTCTTATGAAAGTGATCACGAGTATTCATCAATTGAATGGTGTCACCAGAAACCCATGGACAAGGATTCTTACGCATACGTTTACTTTTAAGTGGTGCAAATTTGTTCACAACTTCCATTGTTAGGTTATACCACTTCTCCCACGCTTCATTGACATCTGTAATTTGAAATATGTCGTTGAAAGGCTTTTGTGTCATTGAAACTACAAATCCTTCATAATCAAATTTGGAGAAATCCCGCCAGCTTATTAAGTTTTCCAAGGGTTTGTGGCAACTCTCACCATAAATTGTAAAAGTTAAGAAATGATCGCTAAAGAAGGTTTTATATACACCAGTGACAATATGTTTGTCTGGGTTGGTAGAATAAATATGATCGATTATCGATTTTGATGACATAGTGACTCGGGTAGGAACATTAACTAATTGTGTGCATAAGAAACCAGTCATCAAAGATGACAAATGTTTTGCATCTGAATTTAACCTATCCTGACATAAATCACAATTAAAGTCTCCCAGTAAAATCATTTCTACATCGTCGCTAATCGCCCTTTCCATCATACAAGAGATTTGGTCGAAATACTCTACTGGAACATTTGGTGGTCTATATAATACACAAATTAGAAGAGTTTCGTTACGAGATACTTTGACCTTTACACATATGGCTTCCAGTTCATTTACATAGTCCAGCCGTGTATAGTTAATGTCTCTTCGTATATAAAGAGCTACACCTCCACCGTGTCTCGTTCTGTCTTTACGAATAATGTTGTAGTCCTCTATTAATAGTTCGGAGTCTGGTATGGTCTCATCACAGTGAGTTTCTGTTATAGCTATAATATCGAATGGATTATATTTTAGAGTATATTTTAGATCATCTATCTTGGCTGGTAACGAATTGATATTTACATGGCAAATTTTTAGACCATTTCCACTAAAAGGCTTGATATATCCGTTTTCCAGACTATAGTATGCATCATTTTCATCTGCAGTATTCGTAGTTAATAGTATTGATCCGTGTAGGGGTATCCTCTCCGAGTCTCCAAGTCGTCCATCCAGTCGCGTGGAAACACTGCTCCTCTCGGTTTCCACCTGTGATTGGTTGTTTGACGATTCTGAAAAGAATGCTGTGGACTGCGATAAGTATCTGGCCGAAGATGTCGTATTATATTCTGCGCAAACATAGTGACCCCGTTTCTATTCAAATGAACGCCATCTATAGAGAGATGAACATTGGGGCGGATCTCATCGTTGTCAATAATCGCCCATCCACGCTCATTGGCCAGAAGTTTTATGTGGGCGTTCACTCTGTCCACAAAGGCGCCATCTAGTGGGGATTCATCTCGGCGGTGGATTATGGTTGATATTGTCATCGATTTGACATCAGTCTGTGTCACAATTTCGTGACATAGCGACGACAGTCAGTCTCCCTCCCACCACATCTCATCATTTTAACCACTCTTTCTCTTTCCGCCTTCGTTTGACATATACACCTGCATCCATACACCCACATACACCCACATACCCTTTTAAAAACTGTTAGAATTTAATCTATATCTACTTTAGATCCTTTAGGACTTAAAGTGGCACAACGTCGAGTAGGCTGATACTGTTAATACTGATAATCTTATCATCTTATCACAATGTAAAAAAACACGTTGAATTCTACCCATCCCTCTAAAAGCTGAATATTATAATACAAAATGTACACATGACATATTTCAACATCGCTCTCTAGAACACAGTGATAGATAAAACTTTTCTTATCCTTGTTGATTACCATAAATATCGTTTTGCTTTGATAGCATCGGGTATTGACAATCAAAATGTGGCATTAGTTCAGAATCTCTTTCCCAAAACTGACGTAGCTAAGTGCATTAAATCGAGTTGGTACACCAGTCTTTTTTCACTGCAACCCGCCTGGGCCGCTCTATCTGATTTGATATGTAGGTGAGAGGGGGAAGGGTTTGCGTTGCGTGCTTTTTAGGAGAAATAGCTGCCCTCTGATACCGGATCCACTGTATGCACACCTGGACGGGGACAGGCTAATACAAACCGGGAAGGAACGCGACGGCATAGGTGTAGGTTGACGGTTGTTTACCGCCATTAAAGCGAACTTCGGGGTCAAGTTCTTCCGGTGATTACTTAATGCAGGGAGAAGGGAGGAGGCAGGAGGGAGGAAGGAGGAGGGAGGAAGGAGGAAGGAGGAGGGAGGAGGGAGGGGGAGGAGGGAGGAGGGAGGAAGGAGGAGGAAGGAAGGAGGAGGGAGGAGGGAGGAGGGAGGAAGGAGGAGGGAGGAGGGAGGAGGGAGGAAGGAGGAGGGAGGAGGGAGGAAGGAGGAAGGAGGAAGGAGGAGGGAGGAAGGAGGAGGGAGGAAGGAGGAGGGAGGAGGGAGGAAGGAGGAAGGAGGAGGGAGGAGGGAGGAGGGAGGAAGGAGGAGGGAGGAAGGAGGAAGGAGGAAGGAGGAGGGAGGAGGGAGGAGGGAGGGGAGGAGGGAGGAGGGAGGAAGGAGGAGGAAGGAAGGAGGAGGGAGAAGAGAGGAGGGAGGAAGGAGGAGGGAGGAGGGAGGAAGGAGGAAGGAGGAAGGAGGAGGGAGGAAGGAGGAGGGAGGAAGGAGGAGGGAGGAAGGAGGAAGGAGGAGGGAGGAAGGAGGAGGGAGGAGGGAGGAGGGAGGAAGGAGGAGGGAGGAGGGAGGAAGGAGGAGGGAGGAAGGAGGAGGGAGGAGGGAGGAAGGAGGAGGAAGGAAGGAGGAGGAAGGAAGGAGGAGGGAGGAAGGAGGAGGAAGGAAGGAGGAGGGAGGAAGGAGGAGGGAGGAAGGAGGAGGGAGGAGGGAGGAGGGAGGAAGGAGGTAGGAGGAGGCAGGAGGCAGGAGGCAGGAGGGAGAGGTGGGGAAAGAAGCACAAGTTGTGGTGGATTAGAGGGAGGGCAACAGGGGTACGTGCCCCTCCATTACAAAAATATTTTAAAAAACTAACAAACTAGAACGAACAAACCAATAAACGATAGGGAAGAGGAGGAAGAGAAGCACACCCAAAACATGATGACCCCACCCCCCCTTTTTTTTGTCGGTTATCACAGAATTTCATTACGTGCCTCCCCCTCCCCGAACAGAAATCTTGATCTGCCACTGGAAGGGGAGATGAAGGCGGGGATGGGTTGTAAAACTGGAGACAGAATGTGAATAGCAGTTTGTCTACATACAAAACACTATATCGGTGACACATCAATTCAGGAAATAATATTATAGTAGGTCCACATCTACTGTTGATTTCGCTACAAATTTTGTGGTTGCTGAAACGTCTATTTTCGTAGTATTAGGATACAATTTACATTACGATAATATGTATGCCTTTATTTATGTATAAGGCATATAAGGCATATCAAAAATAGAGCTTGTACACAAGACATAACTTATACACAGGACGAAATCTAACTGATACATACGACGAAAGGCATCTCACTCATACATACAATGAGAGGCCACTAATTGATACATACAATGAGAGTAAATAACCGTTATATACAATGAAAGACATCTAATTGATACATACAATGAAAGACATCTAATTGACACATACAATGAAGGACGTCTAACTAATACAATGAAAGGCCTGTAATTGATACAGGCAAATAACTGAAACATTCGCAATTTCAATTACACGAAGATGATGTTACGCCATTTAACTTTTTACATTACTTGTTCTTAATTTTTAAATAGTAAGGAATATAGTTTAAAGAATTCAACATAAAACTAAAGTATTTTAACATTTTAAACACCACTTCCTTCTTTATGTTTATTTCCTTTTTTAGGAATGAGTTTGTTTTTCGTCACAATTAATTATCTTTCTTTCTTTTTTTCGTTGGCCTTACGCTTTTTACCATGAATTGTTTACATATCTTATTTTATGAGAATTGTACTCATGATGACGACGTCAACTCAAACTGTGTATATGAAGACCCTTTTTAAAGATATGATTTTATGTGACCACACATGTTTATAAACGATGTTAAAAATTCATTTACCTGTGATGATGTACGTGTAAATGGAACCAAAATTGAACATCGAATCAATTCAAATCATATTATCACACATTGTGATCATTATTAGTAAACGAGTGATTTTTTTATAATTTTAAATTGTTTTTACTTCCACCTTCACATCCAAAGGGAAGTGACTACGATGCAAAAGACCGTCAGTGCCGCACGCCCCTGCTTCTGGCCACCGCCCGCGGTGCCTGGCGCGCCGTTCGTTCGCTGCTTCAACGCGGAGCAGACTTTACACAGACGGATTGTGACAAGCGAAACGTCCTACATCTGGCGCTCCTACACGGGGGCAATCTCGATTTCTTCGGAAGGGAATTCTTCAAGGTGAGTGTATACAGAGAATACATCCACATTGTCTTTAAGGGTGTTTTCGTAGGTGTAAGGGCACACATTCATTTTTCGGCACTCGGGAGGGGTGCGGAAGTGAATTTTATTGCCCAAATATCAACATTCCAATTTATTAATATTTCGAGCGAACTGAGTGACTAAGTAAAACAAGAAATTAGAGAGTTTCAGGTGAAAATGTATTTTTTTTCCGAAATAAAGATACGATTAAAAATTACAAAATTAAAAGACTACATTGTTGCTCAAATCTTAGTAATACAAAGAAAACACAATTGGCCAAGGGGAAGGTGAAGGGGAAGCGGTGGATGTTGTCGCATTGCCTATAGCAGGCGATGTCAGTTTTTCATTTTTTTGTCGATTGTAAATTAGTTTTAATATGCAATAACTGTTGTTGTAAATCAGCAATGTGAGTTCTTTCCAGCACAGAAACTTCCTCTTGGAGATGTTAATCAACTCTTTTTAATGGGAAATTTATGGTAAACTCCGCCCGGCCCTTCACGTTAAAGATGCATATCGTGCCATGGTTCATTTTGCTAACCATGCCACCCAACCCGTTTATTGGATAACTTAATCAATGGTGCAATGTTTGTCTATATTCATTGAGGGGTTGAGAGTGGCACTACTGGCATGGAGGGGGGGGGGGGGTTCTTACATGGGAATGAAATATGAATATGCCAGGCATCCAACAAGGCTCTTCTGCGGAGAGACGCCCTGATCTTTAATCTTTTCTCGTCCTTCCTATTTTCACTTCCCTTTGTTTCATTTCATTCTCGCTCCTTGTTTAAAAAAAAGATGGGGGCGCTACCCTCCTGCCCCTGTGGCTACGCCATCGATCCTAATACCGACAAGCAGGTAGAAATCAATCCTATATTACCAAATCCAGCACAATCCTATCGCCGAACCCCCTCACACGTCACAATACGTTTAGATGTCGAACAAACCTTTTAGGGCCTTAATAGGATAATGCCCTTCTTCGCCTGCCTTGACCTTGTTCGCACCACGTTCAGAGCCAGACCAAATTGATAAATAAAAAGGAATAAATGAAAGAAAAAGTAAGGGGCTTCTAAAACAAAGAATAATGCACAGGGAATATAGAGCTCTCAATGCAAGGCAGTGTGTATGGGGAAAGTTAGCTTTCTGGTGATGATATATATATAGATATATATATATGTATATATATATATATATGTGTGTGTGTGTGTGTGTGTGTGTGTGTGTGTGTGCTGCGGATATATTTCTTTCAAAATTGTTTGCCATTTGGAAGGTATTTTATAAGACCAATCATTAATAGACTTTTAAAGATAATTGAGATACTGTATTATTTTCAGAAAATATATGATACAGCAGGTTGACTGTCCCCAAGCCTTTCGTTCACTCTGCCTTGAACTGACAGATGAGGGCTCTTCAATTCACTCTGCGTTATCCCTGCATTCGAAGAATGTGCCTGTTAGTGTTAGTGGTTATTTCTGACTGCCAACGGAAAATTTGCCTGTGGAAAAGTTATACAGGAATAATCTGTGACGTGTTTGTATATCAGGTGAAGCATAAACAATATCAACATTTCCGAAATAAGTACATGAGTTGTCTACTCAACAGAAAAGAAAGAAAGGCAAGGGAGGGAGACAGAGAGGGAGGGAGATGTAGAAAGAAATAGAGAGAGAGAGAGAAAAAAAAAAAAAAAAAAGAAAGAAAGAAACCCAACATATTATGTATAGCCACCCACAGTCAAGGGCAGTGGCAATACATGCAGCATACCAAAGAGACAAATGCTAACCTCACTTTAAGGTGATCTGAATCATAGTATTTTCTCCTCATCAGGAAATGTCTTTCGCTTTGGGGGTCTGATGGCACAAATTAACCCCTTGTTAGGCCTATCGACAATCCCACAGGGGAGATAGATAGATAGATGGATGGATAGAGAGAGAGAGAGAGAGAGAGAGAGAGAGAGAGAGAGAGAGAGAGAAATAGGGGAGAAGGGGGAATTACTAGATATTTAAAGGTAAAGAGAGAAAGAGTGAGAGAGAGAGAGAGAGAGAGAGAGAGAGAGAGGGGGGGGGGGGGTGAGGGGGGAGGGGGGTGGGGGGGGGGGGGGGGGGTGAGAGGGGTGAAAAGGAAAATATTATATAGAGATAAGAAGAAACGAAATCAGTTACGGTCTCTGTCTGGCAATGGTAATATCCTTCACTTCCACCACCTCATCTAACTCGTTCCCACCCCACCCCCTTCTACTTCTCCTTTTCTTGTTCCTTTTCTTCCTCGTCCTCTTTTTCTTCTCCTTCATCTTCTTCTTCTTCTTCTCCTTCTTTTGATTCTTTCCGGCCCCTCTTATTCCACCATCTTCCCTGTTGCTCATCTTCAACATCCTCACCCATCTCCAATCTCCCTTTCCTTGCATCATCATCACCATCATCATCAATATCATACCCTAAACATCCCTTTGCCCGGTCATTTACGATTATGACGTCACAGGGACATACATAATGGTACATTACACGTATTATATCAACTCGGACGATGACACGTCTTATCACATGGCCGATTAACTTCCTACTCTACTGCTAGCAATTTAGACATTTGCATGTATTCCTGGTCATTCACTTCAACGTAAAGTACAAGTTAAAGCTTTGCTTGATGCAAACAGTATAGTTAAAACAGCGGCGTAGCGGAAGTTCATCCGTGAGGGGGAGTTGGCATCACTTGGAAAATGTTATGCTAATCGAATCAAGGCTTCTGATCAGGGAAAGGATGTGCTAAGGGGTCTTACTGTTTTTGTTCTAGTCCTGTTTCCAATTTATCCTTTTTCCTTTTCTCTTTTCTTTTCAATTTCCTCATCGTTCATTATTGAAGGAAAAAATATAATCTAAATATCATAATGGTGAGAACAAACACTGGCATGAACGACCTGTCATAGTTAAGTCCAACTTAAAGTCGATCTTAGTCTTTGTGAACACACCCTGTTGTGAAACAGCCCAGCACGTGGTGGATCAGAGTGGAGTGTTCTCTTTTGTATAAATCCAATTTTGTCCTTTCTTGTTTCGCCAACTCTCTAAGCAGAAGGAAGGCGCATTGGAGCTGCTCAACCAGCGGGACTGTTCGGGCTGCACACCGATGCACTACGCCACCCAGCAGGGTAACATCAAATCCGTACAGGGCCTCATCGACTTGGGTGCCACGGTTAATCTGAAGAACAAGGAGAAGCAATCGCCGCTTCATTTCGCAGCCAGGTATTGCATGACGTAAGGCACACCTATCCTTTCCTTACTTCCGAAGTCTAACAGCCCCCCCCTCCCCCCCCGCCCCCCGCCCCATGCCTTTCGATTTCAAGTGCATGAACTATTAAAGCGTATAGGTTACCGCAACAGAGGCTTGATAAACAAATTCAACCAATCAGAACGAACCTTCATCATCAACCAAAAAAGGAAATATTTGAAATTTACAAAGTGGCATCACGTAGTTGCTAAACTGCGTTTGATTAAATTACAATTTTTTTTTTTTAAACCCACACCTTGTACATAATCATCGGATCTTTCTCAAACTTTCACTGATCTCTATTTCTTATTTGCATGTTTTTATAAAAACTAACTTAATATCAGGGTAGACATCCCCTTCCAATAGCTAAAAGGGAAATGAGTACGCCTCTGTTTCGGAAATCCCCCCTCCCTCCCATTCCCCAAACTGCCTGCACTCAGCGTAGAGAGAAGTTGTCAACCCGCAACGCCATTGACAGTGCTACATCAAAATAACATGTGATTAATTTCATTGGCTGTCACCTGACACCATGGCATGCATGTGACAAGGAGCCCGGTTTGCTATTGGCTGATTAGTGTAGTGACGTCAGGCAGGTAGATATGGGAAGGTTTGTTTCTCCATTATGAGAGCATAAAAGGGGAAGTCCACCCTGATATTAAGTCGGTTGTAATAGAAGCAGAAAAATGAGAGAAACAGGTCAGTGACATTTTAAGCAAAAACAGATTCAAAATAAGAAAATTATACATTTTAGAAAGTGCAATCATTAAAAACACATTGTCAACTCTGTGACGTATCTTGCGAGTTCTTCTTCTATTCGCCCTGTCCTACAAAACTTAAATGTTCAATCAGACATTCACCCTAAAAAGACTATCGCAGAATATGTTTTTTACCACTCCTGTATGAAACAAATCTATTCCGTCATGAATAACTAAAAAAAAAATGAAAGTTTATGCCATTTTCTGTACAGAGCAAATTGGAAAGGAGCTACCAGGATACATCACAGAGTTGCCAATTTATGTTTCACTGATGAAAACATTAACAAATCCTATTTCTAATCTTTCTAAAAACTATTTCTAATCTGATCTAATTTCTAATCGGATTTTGCTTAAAATTTCGCTATTTTCCCCCTCTCATTTTTCTGCTTTCTATTAAAATCAACTTAATGTCAGGGAAGACTTTCCATTTCAGAAATGCGGAAGGTTTTAAGTCAGCGTGAGCGTGATTCAGTTTTAAGTTTGCTAACGTAATCGTTGTAATAAGTCTTGAAGATTACCACCTGTATTTAACGTTTGATTCAAAAGAAATATTGAATGGCCATTGAAGCGCAGGAAGCATTAGAAGCTAAACCGTGAAAGTATCAATTTAATTAAAAATGTAGGCCAGGCCCCTGTGAATTCTATACAGGTTATTATTCGCTATGTTACACGATTTCGAGAGGCAAATTTGCGAAATATGGGTTAAGCCATTTGCTATGATATTAGATAAAGAATTCGGTGGAGAAGCCAGTTTGCTACTAGAGAGTTAAAAAAAATGCAAAATAATAGTTTATTGTGTGTGAATGCGCCCTTCCTCTGTTTCAATTTGAATTATTCCCATGTTTTGCATGTCTAACGAATGAAAGCCCCAATATCAAAATGGAAATAAATCAGTAGTACCCTGCGATTTTCAAGTTGCAAGTAACCAATCCATGCATGAAAGAAATATAAATGTAAACGATTAAGCGACTCAGTGTTGTTTGAAACCCTATACCAGCACTTTGCACAATTTTTTTAAATTTCAAATTCAAATATATAAATCTTGATTTGTGTGCGTCATTTAAACTACATAAATGATAAGATAACCAAAGTATGATTGGCTGGACACAAAGAATCGCATTACAATAAACAGAACAACTTACGTGAGGACTTCAAGGAGGGGGGTAGGGGAGGGGGAGAACGTATGCGATTGCAATTTTGTTTTGGACAAACCTTTCATTTAGAAACCGTTGGAAATGATGTACTCTCATTCATTTGTTTCGATGCCAACTAAATTAAATACATTTTAGATGGAAATATTTACCTTAAATTAATTAAAAGAATAAGGAAAACATTGGACTTGCATGTTTTAGTTTTGAAACCCAACTTAGGCTTTTGAATGAAATCAGTACAACATTTCATCAGGAAGATGTGATTATTTTTCTTTTCTTCCTGCATGTATAGGCTACTAATAAATAGCCTTATTAGAGATGTAGAAAACTCATAAGTAATTTTTTTAAAGCTCATTATCACGCGATGAATAAATAATTGTCATGTATTGTTATTATATTAAAAATGTGAAGATATAGCTGTTTTGTATAGTGAGGTCCACCTCCTTCGAGCATTTTTATTTCCTTGTGAAATGTCATAGCCAATTATATTACGTTGGCCCGACTGTCCATATCCGTGGGATTTAAAAAAAAAACGTTTATGAAGGTTTATGATTCTTATTAATCCATAAACACCATATTAGGTATTCATAGATGTAGAATGTCTTTATAATTGCAATTCTACCACCAATACGCACATTAATTATGTCAGTACTACCAAATATTGATTAATTATTTTCCTTTAATTTAAAAATGGCTTCCATTTTAGGTATGGTCGTCTTAATTCGTGTAAACGACTCTTGGACAGTGCAATAGGACCCCATATCTTGAATGAAAGTGATGGGGCAGGCAGGACGGCCCTCCACATCGCCTCTTGGAGCGGTCATGTTAAACTGGTACAGCTCTTACTCAGCAAAGGAGCTTTATTACATAGGTGAGAGCTTACAAATTATCTGAAAGGGATATTTTATTCATTCTAATTTTTATTTGTTAGCAGTACAAGGTTTGTATAAATATTTTTGTCGGATCGAAGCTTTAAATTAACCAAATCCCAAACTAGTATGAGCAATTAAGCACTCGTGTTAATTAATTTTTAATTTATACAGATTTTAAGTGTTTAGGATATTATTGGTGCACTTCAAGTCAGTACAATTTTTGAACTCGTGATTATTCATCCGTTTTTGATATCCGAAAAATTATGGTTGCAGAAATCCACTAGTATCAAAGCTTCTAATCTTAACCTTTCAAGATATTAATGAATGAAAAAAATGAATCGGTAACCCATGATAATCAAAAAACAATAATACAATGATATAAATAACCAAACAACAATAATGAATACAGTAATGACATACTTAAAAAATAGAAATGGAATGAATAATTTGCTTTGATCTAGGTTTTTCTACAGTTATGTGTTCACTTCTTGCACACAATATTAGATACACAAAATATGGTATGAAAAAATAATTGATTAATTTCTTTTCCTCAGGGATCATGAAGGTAGAACGCCTCTGCACTTAGCTGCCATAGAGGGCTACATTAATACGATGAAAGGTTTATTAGCTACACATCCTCATCTTATGAACCAAGCAGATGATGAAGGGGTAATCATATCATTCATCTATTTCACCTCTCCCCTTCCTCCTCCTTCTCATCCTATTCATTATTATCCCCTCATCTTAAGTTTCGCACCTATAATCCCTTGTTCTCCTCCTTTTCTAAATTTTGTCCTTCTCTGCAATCATCTTCATCATCAGCAACATCACCTCAAAAGCATCGTTATGTCAACATCTTCATCATTATAATAATTTTGATAGTAACCATCATCACTATACCATTGTTATCGTCACCGTTATCAACATTAATAATGTAATCATCTTTATCAACATCTTTATCTTAACCCTAAATTCTCTTTAAAGGGACTCGGTAACATTGTTCAAATGAGAGACAGTGGTGCTAAGGTAGTGACTTCAATGCTAGATGTACAATTAAAGATAATCTGAAAATTTGAGTGAAAACGGACATTTAAGGGTTGACAGATTTTTTATAGCCTGTTTTATGTCTTTTTTCATGGAAAAATGGTTGGGAAAATTCAAATATGGTTGGGAGAATTAACTGTTCAATATGGTTAGAGGGTGTCATACCTCGACTCCTTCAAAGAAAACCATAGATATCTTCGTGGTTTGAGAATTTTTTCAGGATTTTTTGCATGTCAAAGGATTAGTACAGTAGAAGGAATATAGTAAGTAACATTTAATATAAAAATTAAGCAATTTTTTCATCAACCTTCAACAATGTTACCAAGTCACTTTAATGATTATCCATTTAATTTCTCTCTTCAAATCCATCCTTTTCCCTATCGCGTTAAATTCTCATCTTCTGGTCTATTACGACAATATTCTGCTTGGTTTTTATCAGTAATAATATCGATATTATAAATGTTCAATTATCCTCAAATACGTTTCGGATATTGATGTTGCCCCCTCAGAACACTGCCTTACACCTGGCGGCGCGGGCCGGTCAGGCCGCCGTAGTCACATTCCTACTCGACAGCCAAGCCGCATTATTACGTAGTAATTCAGACCAGAGCTGTATGGAGGTGGCTATAGAATGCAGAAACAAAGATGTCGCAATGGCCTTCGTCATGAATGAAAGGTAAATTGAGGTGCTTGTAATTTCTCATTCTGTTTCGATAGGCGTATAGTTGTATAGTTGTACATAATAATGGCACCAACAGCCTCCCATAGTCTTCTGTCTGCGAAGTGGGAATTTAGGTGTTGGGTCACGTACTGTTGGCAATTCGAACCTAAGGTGGCGCTGTGCAATAAATAGTACGCTAGGTCAGAAAGGGCATCTGTTCAACATCGCTTCAAAGGGGTAGCACTTTTTCATATCTACGTTCCCATCATTTATATGCCTAATGCATATGTCCACTACATACCTTTATTCCTTTTTATGATTTAATAACTTCAATTTAATATCTTGATCTTAATTTTCACATCTATTTGTCCTCATGTGCATCCCTTTATCTACTTTGTCCACAACATCTCCGTTACCATTGTTTACTGTTTTCACGTAGGTGGCACGAAGCAATGGATGACTGTGGAGAGAGGAAGGCCCCTCACATGCTCGGCCTCATCGAGCAGTTACCAGAAGTGGCTTATGTGAGTTTAATCTGCGCAAATTAAGAAACCATCGACGACTGATGTTACCATGATATGTCATTCCAATCAAAATTAAGATGAAGTACATAATTACAAATGAAAAAATATTCAGATAAGAAGTGTCCATGATCATCACGTAAAACGTGACAAAAGAAAATATAATCCTTTACTTAATAAGAAAACACGTTGGAATTCCAGTAAATATATCAAATGCATGTATAAAGCTTTTCAATTGACAGAGCCATTTTGATAATGGCTCTGAATAGAATTTGAATTTTTATACGGAAAATAAAACCAACCAACCAACCAACCAACCAACATGTTCTAATATAAGTCATACAATATTATATAGATGCCTATTTTTAATTATTAGGAGGATGGATTCAGGACTGAGCATATCCTGCTCTGTTTTGCTCTGCCTCTGGAGGGCATGATATTATTTTATGGGAAAACGCCGAATATTTTGGCAATTGCAACACCTCATTCATCCTACAATTATGTAAACATATCTTTACAAACTGGCTCAACTGATTACCTCTTCTACAATAACTGCCCCTGGTATTACGATTCCAAGTCATTGAAAGCCTGCATTTACCATTTCCCGCTACCGAGTCATGCATATAAAATGATAGCAATAAATACTTTTGATCTTTTGTTTTGATGCTAGACTGTTTTAGAAAGATGTCAAACCGAGAAGAAAGCTGACGAGGAAGATCCAAGAAGTCGGGTAAGTTGCACTTTGACTCGCCCTCGGATTAGATTGCTAAAGAGAAATTGAAAAGAAGTGACTTATTAATCTCACATTATCCCCGAATAGTAACCTCACAAACAGTTTAGACAATGACTACCGAGGGCATTTGATAAAAGTTAAAGAACTTTGTCAGTCAGTGAAACGCTGTGTTTATACTGTCCGACAAAGTGAAATTTAAATGGAGATTCATGAAACGGCTCTTCGAAGAAGAATCTACTGGAGGAATGAAATCTTACTGGCTTCTGGAATCGTATATATTTATTTGACTTATTATTACAGAGTGGATGCATGTACATGTATATATCGTAACAGTATGTATATTATTTACTGTTCAACTCCATTATAAATATCATGTCTTGTTTTTGAAGATAAGTTACAAACACACTTCAATAAAAAACAAAAGAATCGTTATGAAAACAAAATTATTTCGGGAATTTCTTTGAAAAAAGTACTTTAACCTTATTTTCAAATCATTTACATCCTGTTTATATCGGGAGCCTCTTCCTTCTCTTATATTGTCTGAAATTTGACTGAAATTAAACTCAAACAAAAATACTCATCAACGTAATGTGATCAAGTGATTTTTTATATAATTTTTTCATTTTTTTCTCCCACGGAAATGCACACCGTACTTGGTAATGATACCTCCGAATAGCCGGTATTAAATCTAAATTTCTCTTTGTGTACTTAATCACATCTTCTTGATTCTTGTATATTCATATCCCAACTAAAGCTGTAGAATTCTAACTTAATTCTAAGACTATTGCTGCTAATCTTTGCCATCATATCCTATTTATTTCTGCTTCTCTCAGACACTTAATATGTCGATTCTAATGTATTGAATAGATTAAGTATTGTTATTTGAGTTGGTAATCTATTCCCACTCTTCTTTGGTATTTGATTGTTTTGGCATTCGATTATTCTCTCTAATTTGTCTTTGTACAAAAGATTGGTATTCGGATATATTTTTCTCGAGTTCCTGTTTTCTCAAATCAAAACTATTCTATGATGCTTAGCACTAACCATCTCTTTGTTATCTTTTTCGAATCTGAGTGCCGTGAAATGTTATACTCCTACAGCAAATAGTATACGCTGTTCGATCTCTGTGTCGTATTTATTCTTTATCAAATCATATGATAAAATATCTTCATTAAGCTCTATTTTCGTTTTCCTATGCTATTTACCTGTGACTGGTGTATCAGTCTATCAAAACTATTACGTGGAGGATTTTCCCCTGCTCATGTTCATATACATGCATTATTCTTGTGAGATACGTCCCTAGAAATGGATATAAAAGCATCAATTGGAAGCTTTCTTCGGTATAATGATAATAATATTAATAATAATAATAATGATAATTATAACAATAATGGTCACATTTGTATAGCGCTATATATTACATTTCAAAGTACTTTACATTGTAAGTATTACTACCCCGGTCATTTGATTCAATTGCTAATCCGCACATGTTAGAGCACCCGCCATTTTATATGCGCACACATGCCAATCCACATTTACGTTCGCATCCTACCGGGTACCCATTTAACACCTTGGTAGAAAGTGGCAAATGTAGATTGATGTCTTGCCAAAGTGCCCCGGTGGGACTCAAACCGCAAACCATGTGGTCCCCAATGTTGTGAAATATCTACTAGACCATGAAACCTCTGCTATAGTTCCTAAATCGATGCCTTCACTCTTCTCAAAAGGGGACCAAATTAAAATATGGTTTACTCTCTATGCAATAGGGGGTGACACCAGTGGCGGATCCAGGGGGGGGGGGGGGCCCGGGGGGCCCGGGCCCCCCCCCCCCCCCTTGAGAAAAAAATCATGTAAAATCACGTGATTTTTACCTTTTTTGGGGGTTGGCGCTCAAGGGGGGGGGGTGCAAATTGAATTTTTTTTTTGAGGATCCAAAATTTTTTTGGCCGGCGCGTTTTTTCAAATTTTCGGGAGCAAAAAGAAAAAAAGAAAAAAAAAAAAATTGTGCTCTGTACCCCCCCCCCCCCCCCCCCCCCCCCCCCACTGAGCGACTTTTCGGCCGGCGCGATTTTCAAATTTTCGGGAGCAAAAAAAAAAAAAAAGTTGGGCCCCCTCCCCTAAGAAATCCTGGATCCGCGCCTGGGTGACACGACATTTGCTCCTGCGACAATTGCTCCGGGCTTTATTTCGTCTAAGATGTAGGGTTAGGGTTAGGGTTTCAATCGGGTTTTATGTTAGGTTTAGGGTTAGGTTTAGGGTAGGGTATAGTGTTGAATCCAGGGTTGAAGTTAGCCATTCGATTAGTGTATGAAATTTACAGCGGAGCAATTGTCGCCGGAGCAAATGTCATGGAATCGCTTAGGGATCTGTGCAAGGTATCTTTCTTCAAATATCGCTCTCCGATATTATTCCTATACAATGTATGTATATTGCAGGTTTAAATAATTGTAATTGCAACTATATGCAACTTTGAAATTAACTCCGAGTCTTGCTAGCATTTACTTAGACAAAATTATACATATACTTATAATGCTCTATAATCTTTACTATTTGGTGGTCTCTTTCATTTCTTATACTGTTGGTGTTTATGTTTCTTTGTTTTTGTTAATAAGGTGTTTTTTGGTGGGGATGGTGATTATTAAATCCAAGTAAACGAAATATGTTTTTGTTATGAATTTCGTTATTATTTGACTCTTAAAATATTTTCCCGAATATTTTGTTATCAATTTGCAAATATCAATGAACAATAAAAATAGCAAAGCATTTGAAGTTTAGGAATATCAAAACAAAACGGGATCTATCGGTTTGATTGCCAGTTGTATTTTTCTTATTCTCTTTTTGGTATTTTTGTTGGTAATGAAAATAAAAATCAACGACAAAAAATGTTTACAATAATATAATATCAATAAAGTAAATGTATGTATACAGAACACGGTGTATTGCGAGTTGTAATTGAGCATTGCGCTTTACACGAGTTTAATCTATCTTAGATACTATCACGTATGTCGCTTGATTAATGGTGGTCTCTGTCTCTCTCTCTCTTTCTCTTTAGCGGAATTATGATTTTGCTTATCTTCGATGTATAAAGGACAAGCAACTCAAGTTCCTTAACAGTGAAGAAGGTTTCGTGCCTCTTCTTGTCTTAAATGTAAGTATAAATTTTATGGATAGTTTGTAGTAATAGAAAAATATGGAATAAAATGATGTAATGTAATCTCTTAGAAGAAGTCCATAAGGATGGTTGAAACAATCAATAATCAATCTATTACAATCTTAAAAAGTTCTTACCAGTGGCAGTTTTGATGAATCTTCTTCAGACAACTTCTTCAGACGTGCATTGAACTGGAGTTGAAGTTAACTACCAGTTTTAGGATCATTAGAAGATGCCGTTTTAACGATCGCTATAGCATACATCCTAGAGGGCAATCCAACCCTTGAAATAAGTTGATTTGTATGAAAACAGAAAATGAAACAAACAGAGAAGTGAAAGTTCTGAAGAAATCGGACCCCTTATAAAAGAATTATGAATGGCTGAAATATGAGATTATTAAATCTCAAATTGGCAATTTTGTCTGCAGATTGTGGCGTAGACTCAGAAAATCCTAATCACTTTTTGATTGCCTCTTAAGTGCTTACTACCTTGGGGCGCTACTCGAAATATATCATGGATCGCATATTAATATAGGTCCTCTGAAGAGAACAGAGCGCCCTGAGTCATACATTTTTCAAAAATTGAAATTCTTGTCATTTTGTGAGTTGGAACGAATGGGAAAGTTGTCCGCTACTGCATCACAGAGAAAAATATCAAAACCATATAAAATGCATCACATTTCATGAATATATAAGTACGCATTTGCCATTCCTATGATGTAAAATCTAGTGTTGGGCTTACGTAATTTCATTTTGCGTGTAATATAACTTTTAATTAATATTTTCGATTATAATTATGTGTCATGTGTGTTTGCTTTGCAGACAATGGTGAAATTCAATAGAATCAATTTACTATCCCACCCTGTGTGTGTTAACTACTTAGCAATGAAATGGTAAGTATAATCTTATTCTTTTACTTACTTGTCTTCTCTAGATATTGTTACTATAATCATAAGATGGAACTGTGGAGGTCAAAATTAAAAGACTAAAACAAAAGTCAATAAAATAAAGACAAAGCTCACAAAACAAAACATAGCAAACTAAAACATAGGACAAAAATATCGATAGAAATATGAAAAACATTTCATCCTTTGGCTTAAATCATATTCTTGTTATTTCTAGGAATGCCCATGTACGAGCCTGGCACATGACTAACATCAACATCTACCTGGTTTTTTCTTTTCTTTCTGAACTGTCTACCCTATTTATTTCCGTCAGCATGGTATTGCTCAGAATTTCAATCCCAAGTCTCATTGTTTATAAGATGATGAAGCGGATCCTAATTAAATGATTGGTCGAGGGCATACACATGACCAGGCATTTATTTTGCCTCACACGTAATTTGACTAGTGACCGGTCATTAGCAAATACGTATGACCGGTCATTAATAAAATCATGTTACAAAACATAATTTTATAAACCAAATAAAAGATCATTTTAGAAAACAAATAATACACATCAGTTTGTTGGGAGATTAGTAAAATTACCCACACTCGGTACCTCGGGCGTGTTAGACCTTGTGTTGGTAATTCTTACTAATGCCCTAACTTCTGTGTATTATTTGTATGATACGAGGGAATGGAAATGTTTTTGTTGCGTTTTCTAGGAATGCCTATGGACGAGCCTGTCACGTGACCAACATCACGATCTACCTGGTCTTTGTTTTCTTCCTAACCTACTTCGTGTGTGTGACCGATGTACCCGACAGCTTCCGGGTCCATAACAGAACCGACTTCGTGCAAAGCGACAGTGTTGAAGAATACCTTCGGTTACCCTACTCAGATGTGAGTATATACCCTCCCTCGGGTAGGAATCTAAACGAGGGTTACGTCGAATCAGGAGAACCACATTCAAATAGAGGACTGCACTACTTTTTCAAGTTATGTGTAATGGAATAAACAGCTTTTACTTTGTAAAAACCGTGGTTCCATACAAGTTATTGGTCGCTAGGAAGAGTTGCTCTGATTATCTTTAATACCGTTGACTTTTTCCCAATTTGTGATCAAAATAATAGTATTGAGCTCCCTGCTTCCACCTTATTTTACCGCGGTTACGAAGGGAAGTCAGTACCCACGGTAAAATAAGGCGGGGGCACGGAACTCAATATTATTCTTATGATCACAAATTGGGGAAAAGTCCACGGTAAGACAAACAGTTTTGTTGGAAGCACAAGACATACTACGTTTACACAAAGTACAATGTTATAATAAAGTTATAATAACACGAAGGTGCATAATAGTCATCGAGTAACTATTGACATTTTGTCCTTTTAACATTCACAACTAAATTGTTACATTTCTTGTTGATTTGACAGTTCACAATGTCCACCATTGTAGCTGTGTGGGTAATATGCGGCTTTGCCTCCATGAATATACTGAAGGAAATCGTCCAACTCTTGCAACAGGCAAGTATAACTGGTGTAAGTTTCCTATCTATATCAAACCACAAAAAAGGCTGCCAATTTGACGGCGCTTCGGCATGCTTTAGAGTTTAGCCCATTGCACCCCACGCACTCGTGGTGAGCTGTCCATAGCATGTACTGTCTTGTTTCGATGAGAGTTTGAGGGTTAATTTCCGCTGCATGGTGAGTATGTATACCGATTGTCTATTAAAGTCAGGACACGAAACATGCTAGATTATCTGGGCTTACCAATACGTAGTTATAGTATAGTAAACCGCATGTATTGATCTAAATATCATCACTAGAAAATTACGAAAATTTAAAATAAAGAATAGCAACTACTTTGCATGACTGTATACAATTATAAATTTAATCATGCTATCAACGTATAGAATGGAGCATGCAAAATATAGCTGCTAAGCTTTGAAGAGAGCCGCTTGGCGTTGTGTTGGTAGTGCCTGTGGTGATGGTAGTGGTGAGGGGATGGGTATTTCGGAGAGTGTTTTCCTATGTAAGGTAGTATAGTTGTCATAAGGTCACCCCAATATATTCTTACGAGGAGTTTAAAGTTTGGAAATTATTTTCTTTCTCTTGGAAACACACACTGAAAAAATGAGTTGAAACACAATAAGACAAATGTTTTCAACTTTACACTAATTGAACATGTATAATTATCTGAAGATCCAAATTCCTAATCATAAATTATTTTGCTAGACAGGTGGGTCATTGGATATCATTTTGTTTAACATGCATGGTTCTGGATTGCTAGAATTAATATAATATTGTGTTGTTTGTAGACAGTGCATACCTTTTGATAGTCTAAAATTAAAAAGATATAGAAGGAGTATAGTTAACACATGAGTAACCTACTACACTATCTTACAGCATATAATAATATCAGTGGTTGAGATATAAAGTTGTAAATTAGTGATTGTTGTATTATATTGTTTTTGATTTCATTTTGCTTATGGTGACGAAGTCCTATGTTATTCCTGAGCTTAAAAATAGGTAGTGCAATTCCTATTCCCAATATTGATGACTACCTACCTGCTTAAAAAAAGTGCTGTTGCAATTGCTCCATTTCGGATAATTATGCTTTTCAGGATCTAGTGCTTGGTGCACACGATGCGTTATTTCATTTCCATCATTCATAGATATTCGGGGAAAAACACCATCGCCCATAAAGTTAGAATAATGTTTTCTTATCTCTTGTTATGACATGATTGTGACGATATGATTCATCCTTGGTAAAAGAAGGTTATGGATCTTCTCAGAACTGTATTGATCCACCTAAACTGTCATAAAGGTTGATTAATAGGATTCAGAAAAGATTTAAACTTTATTTATCAAGATTTGTGTATTTGTCAAGAACAAAACGATGGTGTCACATTCACTTCATGACAAGAAGTAAGAACAAATTGTTACAATTTCATGGGCACATGTCTAAACTCATAGAACAGGTCCAGGAACAATCTCTGGCCTCAGACGCAATACCTTGGACATGTTGAAGCAGAAGGTTTGCGATTTGTCCGAAAATAGATTTTCGACAGGAAAACAGCAAAAGAAGAAGAAGAAGAAATCAACAAAATATACAGGGGTTACAATAATGCGTACATAATTATACAACGTTGTATCAAACTCTGGACGCCGTCATCATTTACGTAGGGCCTGTTCTCTGCCCCAGTTACTGTGACATGAAATCTAATGCTCTTAAAATTAGGTGACGTAATCGGCGGTAATGAAATAACGCATTGTGTGCACTAGGTAAAATTAAGATGAACTTGTAGACATGAATGAAATAATAATCAAAGTTTCAATACCTACCCTCTAATTTTGTTATCACCATCTTTCCTCTGCCAGAAAGGGAAATATTTCTATGAATTCACCAATCTGCTAGAATGGACGTTGTACGCCACCTCGTTAGCCTTCGTCGCCCCTTACCTTGCGGGGGAGAACAAGGATTTCCAATGGCAGTGCGGCGCCATAGCAGTTTTCCTCGCGTGGTTTAATTTTTTACTTTATTTACAAAGGTAAGTATCAGAATATGTGCGAGTTTTCTTTCCATGCATAAGCACTAAAAGTCGGAGCTTTTTCTCTTAAAGGCAGGGTATTTTACAGACGTCACTACCACTGGAGTAACGTATTTCCAATTGCCACACCTTTCGGTGAAGGCGTTCATAGAGCGAATTCAGTCGACAAAGGTTGTAGTGGTAATTTGTAACTCGTATTAAGTTCACCTGAAACGCCTAGAATGTATCTTTTAAGCTTCGTTCTTATATGACATGGCATTAGAACAAAATGATGAAGTAATGTATACTACGCCTTACATTCTTGTATCTTGTAACACAGAGCTCAGTAAAAACACGCTTATAATCTAATTTTTTTTTTTTTAATGCGGCGGGTTTTTTGGGGTTGCAGTTAACCATGTCATATCTAAACAAACCCTCACGAGGGTATTATTTTTACTACTTTGTTCTCCTTAAAACTATATAGATTCGATATATTTGGGATCTACGTAGTGATGTTTCTAGAGATTCTTCGTACATTAGTCCAAGTTCTACTTGTCTTCTCAATCCTCATCGTCGCGTTCGGCCTCACGTTTCACATCTTATTACCACGAGAGGCAAGTAACACTTCTCGACATTGGCATAACGAGGGTCAGGCGGTTAAGGGACACTGGCCTCATTGGGGCGGGTGGGAAGATTGGGGGGGGGGCGTCAGATCATCTTATCATTTCTCCATAATTTTGCCCTTCTCACACTCTTTTGTTTCCATTTTCTCTTTGTTTATTTTCATGATTTTGTCAGGGGGGTTCTAGCCTTCGTGTCCGTGCCTTTTCGTATCTACACCACTGCTTCTGTGCTATAAATCTGTTACGATCGGTTGTCTGCAGCATTTTCAGATAGTTAACGACAATTTAATGGTTTCGATTCATTATTAAGCTTTAGCAAGAGTAAAAGGATTCATATCCTTATATTTACCATGTCTTATTCATTTCATGCACTTACACTAATTACTAAATCGTGTTTTTATTTGGGAAAATCAAATATCTGTAAATCATGCATGCAATTCAGCCATTGGCTGCGATATGATGATGGATAAACACCTCACCTTACCTTACCTTATTATATAGGACAACCACGCACATAACACACCCGCCATGTCCCTCCTTCGCGTTTCCACCGCGCTTCTCCTGGGCGAACTCGACTTCATCAACTCATTCGTCGACCCGCTCAACGATGGCAACAATATCACCATGCCTTATCCAGAACTCACCTATTTCTTTCTCATCGGCCTTGTACTGCTTATGCCGATCCTGCTCATGAATCTCTTGGTAGGTATTGACACCTCTACATCGTTAACGTTGTTAGCGAAAAGGGGTAAGGGGAGGGAGAGTCAACTTCCCAGTTGAACTTTGTCGGACAAATCAAAATTATTTTTGTTCTCGATTGCCCCGTAAAAATAAACATTCAACCATTACTAACTCCTTTAGTGGCAAATGTATGACATTTGGTCCGAGGTCTGAGTCCTACTTTTTCTTTTTAAAACAAGTGATATGAGACAAACATGACAAAATGTCGTCAGTAAATGAATTAGATGAATCCGGACCATTTTTTTATATTTTTTTTTAGGGGGGGGGGGGATTTGTCGTGCTTGGGGGTTGTCTACCAAGTTAAACATACAATCTGTTTCGATATTCAATCACTGGCCCGATTCAAATTATTTTCAAAAGGTAAGAATGTCATTATTGTTTACGGTCGCAACATAATGACTGGTACTCGTTCTTCCTTCATAGATTGGTTTGGCGGTCGGCGACATCGCCTCGATGCAACACAACGCTCATCTCAAGCGTCTCGCCATGCAGGTCGAACTCCACACCGACCTAGAGCAGAAGCTTCCCGCTCGCATCTTACAAGCAGGCGAGAGAGACCAGTACACCGTATACACCCATACCGCCAAGTACTTTATACTCAGGGTAAAGGTGAACAGTTCAGCGTGACATCTCTGTGGCGTGACTAACCCGCACCACCGTTAGGCGTTAACAAAATTTAAAAAAAATGTTGTATTGCCATTTGCGACAGACCCGGAAATCTTAAAATCTAAGGTCGGCTTTTAAAAATTAAAAAAAAAAAACTGTTTTTAAAAGGGAAAAGAAGTATTTTGTTTGTTTAAATGTGATTTAAATGCCTAAAATAATCAAATCCTTACTTGTCTTTTGCCCTCGTTTCGAAATCCTGCAAGGGTAAATAAGTAGTCACAGCCTCGCGTACGTGCATATACCATGCATTGCACCATCTAGAAACCAGCGAGATGTGGATGACGGTCGCTGTTTTGAGTTTTTTGGGTGACGGTCGCTATTTTGAGTTTTTTGGGTGACGGTCGCTGTTTTGAGTTTTTTGGGTAACGGTCGCAGTTTTGAGTTTTTTGGGTGACGGTCGCTGTTTTTAGGCGAAAAAAAGAAAGAAAATATATACGACCGACCGACCCAAGTTCTGCCACCTAAATGGCAATACAACACCTTTTTTCAAGGGCCTTAATCAGTGAGCGAACTCACACGCAATTACACATAGTACATTCGTAGTGTACAGGGTGCTCTGGTATTTTTTTTTAATTAGATCGTGTACTACGTGCGACCACGTGTGAGTTTGCAAAGTGACCCTCTGCAATGCGATTGCGACAGTCAGTCACGCGACAGAGAGGTCACAGTAAAGAGAGCCCAGGCTAAGGAATAAGATGGGAATTTGGGAATTTTGTACTTCGGAAGAAGCGGAATGGGTGAAACAAGAACAAAATCTAAGAAAAATCTAAATTGATAAAAACCGGATAAAAAGAGATAGTAGTGATTTTTTTTGTTCGTTCGTTTGTTCGTTTGTTTGTTGTATGTTGTTTTAAAGTTGATATTTTGAAAATAAATTATGTCCCAATAGCAGTGAGTGGTAGGCAGAAATGTCTGTCCTACTTTTAAATTGGAAAAAGTATCAATTTAGAACACACCACATAGTGTGTAAGATATGACACACAATAGCCACAATGCAACGTTACAGTACAAAAGTTCTCATTCGTTGTAAGAATTTTCTCAATTTTTCACTGAGTTTTGTTTCTTTCCTGCCATCACTCTTACGAAGGATCAACTCAACGCTAAGTTCCGGCAGTCTTTTGCTGAAGAACTGTGCCCCCCTTTTAAAAAATAGATATTCCACCAAAAATGTGTTATGATATTTATAATATATGTATATTCATATACCGGGTAGAAAAACTCTATGTATGCCTGAAAATGAGCTGTGCTGGCGTATCCCTTTTTATCAAGGTGATTGCACCTTTCATTTTCATTTTCATTCATTAACATCAAATTATCATTTTGCACATTTACCTTTCTCTTCATTCATGAATATTCTCTCATGGCAACCTATATTATCATACTTAATTCAGTCATCAGCATGCTTATATTCATACTCCCGTTTTATTTTGTTATTTTGATACCTATGACCCGGAAATACGACCTTTGCAACTGATCAGGCTCATGAGAGAGGGAAATACTTCTTCTATATAAAGATGCTGCAGTACTTCATTTATAGGGTGAGGATATTTTTTGTGCCGTGGGATGCTATAGATTAGTATTTAAATGCTTGCTTTTTATTTTCGTGTTAACATTTTATCGATCCCAGCCATATAAATACTAAGCAGAGGAATTGAATAATCGAATCATATTGTCTAAAACTTACAAATTGTTTTCTTCTTTTTTTCCTTCGTTATATGGGCAAGCTCTAGAAAGCTTTAAGTCATGCCTCAAAACCCATCTTTTCAAGCAAATGTGTAGTCCATGATTTTTAGAGGAGCGGGCGCCTTTGCATGTTTGAAACAGATAAATGGCGCCATACAAATGCTGTGGATCATCATCATCATCTCTATCTCTGTTAAGCGCGCAAAGCCATTTTGGTGATATGTACAAACAAGCTTATGAAAACTGTATTGTATACGTTGCAATGAAATTGTATCTTCCTTTTTACCATCGCTAACATTTCTACTTTTGCAATCATTTCCCGACTTTCAAATTCTTGTACATGATTTTCAAAACTATTTTCGATTTTTGTATTTACTTATATTATGTATCATATCAATAACATGTAATACTTTAAAGATCATATCACTGCTGTCAACAGTTGCACTGCTCCCATCATCATGCCGCTTCAATAAATGCTCTCAAAATTTGATCAGTTTCATGTAACACGGGTACTGTCAATTCCAAAGATTCCATCATTTCTATTCCAATGTTATTATTTGAATAACTCCATCCAGGAATATTGACTATTGCTTATTGTTACCATTTATATTACAAAGTACTTTAGTAGCAACATGTGTTAAAACACCATTTGGGAATATTTCTTCTGGCGAGACAGGTATACTAATATTGATGAGTACATGACTTTATAAAAATGTACACTCTTGTAATATACCTCTTCCTCCTATTACTCTAAACACTACTCCTACTTCTACTACCACTACTACTACTAAATAATAATGATAATACTAATCATCATCATGAATTGCCAAGTTCTTTTACAAAGCTTTTTTCTAAGCGAAACCAACAAGTTATATACGCAAGAACAATTGAATACGTCGGCGGAAAGTAAACTAATAAAAGTGTTGCACTTACGATATATCATGCCTGTTGTCTGTCAGGTTATACTATGGTTTGCTAATCTCAAGGATCGCAGAAATTTTCGAAAAATCCACGTTCGGCGATTTCATCAGCCGTCATGTCCACCCTTTATCGAAATGGGCGAACAATACAAAGACCCATTTTGTAATACGATCATTATTTGAAAAGGGATGTACAAACAAGGTATTGCATTTCTCCGTGCGTTACATTATGGGAACACAAGTTACAGGTCGTGTTTTATATGTTTCGAAAAAACAGATTTGGAATAAAATCCGTGAAACAGCCGGAATGGAAGGAAACGCCATCGGTTCAAAGTTGGGAGGTGATGCTGCAAACGATCCCCAGCTTGTTATACTCCAAAACGAGATGATTAGCCAGAAGAGAAGGTATGTAAACAATTTAGGCGCACCACTCACTCACTCCCTTCACCCTCACCCGCACCCACTCTCACACACACCCACACCCACCCCCTGGTTGTACGACACATGCTCCGGTAACAATATACCGATTTACTGACGTATTACAATTTATATGCATACTTTTAAACAAATATTGTTCTTGACGACCTGAGACCCTGCTCGAGGATTGTCCGACATAGCACTAGGTAATGTACACAGACTGGAGTTCTAGTATCGTAATTCATTCATTATTGACGGGTTAATGGAATAAGTCGTCACCGGGTCCCCAGGAAAGAAACATCCATACATTTATATTACACCGCGGTTATTCATGAAGAGTCAATTAATCCCGAACTTCCATCCCAATTCTAACCCTGTACATTACCCAAATCCTAAAATTTAAAGCAGAATATTTTACCGACATCGCTAACACTGCTGCAATGTATTTTCAATTGCGTAATCTGTCCTTGAAGGCATAGCATGGACCTGTTGGCAGATCAGCCCTGTGCCAAACAACTTATCCAATAATATAGATATATCGACTGCTTTAATATGCAAGTCCTAGCTGTTTCTATACTGGCTCTCGGGGACGTTGCATCCTGCCATGACCCCGAAGCGCCGTAGCAAATGTCGCTTAAAGATAAAGACCAGTTCTAGTCATGCGATTGCATTGTAAAAGAAACGTTGTGGAATTGTTCAGAAAAGGTTGATCATCTAGCATACACGTTTTGCTGTGTACTGCAAGGTTCTGGAATCATCAAAATGATAAGAAATTTGGAAGAGTCTTGGTAAAGTTACAATCACTGTACACAGAAAGATGTATATGGGACTACGCGACACGTGAGCGATATCTATCAGGTCCAAATAGATATAATAATTTACCAAAAATATCAATTAGTAGACGGTTTCTCTGCAAAATTTGTATCATTACGTATTAGTCAAAACATATTCTTTCACATGATTGGTAATAAGAGCTTCTATTTCATTTTTGAGAGGGGGGGGGGCATTTCCAAAAACTGGTCTTTACCCTTTCATCCCATTCATCCCCTTCCATTTCGTTTTGCACCTCCCCTCGTCATTTAGAATGTACTGTAGTTATTAACATGGTAAATTATACACATGTTGTTTGAATATTTGTGACCTTTTTGTTGTTGATTTTTTTTGTGTAAATTGCTTTTACAGTTGTCAACTCACACGTAATGTTTGTGAACTTAAGGATTTGTCATGGTCTGTTTTTGTGTGAAAACTCTTGGATGTGTGGGAAGATTGAAATTTTACTTGGACAATATAAATTATTTAAGAATGGAATGAATGGAATGATTATAATTCATTGATATTTGATTAATCCTGTTTAACAAAAGATTCGTTTTAATCGGAAGTGCATCTCGACTTACATGTGTACTGGATTTTGAAACGTCCTCTAAGCAATGCTTACGAAATTGTATAGGTCACCTTAATTTCAAAGTGACGTTCATAACTGATTTTTATCCTGCTATTTCACGAATTCATCCTTCTTCTTGTCAAGAGGTTCCCAATAATACTAGGTTCCATATTAACGCCATACACCAAGTATGCGCGTGGTATAATCTGTGTTAGATAAAATTTCATTCCGTTCCCTCGCTAGTGTTGGAATGATCGTCATTATCTGCAGTTGTCCAATAAGCTGTCATTTTTTATTTTAAAAAAAATTGTATGTGTTTATGTGATTCATAAATATTACTTAATTCATTTTTTACTATGGACATACTGGCTAATTTTTACTAAAACCCCAAAACTGTTTCTACACCCTTGTTTATCTTTTGACTATTTTTCAATAATGTTATCAACATTATTTGTCAATCGTTGCTGGTCATAATGTATTACATCATCTGTTTTACGTGAACATCGTTTCCCACGTTTTTTGTATCTCTTTATAATTAGTTTAATGGTGGTAGAGCTAAAAAGGAAATAAACAGGTTTGACCAAGTTATAATGATTGGTTGAAACAATATAATACACCGAATCAAAATTCCTTGGGAATGTATCTTTTTAACAAAACAAAATTCAATAACGACATACATTCACAAAGTCGTATACAGTTTACAGTAAGATTTTAAACTTGCCCCATATCTGTAGTAATATAATATGTACTTAATCTGAGGGCAAATTATCAAAATTCCTCAAAATAACCGAGATTCTTTTAATTTTATTAATGAAGTATGAATCATATTCGATTAATTGAATGATTAATGATACTTATTGGCTTTGATTTTAATGTGGTGTTCATTTTACATGATTAAATGATTGACAGTCCTTTGAAACCATCTGGGCATCTACTTTTCCCCATTCTCTTTGTATCTCTTGCTTGGCATATCTGCGGCAGACTAATAACGAATACGGCATCTTCCTTAACTGACGGGTGAGGTATTCAACAAGTAGACATTGACAGTTTAAGAAATAACCAACAAAAAGTGCCTGCGCTTTTAGATTTTGGATATTGTCATTAATTCATCCCGCTTGGGCCCCAAGACCTAGTCTAGACATTACGCCCCCCTAGTCATCCCCAAATACCCTGTAGAGCGAAAATTGCTGTTACCCCCATCCTAATTCATACCCAATGCGCATGCGTGTGCACGTCCCTTTTTTCCAACTGAGTATTAGACCACATAAACAATTTTTTTTTAAAGAGGAAACAAATTAAAACAACAGCAACAAAAAAAGAAGAGAAAACAATATATTTTTCTTTCTTCAGAAAATTTGCTACTAAAAATTATGAATGAATCGATTCTTTAAAAGATGATGTATTCCAACTTTCCGGGCTACTACACTTATGCTATTGTTTGGATAGAATCAAAGGTGATGAAAATTATCGGTATTTTCTCACAACCATCCCTATCCACGATTGCAAACTTGCTTTACACACTGTTTTTCTGTAAATCAGGCAGACCTTTTCATTCACGAAATTGCATGTTGTTACCTCACCCTTCAGTTCAAAGTTTGAAGAAAGACAAAAAATAATCAGAAGTGCAAATTTCCTGCCACTCGTGCATTTTTCTACTCTTCTAAATCTTGTTTCATATTGTTTTGCATTACGTGCATGCATTTGCATTTGTATTTCATTTATTTGTATCATTTGTGTTCTTGTAGACATAATTTGGGCGACATCAACTAGGTCTATTTTACGACAAGATGAGCTGCTTGCTGCTTCTAATGTACTTTTAAGCACGTTTATTTCCTTTAGTACCATATCATCATTCGATCTAGCAGTAATAACGATTATAACATTATTTCAAGTTGTCTTTGAATTATTCTTCGTTCGTTACTAACAACTTAAGTTAAATGTTGAACAAATGTATGATTTGATTGATACTAGAATTTACCTCTTAAGGCATTAATAGGGGTTATCTCAACCCAAGTTCAGCTGTTAATTTCCTAGAACGTTAATTATGGTCCATTTACTTATACTTTTGATTTATTTGTTTATTCTTTACAATTGATATGCTTTAATTTATATGTTTTGATTGATTGACTAATTTATTTTATTTCATTTCATATAATAATTGTTTACACAATAAAGAACAAAGTTGACAAAGTAAGATCAAAATTATGAAATGAAACAGGAACAGCAGCAAATATACCACCAAGATTATCAAAATGCGTTAGCCATATTCAACTGAGTAAAATATTCTGGCACCCCTAAAGAGCTCATTTTGAAGAAATAAAGATGCATTATCCTAGCATGTTTAGACGTTTATTTTACTTTTATTTTCTACCTCTTATTATATTTAGTTTTCGCTCTAAACATCTTTAAAGCGGCTTGTATATTGATAAGTAGTTAATAGGCATTTCGCTATGGGCGGTTACAATACCGTTTCCAAATAGATAGGCTGCGGTGCATTCTCTCTTCCTCCTTCTCCTCCCCTGTATTCGTGCGGAAGTGACGTCATTAGTTCATTTTCAGGTTGACCTTAATCTCCCGCAGACTGAAAGAGGTCAAAGAGCAACTGGACCGGCAGTACGACCTGCTGCGCCTCATCGTGCAGAAAATGGAGATCCGCAGCGAGGCGGAGGACCGCGACGAAGGCGAAGGACCGGGCGAGCACGGCAGGTCAGGGCAGCTTGAATTAGACTGGCTAGCAGAGTACTAGTAAGCACCACCCTCTGTTCCATCTCATCTTACATTCATTTTACACTCTCATATTTTATGTTCTTCCGCCGTGGTATCTCGACATTCTTAGACGTACGCTTTTGCGCGTTTTATTTTGCGAGGTAAAGAGCATCATACCCTACTTGTTTACTGATCGCGTAGTGAGGTCCGTTCTCAAACAGGCCAACTCACACACTCGTTTTTGTCCGCACACAAACGCGCGGCAAAGTAATCGCGATTGTTTAAAAAAAGAAAATTGCACTTTAAGTGCGATTCTGATCAGAATTGAAAACTTAAATTGGAAAGTGTTTTGGACCATATAATGTTTTTGTCCCAATAAATGTTGCAAAAGAAAAGCAGTGAAGAGGGTAGTACTGTAAGGCACGTGCACCTCTGTGCGTCCGAGATCTCACAGCGGCCTGATATCATTTTCATCGTTATTTTAAATAAATCATGATGTACAAAGCCCAGCAAATTTACACTACCATCATTTCCCCGATTTAGTTTTGTATCATTATTTAATTGTGCTGGAATTACTATTGATTCAAATATTTACAGTTTTACAGTATTATATATTTTTTTTTAATTTAAAAGCTATCAACCAGTTTCCGGGAATACCAAAGGAAAAAAAATCTAAATGCAAAAGATTTGGTAATTCATTCAATTTAACTAGAGAGAAAAATTCGTAAAAGGCAACTGATTTCATACACTGTGCAAACAATCAAAAGGTGGATTCCTCTCAGTCTCTGTAAGAAGTGATACATTTCCCTCATATAACGTTATGACTGTTTTATTTCCTGGTATATCATTGCGTCAGACCAGGTAAAATTGTCCAGAATTATCAAAGTGGTTTTTAAAAGTATCTTGAATATGTTGTTGTATAGAAAATTGTTAAAGAATTCGAACATTAAAGGGTAGATATTATTAATAATAAAGTTGCATATAAAACATAAAATAAAATAGGACATATACATAATACTGACTAAGTTTCAACTTTGGGCTATCATGATTTTCTTGATTCAAAATGTGTTTACTCTCATTTGCATTTTGCATGACATTTGTGGATGTGCATGTGTTATGATTTAGGTTTGAAAGTTGTTGATTTGTGCTAAAAAATAGTCACTTTTGTTTGTATTATCTCTGCCATCTTAACAATAAAATAACTGTATTTTTTATAGTATTTTCCCGTCAGGCAAGATTGCATATTTGTTGTAACCTCTTGTATTGATTGTGTTTGTGTTTTTCATGGTTCGAAATAAATGTTGATGATGCACGTAGCGAGTTAAAAAGCCAATCAAAATAAGTTATTTGACTTTTCCGATGGATATTGGCAATAATCAAAGGTAAGGTTGAAAAACAAAATCATTTGAATTTATAAATTGCAGTCTGATGCGTGTATTTGCAGTGTATATGAGCAAGCTCCGAGCTTGTAAAACAAAAAATAGAGGTTGAAATTAAATAGAGAATGCGAGATTATGTTTAAATTACTTGCTGTGGCCCCATCACCGTCACGAATCCTGTTTTTTCTCTCCATTCAGCACCCCCTACTCTTTAGTCTTAGACATGTTTCGACCTTCAGGGTATATACTGTATGTATATAATTCTATTACGCTCTTTTGTAATATATTTAATTTGACTTGATTTAAAATCAGTTAAACGCACACTATACGACGAATCAATGTCGTATTGCATCACGGGGTTCGGAAATGTAAATGTAACGGCCTAATTCAGTGCATTGAGATGCTTGTCGTGTGCATGTGCTAATGACTTCTATAGATTGCCTTGTAGCAGGATAGTAACGGAAAATGAAGAATTTGTAACAATAATGAGTAAGTAAATCATTTTTATCACCCATATTAACATATACTGTTTACCCATCCCTAACCCAAACCTTGTAATTGATATTGGCAAACTAACAATGTCCCCAAATGCAATTGCTACTAATTCTATCGTGATAGTCCAGATATTTCTAGCATTTTTTTTGTCTCAAACAAATATCATTGTCCATCATTGCCTTCCATTCGAACTTTGTCATGATTTCATTGGGGGTAATACCATGAGTACTTTAATCCTTGTAGTTTAAAAAAATAGCTACTATGTTATTTGTCCTTTTGTTAACCGTAACCGAGTAATTTTAGGTTCGCATGCCTTTACATTTTAGACGCTTATTCTGTATTTTCTCAATTTCTTTTTCCATATATTAATCAAAAACCCATATGCGGACACACTATAACCATTGTCATTTTCTTCTATTTCAACTCCACTCCTCCGCCTGCTTGTATCCGTCCTTAACACTGCACTCCCTAATCTCTCCGACTATAAACTCGCCCTCTAAAATGTTTCATTGTTCGTACCGAACATTATTGTCTGTCAATATTTGTGTGTTTCTTTCCTGCAACTTAATAACCACTTCTTGCCAAAACAACCGCCTTTACCCAACATCCACCCAAATAACCATCACTTTGCCATAACATTGTATTTAAACATCTGGTGTTCTTAAATCATCTTGTTGTTGTCCCTGAATGCCTCCTTTCTTTCCTTGTCCACTACCTTATCACCTTTACCATTTACACTCATCACAAACGCCATCACTACCACTTACACCTTCACTACCACTTACACCACCACCACCACCATAATCCTCCTCACCCCTTTCATCATCGCCATCGCAACCATTTGAACGGACACCCCAACCACCATGCCCACCAACGCCTCCAATACCACAACCATCATGACCACCACCTCTACCACCTTTACCACTCCACCATAATTACCACCTAACACCGCCACCACATCTTTCACGGCGATCTCTAATACAACCACCACAACTACAACAACCACAACCACTACCACTACCACTACCACCACCACCACTACCACCTCTACTGTCACCTCTTCCCGTTTGTACTGCTTCATTCTCAAACCTTAGATGGTTACCTTCAGCCAACTACGGCACCGACTTCTCCCAGTTCGTCTCATCTCGCAGCTCCAGGAGCTCCAGTCTAGCGAGTGTCGGAGGGCTCGGCACCGTGATCAGGCAGGACAGCGCCCCCACCGTCCCCACCAGATCATCACCATCCTCTGTGCGTGCGGCGTCCACCTGGAGTTTACCCCGGTCGCGGTTACTTTCATCTTCAGAGTCAACGATCTGAGATTTTCCATTGGCCCATAACCGTTGACATACTTTTTTTGCAGCACGTTATTTAGTGACGCCACATTCGCCTTGTCACTCTATGCCGCACTTCCAAAGTCTGATATTAGTGTCCGTAAAGAAGCATACGTTAACCGAATTTCGATGACTATGTTCTGATTTTGTTCGATATTAGTGGAAACAAGGATGTGCAAAAGCTTTACATTATGTCCAGATTCTTATTGGAATTTCAAACTAACAAATGTAATGTTGAATCGTGCAATGGTTTACGCAAACTGTTTCCCTTACTTAGCCAGGCCAAACAATTATATTAAGCCATATTAAGTCACTTGTTCATGTACAGTACACCTAGGGCCAGCTTCTTGAAACCGTCATAGGTCTAAGTTCGTGGATATCCCATAGAAACGCGTGTCAATTATATAACACACGTTTCAATAAGATGTCTAAGAACTTAGACTTATGACGGTTTCGAGAAATGCCCCCATAGGGCAACGGCATCAGTGATGTTAATACAAGTTCAACGACACGTGTTTCAATGGCCTATCAGTGAAGTTGTAACTCATGGTGGATTCGTGAAATGACGCTATGGACCCGAACACACTGGGCCATCTTATAGTTGTGTACACACGTTACTTATAATTCATGCAAAACTGGGGACATTTTTTTAAATATCATCTTTGATATTTTTATTCCTCGCGAGGTGAGTTCATGTATATGTTCCAAATGGGAAATTACTTTCAATTCATTCAAAAAGTGTTCCTCACCTTTTTTGCCATTCCTGACTTTCGTCTTCAATATTTACATTCAGTAATAGAATGCAACATATTTGATAAGTGCATGTATATTTTTCTTTTTAAATTGTTTCTCCAGACCTTTAAATAAAGGATGAATATTGCATTGTCGTTGGAAGTTGCAAAGATAAAAAAAAAACGGAACAAAGGTTGATGACAACAAATTTGACCTTTTTCTTGTGATTGGTACATTTTAAAGATATTTCACACCTGATAAAGGTTTCAAGGAAACAAGTTTCTGAAATAAAAGCTCAGTCACAGTCGACATAATTACCTAATAAATTATCCTGTTAAGCTATGTGTAATGAACAAAATCATCACACCTTCTTCTGAGACAACACTTTTAAAAATTCTATTACTGTGTGTAGATGGTCCACGGGCTTGACATCTTAGAGAAAGAATTTAAAATTTGATTGTGATTAAGAATATATTAAATCTTCTTTATCTCCATCGCCTTATAGAACCTGGCGTTTCCTGTATCAAAACTTACGCCTTAAATCAATGTTGTCTTTTTATAGTACCCAACGTGTTAAGCTGCTAAGCATTTACTGACTCTCTCTCCAGGCAAATTTGATTTGTAAAATGTATTTAAAAAAAATATTTCTTATCTTTAAACTTTGTAAACAGCCATATCTTTTTCGAAAACTGTAATCTTGAACGTCAATGTGCAATTTATAAAGCAAAAGCATTGTATGACCTTGTAAGGTGATGCTAGGTGAAGAAAAAAGACTGGACAATGAATTTTAAAGAAATCCTTCGTCTATGTTATCTTACACAAAAAGAGACGAAACTTTTAAATGTGATCACAGCGTGAATATTCCTTACAGTTCTCTGAATGAGATTAGGCATTATATGTTTAATCTTTATTCACTAGTGTTCCCGATGTGAATGAGGCGGATACAATAATCGTTGCATCCACTTATAAATTCACAATGTGATGTTCAACAGAAGTCCGGAAACAAAATGCCTCTTTTCTCTACTAAAATATAAACTATTACGCTATGTATTTCTTATTCTGATTTGATACTCACAAGAGTACAGTAGCTAGTTTTACTCGTTTACATTATGGACTGAAGCAGTCTTTGAAGTAAATACAATTTTACGAAATACTTTATGATATTCCTAGCATTGAACAGTCTTATGTGATGAAATGCTAATGACATATTTTTGTAACTGGTACATAATATGAACTTGTTAAAATATATAAAGGTATACAATGTTTAATATTGACTTTGCTTCAGGGAAGTGATCTGATGTTGTACATCACAGTGATAAAAATTAAACAGTTTATTGTGCTGTATTAAATGCTATAATCTGTGATATCACAATAAACATTTTGATTGGAAAATGATTAATTCTTCAAGCGTGTCACTTAATGTCCGGAAGTTGTAGTGTGGTATTTGAATGTTTAAAGATAGAGAGCGATTTCACCTTAGGCACGAGTTCAGCGTTATTATATACAGAATACACAAGCTTTGTCATGCAGTTGGAAATAGAATAGATTGATGTAATAATGACTTATGCCGAGAGCATGAACTAAATCGACACACTTCATTTAGATTTCATCTGGAAATTCGTCTTGAATTGCGTCGTGAATTGGCACAAGAACACTTTAGTAAAAGCTAATCTTCATTTTGTTTTTAAGAAGCGGCTGTTCGCATCGCCACATGCTACCCGGAAGGAATTCCTCTGGAGTATACGGTTGTAGTAGTCCGTCATTAGAGGGCGCTTCGACAGGTAAAACCTTTGGGCCTGACCCACGAAGGTCAAACGATGAAGAAAGCAGGATAGGTGAATATCTGCGACCGTGACGGTATTGCCACACAGCCAGTACTCATCATCACCTGCTTTGAATATAATAAAATTCAAAGAAAAGGAAACATTAAACGCAAGGAAACCGCTTGTTTTTCACATAGCTCTCATCTTTTTTTTCTCGTTCTCGACGTGCCTTCAGGAGCCTACATGAAATCCGATCTACTTCTATTTCTTTCCTCTTTGGATTTCTTTTCTCTCTCTCTCTCTCTCTCGTCACAGCCCCACCCCCAAAAAATCTACCTGTTCTTTACAACACAGGAGTGGAATCCACTTCAAATAATAATTTTTCTGTCAGAAATACTACTAAACTTTGAAACGAAATGAATCATCGTTGCAATGGGAGCATCTCTCAAAAACCTACTACATTCAATTTGTTGTCTTGTTCTGGTATCTTTGCCTGTGCCACCGTATCTCATTAGAGAGACGGTGCTATTACCCTCGTCACACCGATAAGACCAACACCAGACAGACACCAGACCGATCAAATCATTACATTACCCCCAGTGGCAAAGACTCGGTCGGCTTCGTGTCGGTTTGGTGTTGTGGAGATATTTTGTTATTAGAAACATGAAGGAGCAAGTAAAGACAGAACTTTTTTTGTCGATAGATTTGTGCCTTTATATTGAATAATAATGATGACTTTACGCAGGTGAAAAAGGGGTTTAACATCATTACTATGAAGGATTATCATCATTATCCGGTACAAGCTATCATTTCCCCTTTCTTTTTCTGCTTCTTCTCTCTCTCTCTCTCTCTCTCTGCGTCTCTATCTCAACCCTCCCCTCCCCCTCTCTCTGTCTCTCTTTCTCCCTCTTTACTCCCTCTCTCTTTCTTTACCCCTCTCTCTTTCTCTCTCTCTCTCTCATTCTCTTTCGCTGTCTGTCTTCCACTTTGTACAGGCCTATAATCATTTTTAATAATATGAAGATCATATCTTGTTCGTACCGAATTCTGCTTTTCGTTTCTGTAGTTCTTCTTCGACTTCGCCAAAGATTCTGTCGACGTCCTCGAAGACCGCAATAACCCTCTTTTCATCAAAGATGGTGTCAGCCTCGTCGTACAGTCCCCTTCTCCCACTCAAACCTGCCTTCAAATCGGGGTTTTGCTCTTGGACAATAGCTAGGTTTTTTCCAAAGCCCTCAATCCTCGCTATAAATAGTGAGAATATATTACGTTGAAATGATATAGTATGCAATCAATTTGTATAGCGCATATTAATACCTACAATTTAATTTCTATGCGCTTTACATTACAAAATTGGCTAACGCGAACATAACATAAAGCTACAGTCCCATATACGTCCCGGACCATCCCGGACCATCCCGGACCCCATCCGGGGTGATCCGGGATTCGGTCCGTGTTGACACCGTGTTGGCACCGGGGTGGTCCTGGATGGTCCTGGATGGTCCTGGATGGTCCTGGGCGGTCTGGGAGTCGACCCCGGATGTTTTTGACGGTCAAAAACTGCCGGGGTGGTCCGGGACGGTCCGGGACAATAGTTTGATCCGGGGTGATCCGTGTAGCCACCGTGCTGGATCCGGGGTCATCCGTAGTGGCGCCGGGGCGGTCCGTGTTGATCCGTGGCAGTCCGGGAGTGAGTTATTGACCGCCCAGGACCATCCAGGACCATCCAGGACCATCCAGGACCACCCCGGTGCCAACACGGTGTCAACACGGACCGAATCCCGGATCACCCCGGATGGGGTCCGGGATGGTCCGGGATGGTCCGGGACGGTCCGGGACGTATATGGGACTGTAGCTTTTAAAGCATCACACTTTTTTGAACAAAACATCCCGGACCATCCCGGATCAACCCAGACCATGGTCCGGGATGGTCCGGAGTGGTCCGTGCTCGTCCGTGCTGGTCCGGCTTTATATGGGACTGGGGCTTAAGACAAATAAAACTCTAATGCAAGCCTGAGGAGCGAATGTCTTTAGTGCTTCTTTAAACGTATTTAGAGAAGATGTATTCCTAATTGCTAAGGAGTAATTCCACAAAGCAGGAGCTGATGCTATAGAGGATCGGTTTCCATAAATGAAATTAAATCAATTACTGTTTACAGGATTTTCAGCCGTAAGGTATACTGTGATGATGGTCGAAGTGTACGTAATTGAATGCCTATATGAACACAGTCTGATATATAAGAAATAAACACCCACAACAAATTTCTTAGGTCAGAAAACGAAGCAACTGCGGTCGCTGATTGCAAGATGACGATAATTCCCAAAAGCCATATTCAATAATCCAAACATTGATAGAACAAATAAGAGAATTTTAAAATATATTCTACCCTTTCAGCAATGGACTTGATTCACACATATACCAGTAGTCTTTGATATGGGACTGCACAAAACACTGGACATCAAACTTAACTGCTTCTTTATCAAAAACATTAACAAAACAAAAAAGCAAGGCATATAGTAAAACAGAGCAATCAACAAAAAATGAACATGAAGCTTACCTCGTACTTTCTCCTTTGTCATGAGAGGAGAAACTTGGCTGTCAACTGTTAGGTGTCGATGAAAAATAGAGCCATAACTAACGACCCTAACATTGATAGATCCTAGGAGATCGGAGAAGTGTCCTACCCTGTCCCCCATCACTGAGGAATCGTCGGGGAACAGCTTCGGTCCTGGGATGAATTTAAGATAGAGAGTTAGAGAGAGAGAGAGAGAGAGAGAGAGAGCGGGGATGAGAGATATGACATAGACAGATAGATGAAGAGAATGGAAAGGTGGGGGACACAGAAAAGGGGGAAAGGAGGGAGAGCAGTGACAAAGCGAGAGAGAGAGAGAAAGAGAAAAGACGAAGACAAAAAGAAGATCACCTAGGATCTATCAATGGGGAGAAAGACAGGAAGAGAAAGAGAGAGAGATTAAGAAGAAGAGAAGGAACGGAGGGATAGACAGGAAGAAATAGAGAGAGAGAGAGAGAGAGAGAGAGAAAGCTCGGTGACAACGCAATAAGGGAGTTTACAGATAGCACATGGTACAAATGACCCCAAATATCCACAGATCTTTTACACATGGAGAAGTTTCACTTTGAGCATCTTAGAATAATAACTGCCAAAGTCCTAGATGTGCTTCATGAATACCTTTTGTTTGACCTCTTGAAAAGAATACTTCCACCTGCGTATCATAGAACGTTGGTGCATAAATGAATAATGTTACATAACTTTCATGAGCGCACATCCAGTATTCATTTCTGGGTTTTACCATTTTGGTACAAATGACCTTTATCTGCCCATGCGCAGATTGTATCTGTAAACTCCCTTATTAATTTGATTTTACGTCAGAGTTTTCAACATACCCGAACCATGTTAAACAGTAAGATAATTTTGCTTTCATTAATATCATTGTTAAATCTCATGAAGCTTTCAAGGGAAACTCTATTCCCCCACCCCCACCCCCACCCCACCCCCCCCCCCCCAACAAAAAATGATAATAATAATAATAGTGCACAGCGCGTATATCACTGAAATCTATACGAATCCCTTTTCTATTATCACTTTTATTTAAAAAAATACTAACGTATTAATTATATGTTTCTCACGTTCCTTCTTCAAATTGGACTACGTAGAATTGTACTGAGAAAACATCCCCGTGCTTTTAACTTTAGATTTCTTTTGTCGTTGTCTGTTTCACGTATTATTATTCATTTTTCTAGAATTGTTTACGGGGATATAAGACAACATTATATTTAAAACTGTCCATTTTCCAGTCGTGATGTCAGCGTCGTGATGTCAGTCGTGAGGTACATCTACCCTGTATCGTAGTGAAACATGGACTTTTAGCCTCTGATACTTAAAAGCGTTTGGAAAGTTGCGAAATCCGGTTTTTAAGAAGAATGATGAAAATCCCCTGGACTGACAAAGTTAGTAATGAAGAAGTTTTTACACGAGCTGGAGTGCAGGCGCGGATCCAGGGGGGGGGGGCCGAGCGGGCCTTGGGCCCCCCCCCCCCGCAAAAACAAAAAAAAGAGAGAGAAGAAAGGAAAAGAAGGGAAAGAGAAAGAAGAGAGAAAGGGAAAGAAAGAAGAGGAAGAAGAAAAGAAAAGGGGGAAGAAGGAGATTGGGGAAGGCGAAAGGGCCTTGCCTCCCAGGCTGTTGACCCCCCCCCCCCCCCCAATCAAAAAAATAAGAGAGAAGGAAGGAAAGGGAAAGAAAAAAGGAAAAGAGGAGATACTGGCGTACTGATAGGGGGGGGGGGCTTGGGGGAAATCAAATTCAAACGTGGTTTATTTCTAATTCCACAACGGTGGATTACAAATAATGCTGAAATGACATAAGTTCCGAGATTTTTCCTCACTTTTTAGTTGATTCCTACTTGTCAGGGCCCGAGGTACGGCGGGGATCGGGAGCCCCGAGCCCCCCCCCCCCTACTTTTTTGAAAAAGTATATTAAAGAGAAATAAAATAGAATGAGAGCAAGAAAGAAAGAATAGTTAACTGCCAGTGTTGAAAAATAATGAGACATCAAAATATGCTCATCTGACCGTGATTAATGCCTAAAACCCCTAAGCTTCCAGGGGCTCTGCCCCCTGGATTTCACCTAGGGCCCTACGGCGGGCCCTTAGATGCTCATCTGACGGTAATTTAATGCCTAAAACCCCTGATATTTTGGGGCTCCGCCCCCTGGACCCCACGCCAAATAGTGACGTGCCAGTCTCACAAAATAATAAGGTATACAAAAAAATGCTCATCTGACCTTAATTAAACGCCTAAAACCCCTGAGCTTCCGGAGCCGGCTCCGCCGCCTCGACCCCCCCCCCCAGGGGCCCTAAGACGGCCCCTGATTCAGACAAGGATTAAGAGTATAGAGAACGATACAACGCATCGTCTTCTTTCTCTAATAATATAATGAAACGTCAAAGCTTCGCGCAGGAGGGGAGGGGGGGGGACTGAATTCAGACAAGGATTAAGAATCGAGAACGGTACAACGAATCGTCTTCTTTCTCTCATAATCTTATGAAACGTCAAAGCTTCCGCGCTTCGCGCGGGAGGGGGGAACCTGAATTCAGACGAGGATTCAGAGGCGAGAACGGTAATACGAATCTTTAATGATTTAATGAAAGGTAAAAGCTTCCGCGCTTCGTGCGGGATGGAGGGGGAACTAAATTCCGATGAGGATTATTTTCGAAAAACGGTACAACGAATCGTCTATTTTCTCTAATGATTTAATGAAACGTAAAAGCGTCCGCGCTTCGCGCGGGAGGAGGGGGTTGGGGGAGAATCTAAATTCAGACGAGGATCATTTTCGAAAACGGTACAACGAATCGTCTTCTTTCTCTAATGATTTAAGGAAATTTAAAAGCTTCCACGCTTCGCAAGGGAGGGGGGAACCTAAATTCAGACGAGGATTAAGAGTCGAGAACTCGACAACGAATCGTCTCCTTTCTCTAATAATTTAATAAATCGTAAAAGCTTCCGCGCTTCGCACGGGAGGGGGAACCTAAATTCAGACGAGGATAAAGAGTCGAGAACTCGACAACGAATCGTCTTCTTTCTCTAATAATTTAATAAATCGTAAAATTTTCCGCGTTTCGCGCGGGAGGGGGAAAACTAAATTCAGACGAGAATTATTTTCGAAAACGGTACAACGAATCGTCTTTTCTCTCTAATAATTTAATGAAACGTCAAAGCTTCCGCGTTTCGCGGAGGAGGGAGGGGGAAAATCGCCCCTCCCTGCACCGACCCCCCCCCCCCCCCGCATTACGTCACTGTTGGTCACCATTACGTACCAATATTTGGCTCGCAAAATTTCAAATTTGGGCCCCTCCCCCCCAGAAATCCTGGATCCGCGCCTGCTGGAGTGCAAAGGAAAATGATATGTGAGGTGCTGGTTAGGGAGTTGAAGTTCATGGGTCACATTACACGTAAAGAATGCCTAGAGAATCTTGCTTTGACAGGGAAAATTGTTGGTAGAAGGAGTAGGGGAAGAAGGAGGATACTTTGGTTGGATTGTTGGAAGAGAGAGGAGTGAAAGAACTGGGAGTGGTACTAATACAAAAGGCTAGAAGCCGAGGGTTGTGGAACAGCATGATCGCCAAAGTCAAACGATATGGCACTTAGAGAGAGAGAGAGAGAGAGAGATGTCAGCGTACATACCGTCAGATGGTAAAGTGTCCACATACACCATAATGTCACTCGAGTCTGTATAGTACTTTCCATGATGTTCCATGGCCGGTACCATTCCCTTAGGGTTGACTGTCCTCAGGAACCATGCCTCGTGCATCTCGTCTGTCGCTAGGCTGATCAGGTGACTCTTGTAGTCGATGCCCTTCTCGGCCAGAGCTAACCGAGCCTGGTAAGACAACGATTCATGATAATATTCATGATAATAATAATAATAATAATGGCGATGACGACAATGATGATGATGATAATAATAATAATAATAATGATAATAATAATAATGATTACAATAATAATAAAACTAATAGTAATAATAATAATCATGATAAAAATAATAACAATACTTATAATAATGATATTAGTAATAATGATAATAATATTTTTTCAAAAATAATGATAACAGGATATGGATAATAATAATGATAGTAAAAATAATTATAAGGGTATTAATGTTAATTATAATGATAATAACAATAACAACAATAACTACAATACTCAGTTGATATGTTCACGTAGTTTATGCTATCTTTCAAATATGTGAATCACAAAGTCTGGTGAGACAAAGGTTAAAATGTAAAGTAAATACTAAGTGTCTATTTATCAAAGGAAGTAAGTCTGAGGTATTCGTTTTCCTTTGTAAACGTGATCTTAGATCCAGGTTCCAGTTAGGAGTCGAATTAGTAGTATACACGAGGTATACAAGGAGTATACAGGTAGTATACATGGAGTATACATGTACATGGAATAATTACGACGGGTTAATGGCTGTCTGGCTTTTAGCAGACGACTTGTTTTCTTTTGCTTCACTGCCAGTCTTCACTGCCAGACGTAGTGATCTTATAAATCGTAGCTCAAAGTCCACCTTCAATACAATTCTACAATACCACCAGGCAATCCAAACATCCAAACATACAAACATCCAAACATACAAATCCATATCCATACCAGTTGTGAGAAGTAGCCTTCTTCTGCGTGGTATAGAACGGGAACAGACGCCATTGTGGAACGTATTACTCCAGTCTGACTGTCAGGCCTGATATCTGAGGCAAGAACTCAAGTAGATGATGTAAACTTCAGCGCAGGTATATACGATATATTAGGTAGGGCGATACATACGGTTTCTAAGTATTTTCAAATCAAAAACAAAGAGGAGCTGGTATAAAACGTCGGTTGCGGGTAGACTTGTGTATAATGAACTTGACCTCTGTGTCAGACAATCGGTACACATTCAGCGATTGGAAATAAACACAATGGCCCATTTCCGTGATTTAATGCTTCTACTACTATCCAGCCGGCGGCAATTATAAGATAACTTATTTGTTTTGTCCAATTCGTGAGACAAAATATTTACCAGCTATTTATTCAGCCGAGCAGGGGGGGGGGGGGGGGGGGGGGGGGGGGGGGGGGGGTGTGCTGGAGAAGAGGACCACTCATTTTTTTTTCGGGGGGGGGCAATATCATTAAAATATTTGTTAATTTTTTTTAAAGGTAAAATTTACGTTACTATCCTATTTTTGTACCGTTTTGGGGGCTAAGGGGCAATTTGCAGTTTGTGGTATACAAATATCTTATTATTATTATTATTAAGGGGATGGGGCCGTGGATCCGCGCATGACTACTTCTACAAGTAGTAATATTTCTAATACTTCTCATACTTCTGCTACTACTAATTTTACAACTACTACTACTACTACTACTACTACTACTTCTACTAATTCTACTTATTCTACTACTAATACTACTACTGCTACTTATTCTATTAATCCTATCTTTTCTACTACTACTACTACTACTACTACTACTACTACTACTTCTAATCATCATAATCTGTCGTTGTGTAATTTTTCATTTACTTGACTCTCAATCCAATTGTTGAGGTTTCCGAATCACTCCGTACTTACATCGCTAAGATGCCACTCTCCACCCAGGTGTACAGGGTACCTGCCAATTGCTGGGGTAGTAATGATTGTAGGGCACTCAGAAAGAACATATCATAAATGTCAAGTTTCTGTATTAAATCAAAGAATAATTTCTGTTTTTGTTATTACTATTAAAATTGTCATTATTAGTATCATTATCATTTGTTTTGGTTTTGTTATCACGAGTATCATAATTAATAGTATTATATTAAAATATATCTTGTATTTACCTTGTAGGCTTATCAGGAATTTATATAATATTATAATCAGTGTGTCGGGCTTAACAGAAGAAAAATGCATGAGAGTTTAAATGTTTAATGAAATATATCTCATTGTTTATCGATTAGCGTTCAATACATTCACATACCCCCACTGGACAATAACATTCGAGATGACATCTGAGAATGCACGCAAATGTCTTATTAGAACAGCAGCGACATGATGGAATGATGGAAATTGACATGAACAAGAATCCATTTTTTAAATTTTCACTCAAGAAATGGTTTAGTAAAAGAACGAGTTAATAATTTTGGGGGACCTCCTCCACAATGCGAAAATTACGTTACTAATGTGATAGGCGTAGATCAGTTTGACTTTAAAGGATCACTTTTTAATCAGCACATGCTTGCCTAATGATTACACGCAGCGACCATCCATTGCGTGATATTCTTATCTCACGTTTGTTAATTTATACCCGAAGGAGGGGGGGGGGGGTAGTCACATATTAAGACATATATATCGGGATGTGCCGCCCTAATGGGTCACTTTTTCACAAAAATATTGGTCCCATTTTTAACAAAGATATCCTAAAGAATTATGAGAAATGGGCTTTACTTCGAGAAAAATACCCCAAAGCGACCCTTAAAATGGGAAGGAGTTTCGAGGCTTGAGCGGCACACACCCGTTGAAAACGGAATCTGAGTACCCCCCCCCCCCCTGCGACTTTATACTCTATATAATTGAACAACACTTGAGAACGTCAATACAGTGTAGCAATCGGGGTTTGTTTAAAGTTATACGTCCGCTTGTCTTTCCCCCTACCAGCCCCTATCCCCCCGCCCCCTCTCCTCACACACAAAAAGGAAAGTCCAAAGAGTAAGGCCTGAGGTCTTTGGCAATTTGTATTTTATTAAGAAAACTATTTCATTCACATGGAGCATCAATTTTGATATTTGATTTACAAAACACAAGTATACAATAACGAATATGAGACATCACGTGAAGAATACATGGAAACAGTAGGCAGATACGCATTTCTTTAAATGAAAATAAATGTTCGGAAGACAGTCAGCGGTCATTCGTGTAAATCACTCTAAAAATCAATCATTAAATATACCCGCCGAAGTGTTAGATATGGTAGGTAACGTATGTGACAATATACCTGGGAATTGCCCATGTCGGCCGTGAACTTAGTATAGTGTTGAAAGTTACACTTGTGCGAAGAAACTTTTTGTATTGAACAAGTTCCATCGTCGCAGTCTTACAACTTAATTGCCATTGGAATACAATTGAAAAGTACATATATTTACAAGTTAAAAGTACAATAGTCTTAGTCTTCTGCAGGTGGTCAAATTCAAACATAGTACAATTGTGAAATTAAGTATGATCAAAGATATCAGTCGTGCTAAAAGTACAGGAAATTAAAAGACTCGAGACTAGTGAATAGAAAAGGCCCGAAATAGGCGGAGGAGGAAATTAGGATGAGATTAAAGATAAACTTTAGTACTGGTAATGCGATTGCATTGTGAAAGAAAAGGTGTGGAAAGGATCAGAAACAGTTGATCATGTAGCATGTAAGTATTGGTGTGCACTGCAAGGTTCTGGAGTCATCAAAATCATAATAAATTTGACCGAGTCTTGGTAAAGTAACAACTACTGTACACAGAAAGCTATATGTGGGACAACATATATGGTGTCGGGGCTAGTACTACTTGATTTCCTTGTCTTTCTATGCTCATTACTCAGCCAGTATACATTTTCTTCCAAAATTGTTTGGCACATATCTTTTATTTGTAATCTTGAAAATTCAGTGTAAGTTTCGTTTGATTCTGTGAGAATTAATTTTCTTTTTTTTACCAGAACTAAAGTTTCTCTTTAAAGTGTAAAGATAAAAGCGTTTCAGTAGGAATTCAAAAAACCAACAACCAGCATACTATTTATACTGTCCATTTCTTTTGAGATTCATTTCATTGTAATAAGTATTTAAGTTTGAGTGTAATCAATAAGCGTAATTATTAGTCTTTCATCAAATAACGATTCACTCGCAATGACGATCTATAAGCCTAACAAGAAAAGGCAGAACACAACTTCAATAAAATGCCACACTGAGAAAACATAGATGCAAATTTAAGAATACCTAAAATGCTAAAGATCTTCAGCTCCATTTAAACAATTTTGTAAAGGAAGATGCATAATACCATTCTTAGAGCAGGAAATACACGAAGGGCTGCAATATGACATTAACAATCAAGAATTATCCTCAAGAAAAAAGGATACGCATGTATCAATTTGTATATATATTCCTGTACACTTATCACTAGTGTGGCATTCTACTTGTGCCAAACGGACTGAATGATTAGTTCCGTGATTTCAGTTCATCATCTTGATTTAGAACCAAATAGAGATATAGGGGCGTCAAACTTTAAGTTAATCAGTGTCTACTTCCGGGAATAAACTTCTGAACTTTACAAACATTTCATTTCCTAGATCGATAATTTCTTCTTTTTTGTAATACGCAATCACCCCAATGGCTATTGCAGAAACGACGAATAGAAAAGGACGCGCTTTCTTCACTTTTGCGCGCAACATTGGCATGAACATTGACCAGAACATATTGTTTGCGTATACGCATTCTTTACGGAAGGATTTGCGTAACAGTACGCGATTGTAGTAGTCCGTCACAAGAGGGCGTTTCGACAGGAATAACCTTTCGGCCTGCCCTACAAAGGTCAGACGATGGAGAAGACAGGATAGGTAGATATCTGCAATCGTGAACGTCTTGCCACATAGCCAGTACTCAGCATCACCTGGTATATGGAGGAAGAAAAGAAGAAGAAATACAATGATAAGTGAGACAGAGAGACAGGGGGGGGGGTGATGAATCGAAGCGGATGCTACAGCCCATGTTACCAACAGCCTTCTAAACTGACAACCCACAACAAGGATGTTCTCAAGGGCCTATTATGAAATGACCTAAAGGTTATCGAGACTGATGGGCCAAGAGGCCATTTTAGCGCATGTAATATATCCATGTCAGGACGATTTTTTTCCTTTTTAAACCAAATAGGCATATGATCACGAATGACACGTTTCGAAAAAGATAAACACGACCGCATAGTCTTTTGAGAAATCAACCAAAGTCGATTCCAATAACCATATCTGTCACAATTTGAAATATGCGAACAATATAAAGTTGCAAATTTGGCAATACAATGGTTTACTGAAATCGCCCCTAACTTGAATCTAACGCTTTATTATGTCAACGTTTTGAGAGCCTCCTTACACCTAACCCTATATTTAAGATAATAATTTGATAGGAGGAATTAAATGTAAAAAGTCTACTTGATATTTCTCCCCCTTTTCACCCTTCTTGTATCGTCAAAAGAGAATTTATGGGAATTCGATTGAAATAAAGTGCATGTCAACTAAATGTTATCAAACAGACAAATCTAGTTTCTTGAATTGTGATCCGTAAATGGAAATATTGAATATACTGATGATGACCGACAATAATATGGCGTCAACAATTTTTTTCCAATGATCATCTTTCTTGATGATGTTGATGGCGATGACGGTGATGGTGATGATGATGGCGATGATGATGGTGATGATGGTGATGATGATGATGATGATGGTGATGAGGATGATGATGGCTATGAGGATGATGATGACGATGATGATGGTGGCAATGATGATAATGGCGATGATGAGTAGGGGGAGGAGGAGGAGGAGGAGGAGGATGAAATTGATAATCAGGATGATGATGAGGATAAGGATGATGATGAGAAGGATGAGGATGAAGATGGTGATGGTGATGAATGGCTCTAGTATAGCGCCGGTATTCGCCTCTCTTTGATGCTCATGTTGCCCACTCTCGAATGTTTCACAAACTCAACGATCTTTAATGTCAGTGTGTCGAATTGAGATTGAAATCATTTTCAATTAGTCTTCGTTACCACTTGAAATAATGTCATAGCTGAGAAAAGGAAAAAAGATTCTTACCGAAATACGCTTTCTGTTTCTGCAGTTCCTCTTCGATTTCCCAAGAATTCCGTCGACGTCGTTTAAGATGGCGATGACCTTTTCCTCGTCGAAGATGATGTCAGTATTTCCCTTCCGTTCGCTCAGACCGGCTACCAGATCTGGACTTTTCTCCTGAAGCGATGTTAGATTTTTCCCCACAGCAGTAAACCGCTCTGAGGTACAGAATAAAAGCAGCATAAAGTAGATTACTGGTCAAGTGATTGTACTGTGAAAATTACGTTATTACGGTTTTTGCGAGGGGGTTATTGTATATTGTGAGGGTCTTTAATCCTCAGAATAAGGCATTAACCCTCATTAAAGATGGACTTTGTTGTTTCATCTCCATTACACTTACAGGTACGGCAGAGACTTGAAACAAAGAATAAACTATTTGAATACTTGTTACCGGTTCATGCCAAGTTTGTTTTTATTATTAGCGACATGAGAGAGAGAGAGAGAGAGAGGGGGGCACAAACTCATTTATATAAGACCGTGGACGCTAAATGGCCTAATCTCTGTAAACATAATGCAACAAAGTTGAGAACTTGTCATGCTATTTTATTGTCAAATTAATAAACATTTATTGGGAAAAGGTACTGATGTAAGACTTAAACATAATGGTGGAATATGAATCATCAAAATTGAATGAAATTGACACACAATGTGAAATAACGCACAAAAAGGTTATAGAACCAGAAACACAGGTGACATTCTCAAGTTATTTCAAAACTAAAATTTGTTTGTAATCATGATTCGATTCGAATATGAGAGCATTTGGAGCGTCATCTTTTATAAAGGGAATATTTTTGCTTTGATTTATTCATGACTCTTTTAGTTCACTTTGTTAAATTTGTTTGGAATTGAATTATATATTCATTTATTTATACATTTATGTTTGCATCTAATTACCTTCGTATTATCATTGTCCGCATATATGTTATCATATTACCAATTTCATATTTATTATTATTTACATTAGTGTTATGAATATCATCATTATTATCAGATTTTTATCATAACTTTTATTATTCTTATTATTATCATCATCATCATTATTGTTATTGTTATCATTCATTTTTATTATATTATAATTACAATTATTCTTAATGTTTATCATCATTATCGTTATTATTTGTATCATTATTGTTATTAATATTATTATTATTATTAGCAGTATTAATTTTGTTATTATTATTATCGTTATTATCATTATCATCATCAGCAGCAGCAGCAGCAAAGATAACAACCTGTGTAAGCAGTGGTGGAGAGAGAAAGATTTTCGCTGTTTACCTTTGATGCTGTCTTTACTGATGAAGTTAGGAGCCAAGGCGTTGACAGTCAGGTGACGGTGGTACAATGAGCCAAACGAGACGGCAAAAACATTGATGGATTCCAGTTTTCTCGCGGTAGTAACCAACCTTTTTAGACATATCTGAGGAATCATCCGGACAGAGCTTCGGTTCTAAAAAAAGGGATTGAAATTGATCCAAACGCAAAATGACGAAGGCGCAGTGGCGGATCCAGGGGGGGGGGGGGGTGGGGTGGGGGGGGGGGGGGGGGGGGGGGGGGGGGGGGGGGGGGGGGGGGGTGCAAATTTTTAAATTTTGGAGGGACAAAAAAAAATGTGCTCACTACCCCCCCCCCCCCCCCCTCCCCCTCCCCCCAAACAATGAAACATCTGAGATGCACGGTCCTACGTGTAATCAGTGTCTGTGATATGGTGTAATATTAAAGCCCTCTAAAAAGTAAAAATCTTGGAATGACCGGTTTTACCATACTCGTTTCTCCCAGTAGATTGTAGTGCTATGAAAACCGTAAGGAAAACACAAAATTTGGCTTCGATTTCCAATCATAAATATCTTGATAATAAGACAAGTGATCGACTTATAAAAGTTATGGGGTTTCTGACTGATAGTGATAGTGGTGGTTATTTTACATGACAGCTAAGAAAGCATTAAATGCTTGTTAGTAAGTACCAGAAGACCGACGGCTTAAGGTCTTCTCCGAGGGACCTGGTAATGAGGATTAATGCCTTACCAAAGGGCACTGTCGCATGGACTTGGTTTCGAACCCGGGTCACCGGATAACGAGCCACTGCTCTACCGACTGAGCTATCGCGCCTCCAAACTGGCCTAAAGGTATATAATTATCATTGAAGCATTAGCTAAATCCAGGATTTTGTTTCAGAATCTGAGACAAAGTTACCGGATCCCTTAAGAAAAAAGGCTAAAGACCTAGACATGCCTTTTCCTTTGACTTACTGTTAGAGGGTAATGTATCGACGTATTCAATGATATCGCAAGAGTCTCTGTAGAATTGACCTTGATGTTCCATAGCTGGGACTTGACCTTTGGGGTTGATCTTCCTCAGAAACCATTCTTCATGCACCTCTCCGGCCATGAGGTTGATCACATGGCTTTTGTATTTGATGCCCTTTTCAGCAAAAGAAAGCCGAGCCTTAACACAAAAATAAAGAATAAGTAATGACCATAATCAGAACGAGGCAGACAGTGGTTATAACACGACTTCAAAGGCTTTCGAGAAATGAACCAACTGAAGGTAAACTCAATTGCCTTTTCACAAGATTTGGAACGTACGCACATGACTATAACGTATTACGTATAAATCCGAAAATGATCTCTATAGGATATGCACTAGGGTATTAGAACCTTTGCTTTGAACTTTTTTACCTTTACCTTTACCCGAGATTCTGGAAGAATGCTGTGTTCCCAGCAGTCGGGCTTCCAGTTCAATTTCATTTTCTTCCTTCTCGTAGTTGGGTGTATTCATCTTGGTAAGTTTGTCTGGCTCAGTTCTGTGTCGGGTATTCTTGGACAAGGCATTAATCTACATCGTAAAAAACTATCGATGCCCAAGTTGAAGAAATATTAATATTCGAGGGCCCCGTTTTATAAAGATCTGCGATTGGTCCATATCAATCTGAGATCAATCGCAACTCTTATCTCTAGAGTACACAGTTGCGATTAATTTCAAGTTATGATTGTTTTTAATTAATCGTTACTCTTGACCATACAGCTAGGGCCCAGACCTGTTTATCGAGTGTATGCATATACATTTTAACAATGTTTCTCTCTTGACGACTGAAAAGTTTGCGAGAGCTTTACCCGACAAAGCACCATGGATTCCTCAAATAGAGGTGCCATTCGCCATGGCGGTCCGGGGGGGCCCCCCCCCTTGAGAAAAAAATCATGTAAAATCACGTGATTTTTACCTTTTTTGGGGTTGGCCCCCCCCCCTGCGCTCAAGGGGGGTGCAAATTGAAATTTTTTTGAGGATCAAAAAAAAAAATGTGCTCACTACCCCCCCCCCCCCCCCCCCCCCCCCCCCCCCCCCCCCCCCCCCCCCCCCACTGAGCGAAGTTTTGGCCGGCGCGTTTTTCAAATTTTCGGGAGCAAAAAAAAAAAAAAAAAAAAAAAAATGTGCTCTGTACACCCCCCCACCCCCCCCCCCCCCCCCCCCCCCCCCCACTGAGCGACTTTTCGGCCGGCGCGATTTTCAAATTTTCTGGAGCAAAAAAAAAAAAATTGGGCCCCCTCCCCTAAGAAATCCTGGATCCGCACCTGCCATTCGCCATAGCAAGTAAATGGAATATGGCTCTAAGCCAGGGGATATAGGTAGACAAACATGCATAGATTGAAATGCATTAGTAAAGAGCTCCATTGTTTTATTAATCTAATACCGTAGCTCTAGAATAGCACAGCATTTAAATGACTTACCCTTTGCGAATAGAAAGAGGCTTCAGCGTGATACAAGACCGGAACAGACGACATTTTGGAACTTTAACTCTACCACGTACCCGATCAGATTCGAGTACAGACCTGGTAATGACTGAAGAAAATGTTAAGACACGACTGCACCGCCAGTACATACATAAATAACGATTTCATAGCTATACAGGGCCACGTATCCAGGACCACGTATCCATGACCTTTGTCTGCCCAGGCAGAAAGGTGTTTAGGAAGTAGGCAATACCGATGCTGTACATTCGTATTGAGCACTCAAACGCGGGCAGCGAATCCCTGTGCCTGTTGGTTTTTCAGTTGTCTGTAGGCCTACGTGTAGTATGTGCTGAACTGTATTGTTTACACAGCAAATCGCATCTTGATTCGCGGACGAGATTTGTACAGAGCAAAGGTTTGGCATTGTGTGATATTTGCGAGAGCTTTGTTTGAAAAAGAAACTTCTGAATATACCCAGATATACTGTATGTACATTAAGGCATAACCTATGAAGTATGAACAGATCATGGTAACAAAAAGGTACAAAGAGAATTAGGGGGAGGGGGTCATAAGAGGCTTTCATCGAAAGGGTGCGGTGCGGTGCGGCGCGGTGTGGTGTGCTCAACGCACCCATTCGATAAAAGAGGGGGGGGGGGGGCTTTTCTCGAAAGGGTGCGTTGAGAGCGGAGTACCGTTTTAACACACCCTTTCGATAAAAGCGGGGGGGGGGGGGGGCTTTTCTCGAAAGGGTGCGTCGACTAGTCTTTCGCATCAGTCGTTTAAAATGAGGATCTGGGACAGAAGATAATAGTTGCCAATTTAAGTATATCGAAAATGTATTAAATAAAATGGAATGGTTGTTGTTGTTGTTTTAGTTTTAAGGGCGTGTGTCATTCAATTATGAATATTTACGCCGTCTTGATTACAGAGTGATCTCTTTCGTTATTACTATGTTAATGGGGGAGACAGAGAGAAGGAAAAAAGGGAAAGGGAAAGGGGAGATAAAAGGAAAGAAAGAAGAATAAGAAGAAAAGAGGGAAACGGGGGGGCGAAGGGCTCTTGCCTCCTCCTCACCCCCGCCCCCCCCCCGCCAAAAAAATAAATAAGAGAGAGAGAGAAGGGAAAGGGAAAGGGAAAGAAAATATAAAAGGAAAGAAAGAGGAAGAAGGAAAGAGGGAAACGGGGGAAGGGCGAAAGGCTCTTACCCCCCCCCCCCGCCAAAAAATAAATAAGAGAGAGAGAAGGGAAAGGGAAAGAAAGAAGAGGAATAAGAAGGAAAGAGGGGAAACGTGGGAAGGGCGAAGGGCTCTTGCCTACTTCCCCCCCCCCCCACCCCCGCCAAAAATAAATAAGAGAGAGAGAGAGAAGGGAAAGGGAAAGAAAAAGGAAAGAAAGAAGAGGAAAAAGAATAAGAAAAGAGGGAAACGGGGGAAGGGCAAAAGGCTCTTACCTCCCCCCCCCCCCTCCCGCCAAAAAATAAATAAGAGAGAGAGAGAGAGAGAGAGAGAGAGAGAAGGAAAGGGAAAGAGAAGATAAAAGGAAAGAAAGAAGAGGAAGAAGAAGAAAAGAGGGAAACGGGGGCAAAGGGCTCTTGCCTCCTTTTTTCCCTTTCTTTTCCTTTCTTTCCTATTCTCCCTCTTTTTCGTTTTTCTCTTTCTTTCTTTTTCTTTTTCCTTTCCCTCTCTTTTTTCCCCTCCCCCTTTTCTCTTTTTTCCCGACGGCAGCGCAATTTTACCGACAATATCCTGACAGGTGGGGGGGGGGGGGGAGACGCCCCTACCTACGCCACTGTTGGCGACCACAAGGCTATCAATACAAATTAAGACATATTAATGAAGATTCTTTTTTAATGTTGCAGAGAGATAAGTATTTTCTCTATGAACTTGTTTAATGGAAGGATAATAAATAATATTAAAAACATGAATACTATAGCGGTATAATGATGAGAGAGATGATTTAAGTCATACTTTTTTCAATGTGATTGGAGTAGACTTGAGGGTGAGGGGGGGGGTCCCCCTAAGATCTCGGCCGTTTCACAGCCGATCGCCGCGAAAATGTGCATGCATGTCAAGTGAAGTGCATAAAAAACTATGGTAATTTCAATTTTTTGAAAAATTCACTCATTTGCATATTTATGATAATTTATGCAAACAAGGTCAGAGAATTCACATTTTTACCCATAAATCATATATAATTCATATTCAAGCGTTCTTTTTCACTACATATATTCGTTAGAATAATAATACGACAACAAAGTTGGAAGAGCCAGTTTATCCCTATGTTATCTCTTGTTTTGATAATTTGTATTTATGTATTATATTGTTTTTGTTGTTTTATTTCATTTCTAACCACAATTCAACTTATTTGGCCCAAAACAAACACATTAACTTGAAAACAAGACCAAATAACCAATGTTTTCTCTTTTTTTTAAAAGAATAAATGGTATTTCCATATGTTTGGTACATAAATCACAAAAATGAGCGATTTTAGGGCTGACATGCAAAAACAAAAGGTCACGTGACTCCGCAACTATACGTCCAATTTTCAACAAAAAAATTGTTTCAAAAGATGCATAAGACTCGAAAGAAAAAGTCATGAAAGAAAAACTTTATATCTGCCGCGGTTCCGGAGTAGTCGCGAAATTACTAGAGAGCACTAATCTTTTTTTGGGGCCCTCGAAAATTTGAAAAATCGTACCCCCCCCCCTAGAACGCCAGGGAGGGGGGGCCTATCTCCCAAAACGGTAAAATAAACGTGTTTTTTTTACACGTTTTTTTTCACAGGGCGGAGCCCTCAGAAGCTCAGGGGTATTAAACATCAAAATTAATGTCGGATGAGCATAATTTTATACCTTATTTGTGACAGTGGCAGGACACAATTTGGTGTTGGTCCAGGGGCGGAGCCCCCAGAAGCTCAGGAGTTTTGTACATTAAATTATTATTATTATATACCTTATTTGTGACACAGGGGTCTCGAATGGGCGTGGGGTCAAGGGGGTGGAGCCCCCGGAAGCTCAGGGGTTTTGGGCAATAAATAACGGTCAGATGAGCATATTTTTATATCTATTTGTGACACTGGCAGGACACAAATTGGTGTTGGATCCAGGGGCGGAGCCCCAAGAAGGTGAGGGGTTTTATACATCAAATTCTCGTCAGATGAGCATATTTTTATATCTATTTGTGACACTGGCAGGACACAAATTCTTCTTCCTCTTCTTTCTTTCCTTTTATCTTCTCTTTCCCTTTCCTTCTATCTCTCTCTCTCTCTTATTATTTTTTGGCGGGGGGGAAGGAGGAGGCAAGAGCCCTTCGCCCCCGTTTCCCTCTTTTCTTATTCTTTTTCCTCTTCTTTCTTTCCGTTTAGATTTTCTTTCCCTCTCCCTTCTCTCTCTCTCTCTCTCTCTCTTATTTATTTTTTTGGCGGGGGGGGGGGTGGGGAGGGAGGAGGCAAGAGCCCTTCGCCCTTCCACGTTTCCCTCTTTCCTTCTTATTCCTCTTCTTTCTTTCCTTTTATATTTTCTTTCCCTTTCCCTTCTCTCTCTCTCTCTGATTTTTTTTTTGGCGGGGGGGGGGGGGGGTGAGGAGGAGGCAAGGGCCCTTCGCCCCCCCCCCCGGTTTCCCTCTTTTCTTCTTATTCTTCTTTCTTTCATTGTATCCTCACTTTCCCTTTCCCTTTTTTCCTTCTCTCTGTCTCACCCATCAACATAGTAATAACGATAGAGATCACTCTGCAATCAAGACCATTCCATTTTATTTAATACATTTTCGATATACTTAAATTGGCAACTATTATCTTTTGTCCCAGATCCTCATTTTAAACGACTGATGCGAAAGACTAGTCGACGCACCCTTTCGAGAAAAGCCCCCCCCCCCCCCCGCTTTTATCGAAAGGGTGTGTTAAAACGGTACTCCGCTCTCAACGCACCCTTTCGAGAAAAGCCCCCCCCCCCCCCCTCCCCCCTCTTTTATCGAATGGGTGCGTTGAGCACACCACACCGCGCCGCACCGCACCGCACCCTTTCGATGAAAGCCGTCATAAGAAGCCTATTTCCCAGATCCATATATCATTCGGAAGAATGAATTTTGTATATGAAATCATTTTAAACACTATAAATGATTGGAACAAATCTACGAAATATATGTAATCTATCAGAAAAGCTCTTACATTTTGAAATATGAGCCAGAATTCCATGATTTAGATATGATAAGATAATAACAGAATAGAACATGATGAGGGATGGCAATGGAAGACCTTGATAAAGTTGGGTAATGACTCCAATACTTGACACAGGTTTACAAACGTTATCAATATGTGGATTCCATGATAGTTTATTGTATTTCGAACTTCTTTAATTGCAGTATTATATAATAATATTTGATGAAGCAGAAGTGGCAATGACTGACTAAAACGCATGCATTTTTGTTGTTGCAAATTCAAAGAAATTTGTTCACAAGCTTAAAAGACCGTGTTGTGTACAGGCGCGTACGCAGGGGGCATGGGGTGGTTTTGGGGTTAACAACCCCCCCCCCCCCTCGATTTTTTTTTGTATGTGTATGTTTTAACTATGTTATTTTGAAACCCTCCCCCCCCCCCTTTTGAGAATTCTTTTTTTTTAAATAAATAAGTGTCCTCTTACCCCCCCCCCCCCGCTTATTCAGCGGCTGGCTGAATCGTTGCGATATTTTGGACCCGATTTGAACCCCCCCCCCCCCCCCCTCCTTGAAAAAATCCTGCGTACGCCACTGTGTGTACATAAAAGATTGGAGTCAAAGGAAAAAACAAAATGAAAACATATCAGAGGAACTATTGATTTTACTTTTCATGTCATTTAAATAAATTATAGATAAACGAAAACCAAGAAGGATGCCTGCCTTGTGGAATTCCATATGTTACAGGTTTAGTGGACCTTTCTGTTTTGTTTACAATTATGGTATGACGGGGGTATTTCCCGGTCAAAACGCCAACACCACTAGCTCCAAATCGGCTCTTAACAGTATTTTTTCTGTTTTAACATTCATGATATTGATCTTTTGTGAGTCTGGTGTCGATCTTATTGGTGTGATAACGTAGTGTGACCGGGGCCCGCCCCCCCCCCCCCCCACTCAGAGGTCGGAATGACCGCATGCGTGTTTCCAAAATGTCCGGTAAAGGGGTACTTTTCGTGCGACAAAGCCCGGTCCGAGAATTGTAAAAAAAAAGGGGTGTATTTGACTTTTCACCCGGAGATTTCGTTAAAAAGGGGGTGTTTTTTCTTTTGTTCTGTCATCTTTTTGGACTCCTGAGAAATTATTCCGAATTTAGGGGGGGGGTACATAGAGCATTTTTCCTGATTTATGGGGGTCTCCAAGGCAGGAAAAGCCCGCGAAAAGCCCGCGAAAGGGGGTTTGAAAATGCTGGCAGTCCTCAGATAGGGGGTGCTTTCAAAAAGAGGGAACAAGCATATGCGTACCCTAAATAACACTGAGTGGGGGGGGGGGGCGGGGACCGGGGTTCTATTTTCCCTGTCACAACGTTAACCCGACCTTTAAACAAACCATTCAGGTAAATTAACATTTTTGTTCAGTTTTAAAAAGTGTTTCTGTCTGGTGTCATCATCCTTGGTGTGGTGGATCGTATCACGTGATCATTAATCCTCAAAAGGCGACCTGTATTTAAATCGATACTGAACTGACGAAGTTGCACAGCGCCATCCCAAGGGCAAGTTGCGAACAGTACATAACACAAACAGTGCGCAACCCTACGGTACAATGTAGTGAGTAGAGATCAGTGGATCCAGGGAGTTGATAGAGAAGGAGTGGAAACTCTTATAATTTGTTCAAACGTATGCGTGAGTTCTAACTTGGCTTTGAAGTTCCATGCTCCGAGCCGCTGCGGCTCTTCCACTACGGGGAATTCCGTAGGCCAGGCACCAGTTACACATTTATTAAATTACCGGTAATATTCCAGCGTAATTTACAAAGTCTATTAGGGGATTGTATTGGGAATAGTGAATCAAACTTCCTATAATTTGTGTGCCAGAGTTGGTAACAAAAAATGGATTCTGACAAAAGCTCAATATTATAGGATAATTCGATCATTTTTGCATGTTTTGAGAGATTAAAAAAGTTTGTGTTCGCTTGTTCAACTCATTAAACATTCAACAGTTGATACGAAATCATTGAAAAGAACAGCGAACATTTGCTGAGATACCATTTTCTGATGTAGGAATTCTATATCCTGATATTTCATGCGTTCTTTTTATCTCCCAACCTGGTCAACAGTTGCAGATTAGCGCATACCTTTTTTGGCGGCTTGGAGCATAGGGTCAGAGAAGAGTGGCTTGATTCCACTCCTTCTCTATCACCTCACTGGTAGAACCAACAGGGCAGTGAGTTAAGGGACCTTACTGCGACAGCTGACCTGAGATGGCGCTAGAGGTAGTGCCTCTCGTATAGTCTGGCTTTACAGGATACGAATAACCTCGGAAAAACTTGTGCACAACTGCTAGAAGATAAAATATATCAACCTCAAAGAACTTTGCTCAGCATTCTACAGGCTAACGTAAAAGAAGCCTGAATGAATAAAGAATATTGTAAAACTGTTCACCCAGAAACCAAGTCGGAGTTGTGTTCCGTGCTGACCCTATTTTATGCGAGCGCTTAGTCTACTAAAAACTTTAATATTATAGTGGCTAGTGCCAGAAGGAACTATTAAACGTAGTACAAAGTTTTGGTATGGGGTCATGAATTTGGTTGAAATGAACATATTGGAAGCATATGCGATCCTACAATATTCAGTGATCGTTGTCGCGGTTGAAATCGAGGCTGAAGTTATGGAATTGTAATTAAAAAAACTCTTTATGTTGTATAGCTCCCTCTCGATGTCAAGATATTAATTAAGCTATAAAACAATGTTTCTTGACTAAAATCGACAGATTAGCTATTTCCGTTTGGAATTGATATATCACAACTACATATTCTGAGAATTTCATGGTTGCAGCTACCGTTTATATACGACCGTAGGCGCCATTTGAAATTTACTAAAATTTACCGGGAGCACCGGTAAATTGTTATATTCAATTTTTCCTGGAAACAGAAGTCTTTTAGAGGCTTAATTTTCTAGTGCTTATAATACATCCACAGGGGCATCCAAATATATCAAACTTGTAAAGAATCACTATCCACCAAATTTTCAAAATTTCCCAAACCTGTGTATTACATTTTTTGTTTGTATGACTGGTACCCCGTAAATAATATACCTCTTCAGGTGCTTGACCAAATATTACGTAACATTTCTTAGGTGCAGCTGGTTGCAACAGCTCTTTAACCTAGAATGATTTAATGGAAATGTATCATCATCAAATTTTAACATTACAATGACAGTCAGATATACGCGTAGAAGAAAGAGGCGGGGAAGGGTGAGTTTTTTCCGTCTTATATAAGGACAGAATAAGGGAGAAAGAGAGATATATATCTGTATATATACAAAGAGATAGATAGATATATATATATATATAGAGAGAGAGAGAGAGAGAAAGAAAGAAATAAAGAGAGGGGGAGGGGTGGTGAAAGAAATACTGCACGATAGAGGAGGTTAATAGAATTATTCAAAGGATATGGAATTGAACATTAATTTTTAACAAGGCGAGGCACAGCAGGTAGAATTGATGCATTCATTGGAAATAATCGTCATGAGAGAAGGGATGCTTGAAAGGCATGAGAAGGTATGAATAATTAAGCATAGTGACAAAAATAGAATCAATTACAAAGAAGGATATTTTCATACATCAAACTGCAATAGACATGTTGACGATGGCTACTAACTGTTCGGCTAGTCTGACTGAAACTATGCAAACGCAATATCAGTTTGATAATATATAAACTATTCATCACTACATTGATTTCAAATCAATAAAATGATGTACTTCTTTTTTTGTAATTTTTGTCCTTGTATTTTTTGTTATTGCATACTCCTTTATGTTCCTGGAAATGAAATCAAATGAAATAAAATAAATGAAAATAAATGCCCGCACCATTAAGAGAAAAGGCCAAATAATTAGATTGCAAGTGAATATAATATAATTGAGAGGAAACAAGTGCTTTTGAAATTTGTAATCAGATAGCTTTGGGGTCAGTCCTGGATCGACAAACTTTAGCCTCGGCTAATATACTTGATTGGTGGTTCATTTATCGTTAGACTGCCAAGCGGATCATTTTCTTGATTTACGGGTCTGATTGAAAATCGAATCTTTGTGGTTAGTCATCGTCGGATCATTTCGTATTGGAATAGATATACACGCTAGAAGATAGTGAAATCTACTCCGAAATGAGCAATTCAGCCACTACTTTTTGAGTGGATTCCACTTTCATCTTGACTTCCCGAAAACCACATTTTAGAGTTAAGAGTGAACCTCAACACTAAGACATAAGGAAATAGTGAAAACGGCTCTCGATCAGGAAATACATTCTTTTGTTTGGATTGCACCATACCTTTGAATTCGATTTAACTCAACTACTGAAGTTATTCATATCATCATTCTCCCGAAGTGAATTTTAGGGAATCATAATTAGGTCTATCAAAACGATGAAATGTGAGAGAGTGAAACCCACTTTTACCCTAATATTACTCCCTAAAAGAGTGGATATTGCAGGAGTCATAAACGACACTTTAATCAAACCTACTCCAAAGTTGCGATTGGATTACCTTTCTAAGAGTGGAATAAAATTTTCTTTTTTGAACTCCCTATATAAATTATAATATGATTTCTTAAACGTTGATTTCCACCAGAAACAGTGATTTTTCACTGCTCTGTATCAAGAGAGGAAGAAGGTGATGGAGAACAAACACCATACTACCACCGACCCCAGGGGGTTTGTTACCGTCGAGCTGGGCATGGAGGACCGCGGAAACATGCAGCATGCTGGAGCTAAAAGGTTGGACCGGAGCTTATCAGGAGTTCAGCTTGTCTCGTCTTGGTGGCTGGCACTGTCTCACGATGCCCCGGAAGGGATAGGCATCGCAGGAGTCAAGTACGTCCTGATGTCTAGGGAGAGCAGATTGAGGAGGTGAGACAGTAACTAAAGGACTATTCAAACTTAACTCTTATCATGGCATAGGGCTAATCCCCATTGTGCCAAGCCCCAAATCCCCCCGTTCCAGGTTTATTTTGAGATAATCTGATTAATGCGTTGGTTCTATGAATAGCGCATGCGAAACACACAGCACACTACAATGAACATGAACAATAAATGTTATTACGGATGCGTGTAAGCATGCATGAAGCACCGAAGTAATGGCTCTCTCGCATGTACAAAGCACTATATAACGGTAGCGTGCATGCATCCTTATCGCAGGCTATGAGTTAATAGGCAGGTACTCTAAACAGAAACAGAACAAATTAGAGAAGCAGACTGTTAAAAGTTTGAACGAAATCGGACAAAAATAAGAAAGTTATGAATGTTTGTAAGTTTTATTCACTATACCTTTGGCACTTCAAATTGGCTCAATCGGTATTGTTACTGTGACATATAGTGCCGGACAAGTTTTCCATTTGTCTCAACACACAAAATGACTAAATGTCATATTTTTTCAAACAATATTACTCAGGAGGGTCTTTTCTTTTATGATTATGTTCGAGTAATGCCCCAAGAGATGACACTTAAAACAAAAACATAAATTAATAGTTTTTTGTAAACGACGAACCGGAAAGTGACTAGGTCACAATACAATGACCGAATTAATAGTTTGACATAGCATTATAGTGATCTCATTTTTCAAACATTCAAAACTCGTTCATAAATGGTCCGATTGATTTCAAAGTTTCGCCATTCTTTTATTACAAAGGTTTGTCCATTTCACAGATAGGACATACATGTACTACACATGACATATTCATGATCCCTGCAAAGTTCTACAGAATTTGATGTTGGTTCCAAAAGGGACATAGTATCTTTAAACTCTCGGTTTATAAAGTATAACTAAAGCATTGGGGCACGGTGAGGCATTTTTGTGTGTGCATATTTTCTCTCACAATTATTATACACATCTATCACATTGTTCTATGTTAAATATTGACTCAGCATGTATCATATACATGCTTATCATGATGTTCTTTTGTGTCGACCTGTTGCACTAGTGCGACTCGACCTATTGATTTCAAGTGATTTGAGAGCCTTACAAATGTTATATCTGAAAGGTTAAATATTGAAACGGATTAATGAATAAAACAAATAAATCAATCAAAGGTCGTCTTTATTGTCCATGCAGAACACTTGATATTCGTACTTTTTCCACTATTTTAACACATAAGGTCGCATCATAAATCATTCATAGAAGAAGCTTGAATCGACGTCCTGATCATAAGCTAAATATGAATGTTAATCAAATAAAAATCAATATCGTGTAACGGAAAGTGGGAGACCTGAAGCAATGAAACGGGAGCAATGTAGAGTATTGGTGAAGGTTCTTGCATACGAGAGGTTTACCGGTTTTGATCATTGCTCAGTATAATCTTACTGAAGGTGTTTTGCCCACATTTGCCCCACTCCATCAAGGTGAAATTGGTACATAGATAGGGTAATGATGAGTGCAGGGCCCACAGGGAGAGCAGCATCAAAACCGATGTGGTTACCCTGGGTAAATAAGACTCATTAAGAGGAAAATCGATACAAATCGTAGGACCAGGGCCCTTTAATACAAAACCGACTTGCAATCAATCGTAAAAGATCTCCAAATCTTGCTCGTATCTTAAAATGGTTAATTGACGGTGTAAACAATTACAATCCAACGAATCTATCTCTTTCCTTCTTTCTTTCCGTCTCTCATTTTCCCTTTCTCCCCCTCTCTTTTCCTTTCTTTTTTATGTTTCTTTCTTTTTCTCTGTATCTGTCTATCTCTTTCTCCCTCTATGTCTGTTTCTCTCTCCCTTTCTCTCATTATCATATCTATCTATCTGTCTACCTATCTCTTAATCGTTCAACATCTATTTTATTTCTAGACTGGGATGGTTAGTCATCCTCATGGTTGCTATGACAATAGTCTCTTATGAGATCGTAGACAGGGGTATTTATTTCTCAACTGGCCCTCTCTCGGTGAACATTGCTGTGAATCAGAGTGAAAAGGAGCTCACATTTCCGAAGGTCGTCGTTTGCAACTATAATATTTACGTGTAAGCTGATATTTTTTTATTATATAAATAGATTGCTGTCCATAAATAAAAGTTGGAATAGTTTGTTCTAACCTCTTTTCAAGAAATTATTGTAACAATACGGCTTATTCTTGACAGATAAATAAAGTTGTTATCTTTTCAGAACTCTATTGAGAAATTGATCAATTTTCGGTTCTGAGAAGATGCAAACTTATTCTATCGAGAATATACCATATGGTTACATTTATTTCATGAAAAAAGGTAAGAAAAATATAATTTCAAGTTTATGGACATGAATGGCTCGTTTAAATACACTACTTCTATTTTTACCACTGCACTACTGCTACTACTAAAACTACTACGACGACTACTATTACTACAACTGCTGCTGATCCTGTTAATAATACTATCTCTACTACTACTGTTACTACTACTACTACTACAACTATTACTACTACTACTACGACTACTTTTACTTCTACTGCTACTGCTCCTGCTACTACTACTCCTCCTACTACTCCTCCTACAATAACTACTATTATATCCTGCATCAAAAATTTGTTGGCTTTTGATTGGTTGAGAGCTCGTCACATGACCAAAATATTTGACCTATTTTTAGAAAGTACTATTTGAGAATATTATTTTGGTTTACTATTTGGGAGTTGAAAAAAAAAAATGTCAATTTTTTTTTTCAAATCTTAATTTAATGAAAAAAAAATATTTTAAATCTTTTTAGATAAAAATTGACATTTTTTTTGTTTTAAATTTGTTTTCTCCCAAAAATGTTTTTTTTTAATTTTTTTTAAAATAATTTTGATGCAGGATATAAAAAAAAATATACCATGCCTTCTATTCGAGGTACTGGTTAAACTATGGGTCTCAGTGACTCCAAAAGTACCATTTGCTTAGGGGCTGCGCCCCTCAGCAAATAGTACTATTGGAGTCACCTCTTGCGCATAGTTTTAACCAGAACCTCTCAAGGCAGTGTATATTTGTATACTACTACTACTACTACTACTACTACTACTATTGCTACTATTGCTGTTGATACTATTACTAGTACATGGACTACTATTACTACTACTACTTCTTCTACTACTATTGATACTACTACCAATATTACTACTACTACTACTACTAATACTACTACAGCTGTTGCCAATACTACCATTACCTCTACTAGTACTACTAATACTACTTCTACTATTACCGCCTCTTCTATTGCTATCAAGATTTACTATTACCACTTTTACCACCACTACTACTACTACTACTACTACTACTGCTACTACTACTACTACTACTACTACTACTACTACTACTAGTAGTACTACTACTACTATTACTACTACTACTACTACTGCTACTACTACTACTACTACTACTACTACTGCTACTACTACTACTACTACTAAAAACTACCTCTGCAACTACCACTATACTACTACTAATACTATCAATATTGCTACTATTGGTGCTCAACTACTACTTCTACAACAAAAATTGATGCAATCGCTACTGCCTCTACGTCCACTTCTAATACTACTACCTCTACTTCTATACTACTAAATCGTGTTTTTATATTCCGTAAAATTGATATTAATAAACAGGCTACTACTAGTACCAATGCTACTACTCTACTACATACAACAACAACTATTACTAGTACCACCGATGCTACGACTACTACTACTACTACAACTACTACTACTTCTTCTAGTCCTACTAATTCTACTACGCTGCGTGTATTTATGAAAATAATATCCACAAGGTCCGTTAATCTAACACCACTCTCTTATTTTGAAGGAAATCGAAAGTGCAAACCCTACCAGCGGTAAATAATGTTGTGGGGAATTACGAGAACCTCTTACAACTATATCATACCTGGTATGGGATACGTGCACTTGATGACAAGTTATACGTTATGTTAATAATATTCATTAATCTATCACTCACCATTTCTTTTTTAATTTTTGTTTTAGGAAATCAAAAATGCAGGCCTTACCAGCAGTCGATAAAGTTTTGAGGAATTATGAGTACCACCACTACGATCCCAATAGGACCATTGCGTTAACACCGGAGGAGGTGTCAGAAGTTAAAGCTACGGACACGGCCCGATTGTTAGAGCAAGTAGCGCATGAAAAAGAGCACATGTTTCTCAGGTAGGAAAGTTTCTCCTGTGTTCATAATGCTCATACGGTATATATTGATTGTACATCTAGCGATAGAAATTTGTGGTATTCTATTATGGCATCCGAGGACAACTGAAATGGCTCGAAAGCTATCTTAGTGATAGAATGTAATTTGTAAAATACAAAGAGTCATCATCAGAAAGTAGATATATCAAATGTGGTGTACAACAAGGTTCTGTCTTGTGACCAACTCTGTTTTTATTGCCAACTGTGACAAATTATTTCAATTTCAAACTATTTGCAGATGATTCTAGTATTTGTCATACTTTTCGCAAAGGTGTAGATCAAATAGATGAGTCTGAAGTAAATACAAATTTAGATTTGATACAGAATTGGTGCACTGCAAATAAGCTTACTATCAATGCGTCAAAAACCAATGTCATGTTGTTTAGTAGCCGTAGAAGAAAGGCCGTGCTTAAAGGGAGATTACAAATATTTAAGGCAGAATTAAGAGAAGTGGAGGAAGCAACATTTGTTGGCATTACCATTTAACATGGAATTCACATATACAATTTGTTAATGACTGTATAACATAACGTAATACATTATATTTATAATTCGCTTAATATTCATGTTTCTATGAAGCGCAAGGACAATAAGAAAGGAATAGGAAGGAAAAGTGAGAGACATACCAAAGAAACATGTTAAAAATATTGAATTACAAGTAAACGGCAAAGAAAAAAGTGACGGAGAAAGGTCGCTATCCTCTTTGAATTACGGCACTTTGTCCCTAAACATATATTGATACTGTTGTATAAAGCTCTGATACAGCCACATATTACATATGGCATTGAGGTTTTGGGAAGTACTTATAAATCACACTCAAAATGTGGTTGTACGTGCTTTAACTTTCTAGCCACATAGTTCTCATACTAATGCATTGTTTCATGACCTCAAATCATTGAATGTTTTGAAATTGCATAAATTATCTATTTGTACTCTTGTGTTTGATTTGGTAAATGAACGATTACCTCATTCCTTAAAACATTATTGCAGTATATGACACAACATGGATATTCCACGAAACAAAAAACGAGTCGACAATTACGTCTTCCTATATTCAAAACAGACCAAGGAAAGTTTTCTATTTCGTTTGTGGGAAGTAATTTTGGAATATGCTTCCTACTGATCTAAGAATTGAGAGATCAAACACCTCTTTTTGTATAAAAATTACAAGATTACTCTTGGGTGAAAACCATAAATTATAACCTTGTATTTATAGCTACCAGTCTCTTTTTTTTTTGTAATTGTAAAATTATAAACAAATCTTATTTATAGGATTTGGAAACACATTGCGTATTTTCAATAAACTTTATTTCAGGCTTTAGATAACGAGAGTCAGACTCGACTAGCACATGTGCTTTTTTTTTACTCTATTTACCATCGATCACAAACTCCTTGTAAATAGTCATTTATTGTTTTACTCTTGACACTAAAATTACTTATAACTATTTTTAAATATTTTTATAATGTACATGTTTATCGCTGTAGAACATGTATTTTTATAATTCATGTCATGTTTTTATGTTATATTGACATTGTCATTGTCAATGGTGGTGAATAAATTCAAATTCAATTCAAATTCAATTAAATATATCGGCTCAGCTACAGCCAATGTAATAATATGTTACTTTGTATTGAGCGCAGTAAGGGGTATTCATAGTAGCTGCGCTATATAAATGGACCTATGATTATTATTATTATCTACTCCTGACCAGTCTGGGCTAAAACACACAAATCCCTTCGGAGCCAATTCTACATATTAATTATAAAGCTATGCAAGGGTATCAAGTGATTGAATGAATAAAATATGTCATTGAATTTAAAAAAATGTGTTAGGATGGACGGTAAACCCTATGTTTATTACCCCCTCCACCCCCCCCCCCCCCCTTAGAGCGAATTTTGCCGGGAAACCGATCAATCTGGACGACATTGTACCGGTATTTACCAAAGAGGGGCGGTGCTTCGAGATTAACGACGGTCTCAATGGTACGGAGCTCCTTAAATCCAAAGGAATAGGTAAGCGAATTATCAATATCAAATGGCGTAGTTAGGAGACGGCAAGGGAACTTGTTCAGACCCCAAACCCCCACCCCATTGAATTACGAAAAAACGGTGATAATAATAATAATAGCTAGTTCTTATATAGCGCTTTTCAGGACCGAAGGCCCTCTCAAAGCGCTTTACAGATATATATATTATTACCCCGGTCATAGGATTCAGGCTTACCCGCACACAATGTATGCACATTCTCCACTCCCTGGGGAGCATTCCAGCCAGGCGTCTTTTTGTACAAGCGCACACTTGCTAATCTAACCACATTAGCTTTCGCATCCTACCGGGTACCCATTTAACACCTGGGTGGAGAGTGGCAAATGTAGATCAATGTCTTGCCAAAGGACATTAGTGCCGCGGTGGGACTTGAACCGCGAACCTTGTGATCCACAGTCCGGTGACATATCCACTCGTCCACGACACCTCTACAATTTGAAAATAACAAAAGAGACAAAGGAAGAGAGGAAATGAGAAGGAAATGGGACATACAAAAGAAAATCATAAGATCCCCTTCAAGACCTTCCCTCAATGTGACGGCCTTAATATTTTGCTTTCGAATTGCGTAGTAATGGCGGTGCCCCGACATTTCACCCTTCTTCGCAAGATTGCACAAAAATACGTCATGATTTTTATGATGTTACGTGCCATATTTAAAATATTAAGGCATTTGAAGAGCCATGATATTCAGGGAACATGTTTTATCTGATGTTCTTCCAAAATTACATAATACAATGATAACGCTCAAAAATTATTTGTTCACCTCTTCCCAGAACTCAACATTCTCTTTAAGCAATATTACTGTTTCAGCAGATATTGCTGCCTCTTGGGTAATCTGTTTGTAAGGTTATACTAATTACAATTTTAAATATTAATAATGGTAACAATAATACTAATAAATAAGATTATGACAATTATGATATTAATTATCTTCATCATCATTTTAACATCATCATCATCATCATCATCATCATCATCATCATCAGTAATCATACTGTTTCCCTTCAGGGGCCAGTATTCATCTACTTACCTTACCCCCCACAAATGTCAATTAGCCCATTTTGACCTCCTATCAATAATGTACTTTTAACAGGTAGAGCGTTTGGCATGACTCTGGTTCTGAACACGGAACAAGATGAATATTACTACAACAAATACCTGAACGACGCAGCGGGATTCATTATCCAGCTACTAGATCAAGATGAAGTGCCTCAAGTATTAGAGCAGGGGTTTGATGTTGGACCGGGCACACTTACTTCTGTCGCCATTATGGCTACTCAGGTGATTCCATACCTCGTTTTCTTGTCCACATAACTGAGCCCGTTGCACACGGGGCACCGTTTCGATTGGGTTTCGATTAGGGTTAAGATGGGGATGCATATTTGTTAGATATGTTAATATATAAATAATGTACCTGGCACTATATATGACCCCTAACCCCCCCCCCCCCCAAAAAAAAAAAAAAAAATGCGTACTAAAGCTTGCGACAACTACCCCTTTAGAAGGCAAGGGCACCTACTCTCGGTCAATAATTTACAACTATCCCCCATGACACAGTAGCCGGTCTGCATTTTTTAAACTCACCGGACGAATGAAATCGTTGGATGATGTTATTTGTTTTAATTGTTACATGTAGGTCTATTTTTATTTTTATTTTTTTATTTTTATTTTTCGGGTGTGGAAGGGTTTATCTCTTACTTTTCAATCCTTTTTTTCTGAGCTCAGTGATTAATTCCCCTTGTATATTCGTCAACTTTTTAGAAATAATCATGCTGAAAAATCTCAATTTCCTTTACTTTTTGCCTCAGAGGCAAAAAGTAAGGGAAATTGAGATTAAGAGTCTTTCACACGTCTCCTCTTTTGATTTCTAAAGCATATCTATGAAAAGCCACCTTACGGCGTCTGTGGAGAAAAGAAAGAGAAATTTTATGAGAAGTATTCACAGCAAAAGTGTGATTTGGAATGCACGACGGATTATGTTGTTGGCGAGTGTGGATGCAGAACAGCATATATGCCTGGTGAGTACATTTTGTTTTCACCGTAATGCCCGTTGCACATCATGTGCCATTTGCCGAGCTAAAGCAAGGCTGTGCATTTGACTGCGACAGGAGTTCATGCGTCAGTGTAGCGTTACGTCGTTCAAAATGGACGCTGCCTGAAAAGTGAATATTGCTCGTTGCACATGACACGTATATGCTCAGACTGACCTAGGCCTGTTATTTGCAAAGGATGACGCAAGGCTGAGTCATTTGGTAACGCAGTATTCCATGCGTCATTGTAGGGTAACATCGCACAAAATGAATGCTTCCTAAATGCTGCTCAACGCATATGACACGTATATGCTCAGATTGACCTAGGCCTGTTATTTGCAAAGGATGACGCAAGATTGCGTCATAGACTATCGTAGTTTTCACGCGCCATTTTACTGAGGCAACGTAGAAATAAGTGAATACTTTTAAACCAAACGGTGTTAGTATTGCGTTGAATACTGGCAGATCCACTTATTTCTTGTCATGTATCACCTAACGTACAGTGTAGGTAATAACGCAATGGTAATGACGTCTTGTCCATGAAAAATAATCATTGCTAGCGTATTGGCATATCATATTGCTGGTAGTCAAGCGCACAGCTATAGGATCCACCTTTATTTTCATGACAGACGACTATTCACACCTAGTGACAGAAACACATACAGGCACACAACATATATATATATATCTAAATATATATACATATATATATATATATATATATATATATATATATATATATATATATTATCGTACACATAATTCATCAATTCGTCTATCATATTACTTATAGGTAACGCAACAGTTTGTGACCCGATTACCACCGCTACCTGTACGACATTTATTATTGGTGAGTAGGCTAGGAATTTGTGAAATATTTGTATCTGCACACACAAAACACACACACACACGCACACACACATGTGTATATATATATATATATATATATATATAACAAATGTAAGGGAATAACCAATGCAACAATTATTATTTTTCCAATTTTCTTTCTCATTATTCACACTGCTGTCCGTAGAGTTGGAAACAACTTTTTTTACTTCTTTTTCATTAAATAATTTTAACAGTATGATTTATTCTTGACATATAAAGTTATGTCTTGTCAAAACATTACGGATCAATATTCATGAATCTTTAGAGTGTTCCTTAGACTTCTAGGAAGATATCAACTTTCCTAGTCAAGAATGAATCATAGTTATTGTCACGATAACTTTACGAAAAGCGGTATTAAAGAATCATTCCAACTTTATGGGCAACAGTTTGTATATATACATTTATATAGGTACATATAACATATAGGCCTACATATTCATGTATGTAAACTGGAATAAATTGTAATCTTCTCATGATACACAATTTTATATTCACTATTTTTTGAGAATTTATTTACCAATTGATTATAGAAAAAAATATAACAGGAAACGTGCAATATTTTACTAGAGATTTTATCTGAAACATTCTCTAGGGTTGGGAGTGGAAGAGAAATAAAAAGAAGGAAACACAGCTATTGGAATGAGGCAATAAATAATGACTTCTTTTCGATTCCCGGCAAAACAAATTCCGAATCTTGGGATTTTAAATAATTATGTAAGGCAGGATGAGTAATATAGATAGAGCTACGCATCAACACACCCATATGTAAAAAAAAAAAATATCAAAGCATAAACACGTGACTTGAATACAGGTTTACCATTGGCTACATTCTTGAACCCGTCTAATAAAACCTATTTGTACTTATGATTCTACAATGCCCTGTTTATGTTTGACATGAGAGTAAGTGTCATCTTTACTGCTATTGCCATTCATAGACAAAGGGCATGGCGAGTATGATAACTGCACGTGCCCGATCGAATGCGAGAAAAAGACATTTTCTGCGTCACTGTCATCTGCCAAGTACCCTTCGGATTTCCGTGCTAATCTCTTTGAAGAATACCTGAATGAAAGCGTGCTCAACTTTCCCTCTCTCAAACGAGCTGATAGTTCCTTCATCAAGTAGGTAGTTTCCTATGGCCGGCATTCAATGCCATGAAGTTCATTAAATAATGAGATCTAACGTTTTATCAATCAGAAAAAGAAATGCCAATCGATCAATGTTTGAAAAATACCAATTTCTTCCATATTTCTTTTGATGGCATTCAGTGACACTATATGCGTGGTCATTGGTTCGTGGAACGAATGCACCACTCACAGAAAAAGTGGTGACAAACTTGATTAGTAATTTACTTAATTATCAGTTTTTCCTTATAATTTGTTGGTTATAATAAAAATTCATACACTCTTTTATTTACAAATATTATCTTTTATTCTGCAAAAAAAGACATTGTATAGATATTTAATCGAAAAAACAGAATAGAAACTGCGAGCTGCCAGGAAGGAAAAGTTGCCATTTGGGTTTAATCAATCACATATTCAATCATTAAATAAACTTTACTTGCCTTTATCATAATTTTTGTATTTGTTTGAAATCTTTGCAGGGATAACTTTGTAGCAGTTGATCTGTTTTTCTCTAGTTTGGGAACTAATGTAATAACTCAGCAGGCATCCTATACTATCGTTTCTTTCATGTGTGAGTATCTAAATATCTCCCGTAATTCTTAATTTAGAATAATGAGCAACGGAAGCTTGGTAACAGCTTTTTCATTGAACGCAATAAAGAAAATTACTGAAGTGATAACATGGTTATCAATTTTGCTGCTTCTCTTAAACATTCACAGACATTCTTGTTCATTTTCTTCTGCATTATGTTGTAATGGGAGAGAATTCTTTTATCACTCTAAAATATTTTAAATTGACATTTTAATCGGTGCTTTATAGTAGATATTCATTGATTTTAAAAAGTACCTTTTTTTTATTATTGCAAAGTTGAAACTTTGATTCGACGAGGTTATCAAAATTCAATGCTTGGAAACATTCGAAGTAATGATTATTATAAATTACAAAACGCTTAATTACAGCCCCGGCATAGCACCTGAAGAGCTTTCCGAACGCTGCTGAGATGTGTGAGATCACAGTATGGACATGACTTGCACAAGCAGACGATGCCCCATGACATCTCACACATTTTCAGTGCCTGTGTTTTCATCTTCTCTTGAGTTCTTTCTCTTACTTCGCTACCGTCAGGCTAAATGTATAATCTATTGCCTCACTCTAAACCCCGCGCATGGTTTTATTTTGTTGACAAATGCAGCGATACAAAAATAAAGGAATCTTTTGCTAGTAACCAAAATAAGACGCCATTGTATATTCAGCTGCACACACCGGGGTATGTTCGGCGTTTCAAGAGGGAACAAATGGGGGGGGGGGTTCAATTTGAAAGTCTGGTTTCTTTGATTGTTAATTAACCCCTTTCCTGTGTATTTACAAGCAAAGATTTTAGTTATCAGAATCGGGTCATATCCCCTTTTGAATGGTTTGACATGCCATTACATTTATATACACTAAACTCATTATAATTTGAGAAATAATAGCTTTGCAATTTCATTGTTCATTCTCTATGGGATGTCGTCTGCTTGGGCAGTGTTGGTCCATATAGTGACGTCATTAAAACATCGTTAATTTTCCGGCGAATCTCTCGTATATCCCAGCTGCTATGAAGGTGGTTGTATGTGTAGTTTTATAAATCACCCGATATGTAGTTGATACATTACTTGTACGATGACCATCTGTTAGCTTACCAGCTTCTAGTGATACATTAGTTGACATATTTGTGATTTTCTTTGAATTTCACCTTTAAGAGGATGGGAATGTGTGAATAAACCTAGCAGAAGGCACATATTGCCTGTGAGCCTACATGTATGTCGGTCGCTTCCTCTACCGGGGCATAGTCTCTAGCGTCCCATGAAGATCACCTAACTCTTCGTTTTCCGAAATCACTCAAGGTACCCGTCCAGATGCCATTCTGTCCGTTTCGGGGACTTTTTTTTAGGCTTTTCTTTCTGCCTTCCTTTCTCCAATTTGCCAAATGTACAGAATTCTTACACATTGGTCTATATAGAGAGATGCTCTTTCATCTGAGAGGTATAAACACGGGCGTCAATCCAGGCACATCGTTCTAAAAGGATTGCACCTCTAATTATCATTACTATCATGAAATCAATTACTGATATCATTATCTAACACATATTGCTTTTATACCCCTTTTTCTTTCCAGGCGACGCAGGGGGTGCTATGGGCTTATGGCTTGGCGGCAGTCTCCTGACACTTTATGAAATAATCGATCTTTGTGGACACTCATTCTTCTCTACGAGACACCCATAGTTAAAGTCATAGACAGGATGATGAAAAGATAATTGTTTTTTTTGGAAAAATTGATTAGAGACCAAACAGATATTTGCGAATATACAAAATAACTAGGAACCCGTCGGTCTGCAGTGGATCTAGATCCGGTTTGATAGTGTGATTGACTTGGTATGAGAAGCACGGAACAATCGCGATAAAGGTTGGGCGACCCCAGCCTGGGGAGAGGGTGATTGATGATCCGATATTTTCCGGCAAATTTATTTCGAACTTAAAATTGTTCATACCCTTAATACCATAATTTTTAACTTTAAAAAGCTGGTGGAAATATATTTGTCCCGATTTGTGTTTCATGAGAGTATGGCATATTAAAGCTTACATCTTAAAGTATTCAACAAGGTCCCAATTCAACAAGTCCATCATTCATTCTTGAGTTACGAAAAGCACAAACTTCAAATCTACAAGCAATATGAAGGATATTTAGTGGTACACTGTATTTATAGATTTTAGCAATATTTGAGCAAAGTTCGGATTAACTTCATGAACTCTCTATTGCTCCTCGCCTCCCTCCCATCATCTATTCGCGAAATTGACAACCTTGACCACTTAAAAGCTTCACTCAAAACTCACATCTTCCTTCAGACATTGAAATGCTAACTTTATTGGAGGAGCTCGTGCCTTTGAATGTTTTTGTGAAACAGATTATGGCGCCATACAAATGCTGTGAATCATCATCATCATCAACCCTAGATCCCACAGTACTACAGGAACAATTATTACCAGTAACTTCATGGTCAGACACTTTCTTTCAAACTTCCCACGCACGACCAGTGCTCAGTTTTAGGTTCCTTTTTAAGTTTGGTTTGAGTCTGTGAAAATGTTTTCTTCACCATCACCAAAATTCAAGGTTCAGACATAACAGCACCAACAACAGCAATAACAATAATGAGGCTGGGACTACCTTAAAGCATTTTATTACAGGCATCTGCATATTTCTTCATGGCGAGTAAAAGATTGTATATAATATGTTAAATAACTGATTTCAAACTCAATGCATCCCACGAGGATGAAGCTTACATGTGATATTTCAGATTGAAGCCATATTCAATAATGAATACATGTTCTTACTGCGCTGAACAATTAAGAAATGCAGCATATATAAGAATTATAATACACCTATATAAAAAAATACTTTGTACATTATACCGTCACATATATAATAGTAATAAGCGATGTATGTATATTGATACCATTTAAAAGCAATTTTTTTACACAATATGATTAATGTAAAGCTTACAAATTCATGAAAAATTAAAATTAAGAATATGAAGACTTAGTCTTTTGTCGCTGTTATGCTTGTCAATAAAGTCATACTCATTTGTTCCACCAACTGCTCCTTGAGTTTAAAAAGAGTGGACCATTCATTATAATCAATGAAACAGTAAATATGATTAAATTCACTTTTTAAGAGTATGAAAGGATATTATATAATAAATATAAAAGGACACCCGACTAGTGAAAAAGACTGATTGGGTGAAGTAGTGGTCTTGAGACCGGGATGTTTGGGCTCAAAACTAAGCAATAAATACAATTTCCGTTGGCAGTGCATTTATCAGGAATGTATTTGATTATCTTCAAAAATTACTTGATAGTGAATGTCGATAAGTTAATTCATTTTTAAGATAACTCAATTAACGTGATAAATTATTTTTTTCGAGATACTAAAATAAATATCAATAATATAAGATTGATATAGATCTCTGTGACCGCAAGTAGTTTTCGAGACGTATCTTTTAAAAATCATTGATAGTTATTTTCAACAGTTATTGTTTTTATCGTTATGTATCCTTCTGGACCGTATTGGAGAGGGGTGTTTTGGCAAGGGTGTCATCCGGTATGGGACTCGTTGTTTGACGACTTTTTCTTCAGTTGTCGTGTATTCATATTCGAATTGTGAGATCTCGATATCGCCTAAAAAAATTATTTTGGGAAGAATTTTTGAGTTGCTCCCATCTGTAGTCTAAAAGTCTAAATGTCCATATGTTACTTATTGATCTAAACAAATTTATACAGAATATGAGAAATCGTGGATAATATGTGAAGAGCTCGGTTCCAAAAGGTACTACATCCATAAATCACAGAAAAACACGATTCTTTTAATTAGCATAGCTCGTACATTTTAAAAACGTTTGGCAATATTTCTTCTAAAATTTTGCCCAACGTTGTGCCAATAGTCAGCCCAACCATCTATTGGGCAATATTTAACCCAGTGGTATTGGTAAACGTAAGTACCCTATTTCACACGTGCATAGTTACGTATTTACTCCAAAATGTGGGCAAAAATATGACCTTTCAACTGCCCGACTACGGTAGCCCACTTGTTGGGAAAATCTCTACCAGCTGTTGGGCAAAATACGAAACAATTATGCACGTACAATACGTTTACCAATACCACTGGGCAAAATATTGCCCAATAGATGGTTGGGTTGACTTCTGGCACAACGTTGGGCAAAGTGTTGGAAAATATTGCCCAACCTTTTCACAGTGTAATGTCAGTGAAATGATACAAGTATAGAACCACTCTTTAAGTCTGCACAAATATTGTTCATTAAGTTATGTTCTTTTAATTTTTGTTCATGTAGTACCTTTTAGAAGCGAAATTGGATGTAGTACTTTTTTGGCACCGAAAATCTTTCATAATGTATGAAAGTTACAATGCATGATTTGAATGATATGGATATTGTACCTTTTGGAGCCGAAGTGATTTTAAATGCCATTTCTTTTACTTTTTTGGGAAATTCAGCTTTTTGGAAGTGTCAGTGTATGAGGCTACTGGAAATGTGTACATTAATGTAACATCAACAAAAAATGGATAAAAATGAATGTAGTACTTTTGGAACCGAGCTCTTCATATCACATTCGTAATTTCGTATAGTTTTTCTTATAAAAAGAGCGCGAACTTAGGACGCCCCATCTTACACATATAGCCATAATAAATATCAAGATCCCGATCTCATCCATGCTAGCATCCATTATATATCATAGTCTATTTCGTAGTCCTCATCATGAAGCTCTGGTCGTGGTCGCCTTCCTAATCATCGTTACATATGGTTATTACCGACCTGCATCCAGACGCCAAGTACAAAGGATTCGATCTCGCATTCGTTGACGCCTCGTACGATCCGGAACATGCCCTGTTCACCCCAGTTGCGGCCCCACGAGTTGGTACAGAGCTTTGAAATAAATCGATTTAAATATTTGAAGATTAATAAGTTTTTTTACGGGCAAATTGTGCCTGTATATCTTTCTGTAAACTAACTTGTCTATGTCTCATTTGGTCACTCATTTCTTCTCTGACACTGAATCGCTAAATTCAATGTTGATCCCCTCTTTTCTTGTTAACAATTCATTATCATTGAGGATACATATGACCCTCCCCCATATTTAAGTCGTTTATGGTCTGACTCTTACTTATCTTATCGGGAGTTTAACGCATGCATGTCATGCCTCTGTCTGTCACTATAGTATTCTTCTCTTAGCCTTATTATCTACTCTTTACATTTCCTCTTCCGCGGTTTTTCTTGTTAATGTTTGTTAAAGATGTACTTGTATCTTCTTAATCTCACCTTTTCTTCATTCACATTTCTCACCTCACACACACGCGCGCGCTCACGCACATACCCACCTCGCACGCGCACACCACCTCCCTCCACTTTAAACACACACACACTTTTTTAACAACCTGTCCAAGGGTGTGTTTCACAAAGATCCTAAGTCGAACTTAACTCTAAGTTCGACTTAAATATTATGGAGAGCCATTAAGCCTTAAAATAAAATATTTTCAATAGCGAAAATTCAAATATTTTAGAAATTTATACATTCCACATCAAGAACATGAAATCTCCTTGATAATAAAAATATTAATAATTTGAATCAACATTTTATGCCTTTTCAAAATAACTTTTACAAAATATTTTCATAGATGCTAACGGCTTTCCATAATTTTTAAGTCCAACTTAGGATCTTTGTGACCCCCCCCCCCCCCCCCAACCTACTTACCCAATACTTGATAGGATTGTACCAGTCTGAGCGATCAATCCCCCAGCCCACAATCTTAACGGAGTGCCAGCCTGCTTGGTCGGCGTCGGACTGGCTGGCGGTGAACTCCTGCTTGACATTACGGTACACGCCCCGGTTGTAGACGAAGAAATCATTCTTTACGTTGAAGGTAGCTGCAATAATGATGTTTGACAATATAATGATAAATAATAAATTCAGTATTTGTTATGCGCCATCGATCTAGTAAACTACTCTGAGGCGCAGAGGGATAGAATAAGAATGAGTAACATAGAGAAATTAGAACAAATATGCATAGATGTACTTTCAACATAATAATGAGCTAAAATAATATGCGAACATATAAGACTTTAGATTCTTTTAAAATGTTTCTAGGGATTCTAGGGATCAGTTTTTCAGTACGATATGTTCGAAATATACATATTATATACATAATAACATGTAAACATTTTAAAGGGATAAATGTTAATGATAATACTTTACTGTGAGAATGTAAAAAGATGTTACAGGTAAAAATCGAAAAACAAAACAATACAAATGATCAGAGATGCTCGACCCCCCCCCCCCCCCCCCCCCCCCCCCCCTCTTTGCAAAAAATGAAGATTCATGTAAGAAACCCTCAGAGGATTGTGTCATTATTATTATGACATTAATCGCAACTAAATTGCGATTGATATTACTCGCAACTATGTACATAAGAGAAAGGAGACTGCAAACTTGCGATTGATTGGAGGACTTGCGATTAATTAGGATCAATCGCAACTCTTTATAAGACTGAGCAAAGAAAGAAAAAGGATACGCATATACCTTGGACTGGACCATTCTGGTAAATCTCAGTCATGATATCCACCTCCTGTTTATAAAAAAAAAAGATAACGATGAGTATGGGTGCTAAAACGTTTATAAGTTTGTCGCTATTGTTTTGGCACAACCGAAAGAGGGCGAAATATATTTCGTTTTTTATCATGTTTACATATTCAAGGGAACAGTTAATAAGGAAAGAGAGGGTACATCACAACAATTTAATGGACAGAAAAATTTGCAAGTTACGTCAGCGATAGACTGATCTTTAAGCCATTTCCAGCTTTTATGGATCACAGCTTTCAAATCATCATAATTTATCAAAATTGCGAATATATTTCGTTTTTATCATGTTTTCACATTCAATGCATTTCAGTGATTTTGTTTTTTGTTTTTACACAATGCACGTTGTTACAAAAGCTGGGTTTCCATAGTTGCATCCGAGGCGTCATTTCTCTGACGGAGTACTACGTCAGCAGCTGGCGCATCTTTTAACAACGTATTGTAAGAGTGATATAGTTCTGAGTGTGAATGCAAAAAGCAATGGAGCAACACTGTGATGAATTACTGACGCAGGCATTACATTTCCTGCTAGGCCCTATTAGCGCAAGTAATGACGCAATCGAAATGACGCCTCGTATTGTATTGAAAGAATACCAACCCTCGCAGCAATACGGTACGGCGGTGTGCTGAGGTACAGGTCTGACGTCACGCCCCGCTCAGGGCATTGAGAAGACCCATAGGGGACTCGACACCGGAGCTTTTGCATGATAGTGTCTTCATCCAATCCGCTGTGGTACGGGTAGCATGCACGGGAAACCGCTCTGTTATCGAATGATAAATCAATAAATTGCCAATTTAAGTTTCACAAAGGTTTAGCTATTAAAATTCATGAGTATAAGTCATTTGTATATATTCGGTATTAACTATTACTCTCAAAGTATTTGAACATAGATTTTAATATTAATTGTATTGTATATTCACATACCTAATTTGAATATTCATGTTTAGCTGGTGACATTCTTAGGTTAGGGGTAATAATGGGATTAATATTATGCCATTTTCCCCTTTTAAAATATATATCATAAATCATAAATAAATAAATAAAACATAAATCATGAGACATTTAAAAAAAACTTGGGACAAAAACAGGTGAACGATTACGTTGAATTTGTAGGACTAATCTCGCCATTTACAATGTCAACAGCAAAACATGAATATATTTAAATATTTGCTTATTCATAACATATGGTAAATGCCATTCTTACCCCGCCCTGCGCAAATGGTACCAGGCCCTGTCAAGATAACCACCGCTGCATCCCCTCTGGCCTCGGATGTTGCAAGACAGGAGATGCTGCTCCGAAAGGCGAGGGTTGACCTCACCCATAGACTGGATGGCAAGACGATCAGATGCAACGCCTGGTGAATGAATGATGGGATAGAGAGAGAGAGACAAAGAAAGAGTGTGAGAGAGAGAGAGAGAGAGAGAGAGAGAGAGGGAGAGAGAGGGGGAGGTGAGGGGGAGGATTTTGGAAGGAATGGGACGGGAGAGGAGGGATGGAGGAGAGTGAGGAGAAAGGGAAGTGGCGGAGAGGGAGGGACAGAGTGGTAAAGGAGGGAAGGATAAAAGAGGGAAGGGGTGAGAGGACAGAGAGGTTAGAGAATGGAGGTAATTAAATAGGGAGAGAGGTGGGTAGTGGGAGAGAGAGAGAGAGAGAGAGAGATGGAGAGGGGTGGGAGGAGGGGCAAAGGGAGACAGACAGACAGAGATGGAGAGAGTAAGGAGAGAGAGAGATGCGAAGGTGGGGTGGGGAGAGAAGATAGAGATAGAGAGCGAAAGAGACGGAAAGAAGAGATAAGACATGAAGGAAAATGGAGAACAAGAAACGGAAAAACGAAAAAATTAGGAATGAAGTGGTATATAATACAGAATTATAACAAAGGATAAAACGTGATGTTTAATGAAACAGACTTAATGGTAAAAAAGGACGAAAATTGGACGATCCGACATAATCAGGTAAAATTTGTTCTTGAATATGACCTTCAAAAAAGACAAGCTTTTATTATAGTTGTGGGAAAATATTTTAACTCTTTTTTTGTCAATATATTTATACTTTCAACAAATCAATCAAGATACAATATACAAGTATCAGATTCTAAGGTGACATACGTCCGATATAAAATATTGGCTTTGGGTGTATTGGCCTCGAACAGGGATAAGCTATAATAAACAATAAACATCAACAAAAATCGGAAATACCCGAGCGAGCACAATTTAACAACCTAAGAAAATTACAAGGAGTTTTATCACTCGTAACCGTGTATGGAGATCTAAATTGAGTATAATCTTATTTGAAAAGGCATTCGTACTTTTGTCATGACGATCGAGTGTGCATGAAAGCTTTTAAATGTAATTATCTCATTGGGTGGGCTTCTGTTGATGACAATGACTTGTAATTGAACTATTGACACAAAATTGTGTGTATCCCAACATCGCGACAACAAACATTAAACAAGTAATATATATCCCAAATGTACCGTGAAACTCATCATCTAAAGAGTCGTGATTGATGTCGAATTTGACGGCAAAAATAACAATACGAATAGCCATTAATCATGTTTTTGTTAAGACTAGATGGGTAATTGTACTTTGCGATCGACAGGAAGCCTCTCATCTGATCCTTGTCAATCGCCATTCTTAAGAAGACGGGGGCTGAAATGCCCCCCCCCCCCCCAAGGAAAACCAATATATGAATATATACATATAGGAACAAAGGAAGCGACAAGCAAATCAAATCAAACACAGATGAAAAACAAAGAAACAAAGCGACAAAATGTTCAAGTTAAAAAGTTGAAATATTTCACGTAAATTACCGTAGCCTACAGTGTCAGCAGTTTCACATATCACTTGCATCATAATTATTCCTAATTTTTCTTGGCAACAGCTACAAAATCAACAAAGAAATTCTGAAGATAATAGAATTGATGGGGAAAAGTTTGAGGAGGGGGAAACAAACTAATGGCCTCAAAACAGATTCAAAATCTCGCCATATCAGAAGTTTCAAATTTGTATATTGTCATTTACTAAATTTCTAAGCGCTTTACATTGCAATCATTATTACCCCGGTCGTTGGATTCAATTGCTAATCCGCACATGATAGTGTCCATGCTCCGCTCCCTGGGGAGTATTCCGACCGGGCGCCATTTTGCAAGAGCACATATCATGCCAATCCAGCCACATTAACGTTGGCATTCTACCGGGTAAACATTTAACACCTGGGTGGAGGGTGGCAAATGTAGATTGATGCATGTCAAAGGACATTAGTGCCGCGACCGGACTCGAACCGCGAACCATGTGATCCACAGTCCGGCGACATATCCACTAGAACACGACACCTCTAAACCTCTGCTTCTGATAACAGGATGAAAGCAGAGTATAAGATTCAAATCTAAATAACATGAGACTTCGAGCCAGAGGAGACAGCTTGCAAAAACTTCATTTCTATTATGATGAATCCTGAAGCTCAAGACTTTCAAAGCATAAGCCACACATTTCATGACCTGCCGAATGGAAACATACCCCTTACGTTTCACTCAGAATCGAGATAAGAAATTCAAAATATGACCCAAATATTTCACGACCTGCCAATCGAAAACGTATTTTCCTGGTTTCATTGACAATATAGGGAAACGACAGCCCACTGGTGCTCACATATCAGATTTTATTCATTAACATTACTTTTTTTTAAATACGCGTAAATATTTTGGAGTAGAAATAGAACACCCATTGAAAATGGTATAAATACATGAGGAACGAAGAAACATGAAAAGTAGAGTGGTAAAGACGGAGATGAAGAGAGAAAGAGAGAGAGAGAAAGAGAGAGAGAGAGAGAGAGAGAGAGATATAGAGGGAGAGAGAGAGGGAGAGAGAGAGGGGGGCGGGGTAGGAGGGCCGGGGTAGGAGGAAGAGATTCAAAATAAGAAGATAGAGTAATAAACAGAGAGAGAGAGGGGGTATTAGAGACTATTACAGGATTTAAACAAAAATAAAGAAATAGGAGATGGAAGGAAGTAAGGTGCCGTGTTTGTCTCTGATAGGAGCCTAACCTAAATATTGTAGAAAACGGTATTGACCTTGTACATGTAGACTGGAAAAAGGACCTAGACAATGGATATTGCACACCAAGTTATGATAACAGCCTAATGAACTTTCAGAGTTACGTTACACCTTGATTCTAAACTACAGGTGTGTCTATAATACTACACGTGCCTCGTGTAATTTGATAATCTTATCTGTGTACATGTATACATAGGTGCATTCTGCCCATGTTGTAAGCAGTTCTCTTTTTTTTTTATCTAAATCTCCTTTTCTTCATTGTTTTTATCCTCCTCCTCCTCTTCTTCTTCTTCATCTTCTTCTTCTTTTACTACTTCTTCTTCTTCTCATCCTTCTTCTTCTTCCTCCTGTTGATGTTGATTTTGTTGTTTTGTTCCTTTTCCTCGTCTTCTTCTCCTCCTTCCTTTTCTCTTCTTCTTCTTCTTCTTCTTCTTCTTCTTCTTCTTCTTCTTCTCCTTCTTCTTCTTCTTCTTCTTCTTCTCCTTCCTCTTCGTTTTTTTTTTCTTTTTTTCTTCTTTTTCTTCTTCTTCTTCTTCTTCTTCTTCTTCTTTTTTTTGTTCTTCTTCTTCTTTTTTTCTTCTTCTTCTTCTTCGTCTCTTTTTTCTTCTTCTCCTTCTTCTTTTTTTCTTCTCGGGTAACTCTGTCCTTATAGTTTCCGAATCCCTTGAACTGGATACATTTGGATCGTTTGCAATTCTCATTTGGACATGCCAGATAAAGATAAATGAATAGATTGGAGTAGGAAAAAAAATTCATACATTAAACTGGACAATCAATCTTATTTGCGTAGCGGTTTGTGGATTATGTTTGGCTTATGAATGGATTAGTGTTATGTGACAAATCCGATTAGAAAGAAGTTCAAATGAAAAAGGTGCAGCCGGTTTTTCAATCATTTCTGTTATTTTTGCGCTATTCTTCTCGATGGCTAACCCATCTTCTTTAAAGTACAGTGGCATTGATTTGAAACGAACGGACAATTAAATAAACAGGAGCTGGTAAATGTGAAAAGGCAGAGATCAGGGATAGGCTTTTGTGATAGATTTCTTTTTCTTCAAATAAAAATGGCAGCTTTCACAATGCTGCACCTCACATGTGGATAATGCCCTTTACTACTCATGATAATTTTTCGGCAGTACGAACTTGGGGTGAATAGCAGTTTTTGTCCATATATTGCGAAAATGGAGAAAAGTGTGAGCCTGTGTTGGATGTAGTTGGATAGCCTGGGCCTCGCCATCGAGGGGCACTGGATTCACGGGGGGGGGGGGGGTAACATTCTTACGAGTTAGATGAAATGTGAATTAAGAAGGCCACCATTTATCATGATTACAGAATGTGAGAAAGTTCCTATCTCCTACTTAACTTTTAAGTTTATTTTCTACTCTTCTTTCATCTCGTTGCTTCTGAGGACGAAAACAAAATTCAAAGTATCTAAACTAGTTGAACTTTCAATACGGGTTGGAATGCAAGAAAAACATTTTATTTCCTTTTTTGCCAAAGTTCTACAACCGGTACCACTGTAAGCTAAACGATGATTTGATTTACAGTTCGGTCTTTCAAAAATAGTGTGCCACTATGTTTCTGTAATCGAAAGGTTCTACCACACCTTAATGCGTTCTTCGATCAAAGTTTACAAGTGGCAGAAACATCATCCTTCATTATACATTCGGATGGTGAGAAGAGATGGAGGGGTTATGAGCAGAGAGAGAGAGAGAATGATAACGACACACAGCGAGAAAGATAAAGAAAGAGAGATGAAGAGAGAGAGAGGGTGAAAGATATAGGGAGAGACTGGGAGAAGGAGATAGAAAGAGAGAGAGGGAAAGAGAGAGAGAGGGAAAGAGGGAGAGAGCGGGAAGGAATAGAGAGGGATAGAAAGATAGAGATATGATATATACAGAGAGAGAGAGAGAGATAGGAAGAGAAAGAGAAAAGGAAAGAGAGAGAGAGAGAGAGAGAGAGCGTTAAAGAGACTACAGACAACTATAAATATATACAGCGCTGTCGGAGGGAGGGAGTTCGCGAAACATGACAAAGAGTTGCTTACATGCCTCCTTGGTTTGTCATTTGTGAGGCTTAACTTGTATTGTTAACACATAATAATACGGAATGTTAATGCAGGGTAACAATGAGGTGCAATACCACTTTTCATATCAATATGAGTGGTGTCATACTACAATAGGGGTGTCGTACTCGGGTGATTTGAACGCTTGGATATACTTTGGGAAGGTGAAGTCGTCGGTATTAATGTACATTTGTCACTCTCGACCCAGGTGCATATAGGTGAAACCGCGGAGAAGATGAGCGCTTTTTCAAAACAGGACCTTTAATGACTTACTGGCAGTCGATATCGCCCACGAGCTTCCACATTTTCCCTGGTCAATGACCTCGTCTATGAGCCCCGGCCAATTCTCTCGGGCGTCAAATGTTTCCGGGAGCGCTCCTTCTGTGTCGATGTTGACTTCGGCCATTTCCGACAACGCTCGGCCCGGTGGGAATGTTCCGAGGCGATAAAGGACTCCTTCCGCTTGGGTCAGGCCCCAAAGAAAGGAATAGTTGCTAGCTCTCCATCTACAAAAATAAAATAAATGAAATAAATAAATGAATAAATCCTAAAGATCCTGATAGAACTAAATAAACAAGATATAAATCATATAAATAAATGAACAAATGAAATAATATATATATATAACAAATCAATAAACATATGAATAAATGAATAAATAGGTAAAGAAAAAAACATATTAAAAGATAAATAAATTTATAGATACATAAACAAATGAATGAATAAATCAATAAAGAATAGTAGATAAGGAACAATACCAAGTTTAGGCTGTATTTCGATACAAACATTGGTGGAAGACGGTCGATGACATTCGCAATATAATGCACGTAAAGACTTCTGTTTCGCATACATATACAGTGTATATATTTATTTATATATATATATTTGTGTTATAAGGGACACTCTGTTTGATTATGTTTCACGAAGATATGTTGCATAGTTAGAGAAACAAATACAACGGTATCATTTGACATGAACACGAAAGAAAAATGGCTGAATTTTGAAGGATCTGACAGGAATGGAATTGCACCATTATACGAATTTTCAAGGCAGGATATTCTAGAAATTAGGTCAATATCATTCTAAATGAATTGCAACTGACATAATCTGGTTTCGTCTTTACGTTACAATCTTTACAATTTTGCCAAATGATATAGAGATGACTATTTGCGACATACTAGCATGTAGAAAAAGACGAAGTTCAAGAAACATTCAAAAATAAAGTATTACTCGACCCGGGAGTATTAGAAAGTGCATGAACATATTAACCATCGGACATTTTTAATATTACATGTATCAAACCACCCAGGCGGATGACTGAAGCCTGCGTTGAGTGTTAACGAGCCCCTTCCCGAATTTCATAGACGCAGGTTGTGTCAAGTGGAAAACACTCCGTCCCTCGGATAGGACGTTAAATGGAGGCCCCGTGTAGAGAAGAGTCACTACCTTTGCACCTTAAGAACCCACTGCACTATTCGTATAAGAGTAGGGGAACCCCGGTGTAGTGGTCTACCTGCACACACCCCCAGTATAGTACGATAATACTCTGTAAAGAGGTCTGTACTCAAAAGGAAGAAGGATATAACCTACCCAAGGTAATAATCTTCATTGACATCACTGATTGTTATGGAATCAACGAGACAAGGAATGTCATCGCACACGAAGTCGGCATTGCCATCAGGTGCAAGTGTGCATACACTAAAATGAAGTATAAAATGGAAAATAGTATATAACAATATTCAACCAAAAAATAATATTATAAGTATTACTTTTGAAACCGCCTTGCCAACTGAAGTAAGGGGAATATAAAGCAAATTTCCACAATTTTATTGATAAGTAACTAAACTGAATAACGAAGCATTGTATAGTCAATCAAATATTCATTAACAAATCACCAATTGTAAGTAAGAATTGGAAAGCCTTCACTCTCGTCCATAATTTTAAGGATTAATGACTATATACTAAATACAATATTCAAGATCACATCGATTGCAACATCAACTTTTGCCAATTTTTTTATGACCAATCAATACAAAATTGCATTTATTTACTTTCTGTCACTTTTTTTCCTCAAAATTGTCAGAATTATTTTGATTATATAGATCATAAATCACAAATATAATAGTGCATGTATAATCTTGAGAGACTATTCAGGTGAAGGTTATGTCAGATTCAACTGAGCAGTTCATATTGACTTTTAATTCGGATTTTTTTTTTTTTAGGGTTCATGGGTTTAGAATAGATTCTCATTTTTATCTTTTTCAAATTTGAATGGGTCCATACAAATATCAAATTACTCTCTTTCGTCAGAGATTTCACCAGGCAATCAGATATTTTTAGATATTCAGATATTCAAATATTCTTTTTAAATGTTTTCGTACAATCGGGAGGTATCGTGGTACAGTTATATCTTATATATCTTTCGAATAATTTCTTATTATCAGGAGGTGGCGAGGTATAGAACAGTATTTCATTCACTTGACTTTCAATCTGAGGGCTGAGGGTTCGAATCCCAGCCCAGCACTAACGTTCTTTGGGAAGACATTAATCCACATTTGTCGCTCTCCACCCGGGTGTTAATGGGTACTTGGCATTAGTTGGGGGTAATAACAATGGAAGATTTTCGAAGAAAAAGCAAGTAATAAAGCTAATGAGGCTTACATGGGAAAACATAATTATAATTATCATAATAATGATGATGATTATTATTATCGTTATTTTTTTATTATTATTGTCATTATTATTATTGTTATTATTATTAGTATTGTAATTATTATTACTATGAAAGTTCGTACTTACCATGTATTGCAATTGCGTTTGATAGAACTTCCAGGATAGTAGACGACCCCACTGGAAATACAGTAATCTATAAAGAGAGAAAGAGAGAGAAAGAGAGAGAGAGAGAGAGAGAGAGAGAGTGTGTGTGTGTGTGTGTGATAGAGAAAGAGGGGGAGAGAGTGAGAGAGAGTGAGAGAGGGAGATAGAGGGAGAGAGAAAGAGAGAGAGATAGGGGAAGATATCATAAAAAAGAGAGAGAAAGAGACAGAAGGGGGACGATGAGAAAAAGAGAAAGATAGACAGAGAAAGAGAGAGAGAGAGAGAGAAAGAGAGAGAGAGAGAGAAAGAGAGAGAAAGAGAGAGAGAGAGAGAGAGAAAGAAAGAGAGAGAGATAGAGAGAGAGAGAGAGAGAGAGAGAATGGGATGGGCAAATGGTGAAAGGGGAAGGGAAATAAGTGTAATACCTCAGTCACACTGCCCAACCGACACCAAACCGATTCCAAACCGGTAGACTCTTTCGGATATTCGGGGTAATGAAATTGTTATTTACCAGCCCTCCCCACACGTGCACCCGAAAACCGCTCCCATGATACCAGTGCTCCAACATTTCAGCGGGGCAAAGTGACAACATGTACATGTGTAGCATCAACAGATAAGGGGATGGTCATCTTTTTTATAGGGGTGTCCCAAGGGGCCGCTCAATTTTTTGGCTTAAGGGCCGTTCGAATCGTGGTCTAAGTGTCGGTTGAATTGTTTTATGTAGGAAATATGGGCTAGTTCCCTTCAACGGAATTTTACTCCCAATCCGTCCTCAGTAAGAGGGGGAGGGGGGGGGGTCGAAAAGAGACTTACCAATTAAAGGTTTTTCTATGAGCGGACGCGTCCGGCGAGGCGCCCCCATGCAGTAGTACCAAAAATCGGGACAGCAGTCCATGGCTGTCGTGTTGCAGAAGATGTCGCAGTAGCAAAGCGTGTCGAAATATCGGGTGGTGCACTCGTCATCTCTTCCCGGGCAACATCCCCGTGATGTGCAGTACTGGGCCTGGGTGGGGCTCGGAAGCAGCACGACTGCTAGGAGGACCAATGTAGCGCCCAGTGGAACGAGACGACGCAGCTCTGAATTTAGCATCTTGATTGGGCTTGAGATGATCTCGGTGTAGTCGAAGAATTGGGACAGATGTGAACTTATGATGTCCGATTCTTATCTGTATTAAATCACACCAGAAAAAAATTCATTACACCCAAAATACCCATTTCCTTTAGCGTTGGAACACAGGACCCTTTGGAAGAAATTGTTTACGTTATTTCAATCGCTCATACTTTTTCAATGGTAAAACAAGATTTCAAATGGAACCATTAAGACATATTCATATCATAAACATAACATTATCGGCCTTTCTCAGGAAATCCTTTACTGCTATCGACATTACACGGCCTTAATATCATCCTTGCAGAGAGCTGACGAAATAATTTTTATATTAGCCTATATTACCGCCATGACAAATTCGCACACGCTCTCAATAAAAAATAGCGTCACTAATTGACGAGCATGTCAATGAGTGACGATAACGATGACGACGGTGTTGACGAATATTAAAACATTTAGAACAGGAATGATGAGACGATTTAAATATCGATGAGGGTAACGATGACGATTTAGTAAAGGACGATGATGACGCAACGACGACGATGATGATGATGAATATATGAGGGCGAAGCTCATTAGAACAATGTATGTAGGCCTATATGTGACTAGGACATTGAGTTTAGAATGGTATAGTCACACAGGTCATACATGATACGCCTGTTTGTCGCTTAAAAATGCTCCGACGAAAATGGCTCCGCGCGGTCAATTCGTACAATAATCGAATTCCCAACGTCAACTCTGGACTCAAAACAATATACCTGATCCTCACCCTAACCCTAAACCTAACCCAAGACCCAATCGTAACCCTAACCCTATATCTTGAAGAAAATAATGCCAATAAAATGTCGATTAGGCAAGTACGTGGTCAGCCCTTCTGTATGCGTATCATTTCGTAAACTATTTCCGTCGAAAATATTATAGAAAAACTTTCGAGTTTACTTACAGTACGGTTACCAGAAGAACAGTGCGTCCTTACTGCCCCTACCCATAGGATAACTTCGAATGTAATAACCAACAACCCTAACTTCAAGTTTACGGACTGCCATGTAAACTGAAACTAAAAGTATTACTAGCAATACAAACAGTATCACATTATAATGAAAACAGGCAATAGTGGCAAAAGTCAATGAATACCAAAACAAATATTAACACAGTCATTTAAGATATCGTTATGATTATGAGTTGCAAATAGGGATACCGATCATAAAGTTCGTAGAGACAAGAAGATAAAAAAAGTTCAAAAGGTGAATAATATCTATTTATCTTGGAGACTAATCTGTTTGCTATTTCATTCATGTCTTCTATCTGGGACTATATACTCTGACCAGCGTCGGGCTTGTTTAAAGATAAAGTTGAGTTCTGGTCATGCGATTGCACTGTGAAGAAAAAAACGGTGTGGAAACGAACAGAAAAATTGATCATGTAGCGTATAAGTATTGGTTTCTACTGCAAGGTTCTGGAATCATCAAATTGATAAGAAATTTAACCCATTTTTGGTAAGAGTAACAAGCACTGTATACAGAAAGATGCATATAGGACTAAACAAACTTGTGGCATTAAAATGTTGTCTTCATTTTTAAGCTGTTACATGTCATATATAGCATAACGAAGGCATTTGAAGAGCAATGATTATCAGGGAACATTTTTCTCTCTGATGTCCTTCCACACTTGCATAGTAACAATGAAAATGCTCACAAAATATTGTTCACCTCAGTCCTCCCAGAAATAAACCTTCTCTTGGACTTAGTTAAACATTAATACACTTAACTCCAGTCGCAAAGAAGATACAGACAACAGACCAAACTACAGACTGAACCCCGAAAATCCATTATCCAGGATGACCAAGAAATCGGTCGGTTTAGACTGGGTTTAGAGTTGGTTGTCACGGTAAGACTGGCCTGGTGGTACCAAACAGCGTAACCAATTTGATTTAGAAAATCTATTTAATACGATAGCGAAGACCATAGAGATTAATTCTCAGCCCAATTGCAATACTTTATTGTATCGCCTATAAAAATCGTTTTCAGATTACCGAATCCGTCATTATCAAATTTGTGAATATTTCAATAGGTAACGCACAAGGTTATTGGGAAATGCATTGAGTTGATTTTTCGAAAGCCTTTGCCATCGTGTTATATTTATAAATTAAATAAATTGGTAACATATACATGTATATAACAGGTCTATGATTCCTTTATACCGGACTCATGACAAGAAATTACGTAGGTACAGCAACTCGTCTTAAAGGCCTATATGTACGTCATAATAATTTAAGTTGAAACAAAATTTTAAAAAAGCTACATTGAAAAACCTAGGTCCTCTGCCAGAAGAAGAGTAGGAAAAAAAAAACCTCCTAAATTCACAAAAGGCAGGGTCACAAATGAATAATATAAAAATGAACAAAAACAAAATAACATATAGCGAGACCAAGAATAATATAATAAAACAATTATGTGAAGTACAATGAACATTTAATTTTAATTAAACTGTGATTAAAAATAATGTAATACTTGTAGGATTTGTTACAGCTTTAATATCAAATAAAGTGAGTTTA